TACAGTTGTAATACAAGTGATAACAAACAGTTACCAACTCGACATTAGTATTCTGACGTAAACGTACCATTTTGTCTGTTATTTTACGTTTAAAAATTTTTCATAAAGAAATATTTCGTACATTTTACTTCTTATTCGCACGTACTATTTTAATTTTTGTGTTTACATATTTTTATAATTTACAAACTGGCTGTGGATAAACACCATTTCGGCTAAGAAAATTTAAATCATTATTAATTACTTGATAGTACTGCGGCTTTATGCTCATTTTAAAGACAGTTACATATTTTATTTTTCTCCTTATTTTCCCCTTATATTAAAACTCTAGTACGTGCTGCAATTGAGATCAGTGCAGATAAATAACTCGGACGTTTTGTTAAGGTTACGTTGCGAATTTTATGTCCGCAGATGGGGATAGTCAGTCTTGAAACCTTTCAATCTTACGGAATATTCATAACAGCAGATTTGCTTTAAAAAATCGGATATTGAAATAAGCTGTTCCTTCCCCTTTCCCTGAGTGACTTCTCCCTTACATGTGTTCGGCTTCTATGGATTAAACTTATGTATAAGGCTTTATTTCGTCATTGGTGATTCAGAAATTAGGTGTCTCTCAATGGTAGAGTTTTATGTTAATTGGGAAAAAAGGAAAATTAATCTTTGAGCTTATATAGTGTATTTTTCTCTTTTTCTGTATAGATTTCGTAATTTTAAAGGAACTTTTGGTACTTTTCCGTTTTGCCGGCGCAAACGATAAAGTCACCAATAATGGTACAACTGATGCCAAACGGAATATCTTCGCTGGTAACCTTTTACGCTTCATTTTGAAAACAAGTCGCAGCCCATTTCTTATCAGATTGATTGTTTCTTTCAATACTGGCATACAACTACATAGAATTTTTACAAAAGATAGTTCAATTTTATATCCCAAGACTATTTGCGGTAATTAAGTCAATTAGGATGCAATCACACCGCTCAGCCGAAGGCGAAAATACAGAAAAGGCAAAATTAAGGGTTAAATTCATCAATTCTAATGAGAATGCACTAGCGAAGTAAAGCACTGCGGTTTTACATATTTCTGGGCCTACCAGCAGCCGAGCGGTAACGTCTCTGAACACTGGTAGTTCGGTCCGAGGTTCGAATCCCGCGAACCGGCTGGCTGCTTGGGGCGTTTTCGTGGTTTTCCCCATGTGTAACGTGTATACGAGCCAGTTTCCCTTAGAAAGTCCTCCACGAAGGAATGCCTCCCTTAAGGCAGATAGCCCTCGAGTACTTTGCCGTAATCTAATAAAACCAAACTAAACCAAAACCATAATTTCTGAGTAAGCTATTCGTACGAATTGAAATAATTCTTTCATTTAAACTTGTATTCCAAATTAAGATTTAACTTGAAATTAATGTAGATAATTACTGAGAGAATTATATTTTTTAGCGTAGTTTACGTGAGATGAGATCACTTTGGGTCACGTGATAGGAAACAGCGAATCAGGATTTGAACCATGAAAGCATAGTAAATTCTTAAATTAATGTCTTTTTACAAATTTATTGTCTTTATTTATTGGCTTTTTACAAAATTTTAAATCATATTAAGATGTTTATGCCTTCAAAATAAAAAAATCTTAGAACAAAAATTTTTTTATGTGAATACTGTATGCTGTCGCCAATAAAGTCTTCTTGGCGAGATTTGCGCCGGCGAAACGGAAAAGTGTCGAACTGGTATAGTGGGATTATTCTTATGGAATACAAATTAAACTACCATAAGTTTTTAAATCACAGCTGTACATCGCTTATTGGCGGGTTAGTAACTAGAGCATTGTCCAAAACTGTAAGTCATGGAAGCAGGTACCTGTTTTAAAAGTTTCGCGCAGACAAAGTGATTAGTGTTATTTAGGTATACTGAAAGCTTATTTGAAATTACGTTAAATAACCGAATCATATTGTGTAAATAGTCAAGTAACCTGAATTATGCGTTATAAAATGATTTTAAATCGGTTTGGATTTCTGTTGAAATGGCGTCACAGCGCAGCCGTTGGTTTGGTTTGATTTATTTGACTATGCAAAGCACGCGAAGGCTATCTGCCTAAGAGGAGGGATGCATTCGTGGAAGATTTTCCGAAGGAAATTTCAGCGTTTTAATACCTACCAAACACTCCCGATTTTCGTACAAGAATTTTCCGGTTTGTTATATTTCAATGTTGGCAGCTATACTGTCATGATTTTGAACGCGTATTTGCCTTAAGTACATGGCTATCAATGTTTTTCATCCTTTTATGGAACATAAAAACCCTGAAGAGTAATTAAAAAAAGAGAGATAACAAATTGGGAGAAGTTATCAAAATTCGATCTACTCCCACAAAAAATTTATCTTCATTATCTTCAATCTTTTCATTGCTCAGTAGCGTATATAAATAAACAAAAGCCTTTCTTGTTTATTAACTGTGGTGTAATTTGTTAACAGGTTTCCGTCTGAAAAATTAAGATTACTCAAATAATTCCTTTTTATCAAGATTACATAAAATTTTCCCAATATATCTGACAATTGTTCGCGTACTCTCCCCCCCCCTCCGCTAGGATGTAATCTTAACTCCGATATATATTTACTGATGTCTTGCATATCCCTAAGATGTAGACTCATTATTTACAGTGTCGGGACACTGACATGTACCTAAAAGTAGATCTTGTTCATTATTTTCTTGAAAACACTTTAAAAGTAGAAATTCTTTTAATTCTACTTATGCTGATATGAAAGGAAGGTAGAAAATATCGTAGAACTTCTTAGTTAGCTTCTGAAAAATTAAAAAGTATTGGTAAAAAAGGTTCTTGAAAACTTTCTAAAAAACTAAAAGTTAATTTTTATAGATGTCCGTTTGATGTTATTCCAAAAAATTTCAAGAGTGACTCTAAATGACGGGAGCATAGGGAATATGTATTAGGTCATGTATGTACTACAACGGAAGTAGTATAATGGATATATACGGTATACCGAAGATGGTATGAACCCATCAAAATGCTATGGGCTGTTGCCGGATTCTAAAGGGGCTAAATATCAAAAGAAATTCTTTACATTTTATCTTTACATCAGGGTTTCTTGAACTTTTTTCAGTCGTGACCCCTTTTTATCACTGAGATTTTTTCGCAACCCCCTGGACCTCATAATATTTACAAAAATTTTGTGGGACCCCATAAGTATTGCGCAAAATTCGACACACGCGTGAGTGAAACCGTCAACTTTTTCACTTGTACTGTAATATACTATTGCAGTTTCAGGTCATTAATTTTAATTTCTAATTTTAAGACATAGAACGCTGTGAAAATTTTAAATAAGTAGCAGACGAAATGACAGCGTCACGTGGAAAGCAAAGAAAATGAACGTTTAGATTATAAAAAGAATGCGTCGAAACGTTTTCGTGATACATTGTGTAAAAATATTTTGTAATTGTAGAATTATTATAATAAGTCAAAGAAATATCAAAACTGCTAAAATTTTTGGCGACTCCCCTGCTGCAGGTCCCGCGACCCACAGTTTAAGAAACCCTGCTTTACATCGTTGATTTATTTTTTACGTTGCGAACAGTATCATCATTACTGAATTCCATTTTAATTTATGGGTACTGTTGAAAGCATCGTGAATAGGAGCCTATATTTTGGGAAATTTGTGGTTGTTGTTGAGACACTTCGTGCAGGTGAGGACTTCAGAATACTACAACTGCCAGAGGACCGTAAGATGCCTCTGATTGTACTTGCATATACGTGAAAAAAAAGAATTTATTTATAAAAAATTGCTCAAAAGAATTTAGGAAACGGATTTGTTACCAGTGCAGAACACACGTACTGTGAAGTTGACAGGTACAGTGTTTGGAAGCCTGTAACAAGTTTAATTTTATTCTTCAGTATATTTTCTTATCACGGCTTGTCTGCATTTATGAAATGAACTTTACTTTTATTATTGCTGCTGCACTGAATTCGTGGAAACAAATGATTATTTAATTTAAATATGACGACACATTTTAGCCTGTGAGTGTATTTAAATTCAAAAGAAATTCTAAAAAATGTAGCATCTGTCTACTTCATCATTAGGGCACTGACTTTTTACCTTTCAGCGCTGGACTCTTGCAACAACCTGCTGCCTTTTTGTAGTAGTCAAAGGATTTTCGAAACTAAATGTTGTGATGAATTCTTTCATGTGCATCAAAGCATTGTTAGCCGCTTTGTTACTGCCGTGGCGATTTTATGGAAATGTTTTATGTAGCGTTGAATCGAGGTCACGTGTGTTTCATAAGCATCTTTGTTACCCACCAGTTTTTATTAAAAGGAATGTAAAAAGTTTTCTGAAAGCAGCCGCAGGATTTAGGTGTTTTTTTTTAAATACCTTCATGTAAAAATTTTTCATAGATTTTTTTTTCGGCTGGAGAGGGGAGGGGGATGAAAATTTCGAAAATTGTTAGAATTTCGTATAATGTCTGCGCAGCGATAAACCTATATTATAAATGGCAACTACTAATTGTCCATATTCAGCTATAGTTTGGGATAGGAATAAAGAACTTGGAATTGAACATAAATTTATATGAAATGCTTAGTTCGCATCTTGTATCTCTCACATTAGATTTCCGTTTCAGTATTTACTCGCGTAAAAGTTTGTGCATCATTTAATACTGAATGGCCATTGCACTTATTTTAATCGAATTTAATTATAGTTAAGTCCGTCGTATTTTATATATTTTTTTCCAACCTGAAGGACGTTATAAATACTGCTTTTACTTAGTTATCTTTGTAGATATATAGCTGATTTTAAAAAACATATCAGCTGCTGTTGACCATGATAAAGTATTCATGTTATATCTGTGCTTCCCATCTGGTTTCGTATATTTTTAACAAATATTTTAAATCATAAATCGTACTGTTCAGTCTGTTGAAATTATGATGCAGTTTTACATATTTATAGAAAAAAAAAAAAAAAAAAAAAGGGACCATAATCAATTTCTGTTATTTTTCTTGCAGTGTGATGTGAAGATAAGACGATATTCGAGAGACATGTCACAACGGGAAGATGCTATCAAATTCGAGACAGGTCGTATTAAAGCGCTACAAGAAGAGCGGCTTTACATTCAAAAGAAGACTTTTACCAAATGGATGAATTCTTTTTTGCAAAAAGTAAGTTACTACTATGAGCCTGTAATCAGTTTCAAATAAGTACGTTTCCTAAAAATTTTCGAGTAAATTTTTTTCATCGAATGGTGCTATTAGTGTGTTATGATCAGCGCCATCTGTTGCTAGTAAATGAAATTAATGACCTCTCCATCTCGTCGTGTTTACATCGTTTGAATGGAAATCAGCAGAACGAAACCCAGATTCTGTTTCAAAAAGGAACGATAAAAATATGCATCAGAAGTTTTTTTTTTTTTTAATAAAAAATTGTTTGGTCTGTAACCGTAATGAAAACTGTTGCCTGTGTACTTTTTCCTGTTATAATTATGGCAATAGTCCCCCCCCTTTTTGCGGGAAAATGGGCAAAATTTGCCTAACTGTTTCGGGGAGGGGGAGGAATGTATTCATGACTCAGGTTTTACATCTCCAAAAAATAAAATAAAGCTTAAAAATAAATTAAAAGGAAACCATATATAAAGCAGTAATACAACTAACTACTTCAGAATTAGAATCTATATTATATTAGATGCTTATAAATGTATGCATCCGAGTCAAATTTTGACAATGTTAGCTATGCTGTTACATGAGAACAAGATTTCTAAGTAATCAGAGATTTCGTGCATGAACTCCTATTAAAAGAATAATTTTCTTCATCAACCTCCTTACATTTTTCTGTATAATATTCGGGATACAATATAATCATAATACAAATAATCGCACATAACTAAATTAAAGGTACAATTAGATTAAGAAGATGAGCAAACGTTTTGAAAGTATAGTATATTAGAGTTATGTTTAATTATTTTTTGTATTTTTAATTTTAGAAATAAAGAGGGGTTTTGGAAACCAAAATCACAGATTTTTATTCCACAGAAGTTCAGTTTTAATTAATAGGATGGCTGTACTTCATGGATTGATGCACTTTTTTTAATATTTAGAATGAAATTGCTTAATTGAATTTTTAAATCCTTTAATTTAAAAGTATTTAAGCTGTTTCTTGTTTCCCATTCTAGTTTTGCATTCTTCATTTTTTTAAAAAATTGTGTTGTCTTCTGTTCTTGCTTTTTACTTTTTTATATTGCAGTTATTGTATAAGAAATTCATACATTTAAAAAAAAGTTATTGGTTTAAAAATATATGAAACAATTTTTGGATATCCTCCTTATATCAATAACGAATTGATTATCAATTTTATTAATAATGTTTATATGTTTCATATAATGTAACATGAAAATTCTGAAGAGATGAAGCTCTGTTGGAAAAATAAGGTTACTGGGGAAGTCTGTAATATTGAGGTAGATAGCTAACTCGCCAAGCTGGCGATGATTTCCGCGACTAATTTCTGTCGCCAAATTTGGCGAGAAATCTCTAGCAGTCGCCAAATTTGGCTGTAAAGTTAATAAATATAATCAAACCTGTTTGTTATTATAAAGTTTATTAAAAAATTAAATATCTCCTCCAAATAATAGCTCAAGACAATATTGCAGCAAGAACAGAGTTTTTACTTCCTGGAATCATAGCTGAAAAAAATTTCCGGTACTGCATAATGAAATATCCTAAGAATTGTACAGTCCAAAAGGCATACTAGTGTAAAGTGACCATATTTTCATTGAGAAAAAGCGGGACAAACGGAATGAAATGAGAATTATAATTTAGTTATGAAAGCAGACCAATAATTCAAAAAAAAAAAATTTATTATATACATTCATTTACTTGTCTATAAATATACAAAAATATATTTATTATTAACTATTGGTAACTATAAAAATATTTGTAAAAAAACAATAATTTGAATATTATGTTGTTAATTAATTTAATATTTTATTTTTTAAAAAATTATGATTTATTTTCACGGTTATATTTTTTATCCGAGTGAATGCTTTGCAATAGATTCATATTCATTAAAATGTCATGAAATTTTTCACATGAATTGGTCAAATTATATTTTAGGCTTAAGGCAGATTTTAAAGTTTTAATGTTCAACTGCATTTTTTTCAATTGTCCATATTTTATTGATATTAGAAAAAACATGTTCTATTGCTGCATTTGTTCCTGTAAGGGAGAGCGTGTGTTCTACAGTTTTCAAAATATTTTCATAAGGAATTATTATTCTGTTTAAAATAAAGGAATAACTCCATCCATTTTTTGTCTGTTTCCACATTTGCAGACAACCAACATTTAATTTTTTCATCAATAACTTATTTTTTTACTGATGACACCTCATCAAAAAGATCATTTTCACAAATATTATTTTTTGGAAAAAGGTTACTAGTATATTAAAAAGATTTTTCCACTTATTCCCATAAAATATCCTTTTTTAATGTCACTCAATGAAAGTTTTTGAAATTGAAAACCAGTGAAGTTTTGAAAAGAACTGAACTGTCCATCCTTCAAGATATTCCAAGCAGTTATTATAAAAATTTCTGACTACTTTCAGAAAATCAGGTTGTTTATTATGGCACCTTGTTCTTCCAACCTAGTGATGTCCTTTCGAATAACTAAAGGAGCGTAATCCTTATCAATTCTTTCTCGCAATTTTGTTTTTAAATTATTGATTTCATTTGACACTTCCGTAATTGAAATTTTGTCCCTTTCAATAATTTTCACAGCATTGTGAAATAATGTAACTTGGTTGTGATGTGTCATTTTCAAAAAACAGCTGCAATATTCTTGGATATTTATCTTGTGATAAAAAGTGTGATTTTAATGGTTGGTATATTTAAAAAATATTTTCTACAGCTGGTAAAAGCGCTAGCCATTGTGTTTTGCTGTAACCAATAATTCTTTTATGTTCGATTTCTGCGCTTTCAAAAAATTACTTCAAACTTCGACATGCACAGTATATATATAAAAATATTAATACATTTTTGAATAATTTATTGGATCAAACATTTGTTTAGTTTTGTAAAAACGTTATTGATGCCTCTTCTAGCTTTTCCACCAAAATTTGCGTTAGTGTCAACAGTAAAATTATTGCCTCACAATAGGCAATAATTTTATTGTTCAAGTTATTCTTTTTTAAAATAGTTCTTATCGGATCAAAAATTATTTATGAAGTTTCACCTGGCAGCCGTCCAGACTGTATAGTAGTTAGGGGAGCCTGACTGTGATACCGAAGGGCCTGGGTTTGAATCGCGGAGAAGGCATGATTGGAACTGTCTGTCCCTTCATAGGAGGCAATGTTGGCCCACCTATTAGGTTTCGCCATAGTAAAGAGACGACCATATCTTTCTGTTACAAATCTGTAACTGTTCATAATTTGCCACTGGGGGGGAGTTTCACCCGGCAATGAGACAAAACTGATACAGTACAAAGTCCGCAATCCGGACGTCCCTTTTCTGGATTGAACTATAATCCAAACCTCAAAGTCACAAGTTTTTTTTTTTTTTTGCATGCTTTACGCGTGCGCGTAAAGAATGCGCGCGCATACATTATGCGCATTACGCATGTACATAATGTATACTTTACGCATGTGCGCATTGAAAGAAATGCTTAATAAAGTAAACAAATAAATATTGGTACTTTTCCATTTCGCCGCCGCAAATCGCGCCAAGCAGACTTTGTTGGTGAGCATGCAGTATACACATAAAAAATGTTAACGAATGTTAGTTCTAAGAATTTTTTATTTTTGAACGTTTAAACATTTTAATATGGTTTATAATTTTGTAAAAAGCCAATAAATAAAGACTAAATTTGTAAAAAGACATTAATTTAAGAATTTACTATGCTATCATGGTTCAACATCCTGATTCGCCGGTTTGTATAACGTGACCCTAATTGAGCTCATCTCATGTACACTACGCTGCAAAAATATAATTCTCTCAGTAATTATCTACATTAATTTGAAGTTAAATTTTAATTTTGAATACAAGAATTAAATGCATTTTCTTCATTTTAAGTTTAAATCTCAAGTTTAATTTTAAGTTTAAAGTTAAATCCTAAGTTTAAATGCAAGAATTATTTCAATTCGTATGAATAGCTTACTGAGAAATTATGTAAAACCGTAGTGCTTTACTTCGCTAGTGCATTCTCATTAGAGAACTGATAAATTTAACACTTGATTTTGCATTTTCTATATTTTCGCTTTCGGGTGAGTTGTGTAATTGCATCCAAATTGACTTAATTACCGTGAATGCTCTTAGGGCATAAAATTTAATTATCTTTGAAATATTCTATGCAATTGTATGCCAGTATTGAAAGAAACAACCAAACTGGTAAGAAATGGCTGCGACTTGTTTTGAAAATGAGGTATAAAAGGTTACCAGCAAAGATATCCCCTTTGGCATCAGTTGCACCATTATTGGGAACTTTATCGTTTGCGCCGGCAAAACGGAAAAGTACCTAAATATTAAGCGTTTTTTTTTTTTTTTTTTTTTTTTTTTTTGTAAAATTTGATACCCTTTAGATTATAATTGGTTTTTATTTCATAAATTTCGGTTTCATATTTTTAATTGTATAATTTCTGCATGTCATCTTACCAGATTTAAATTGATCTATAATCCGGAATCGCTGAAGTCCCGAGGAGTCCGGATTACGGACTTTGTACTGTATTCTAATTTTAATTCCTGTTTCTGGTAAAAAGTCTAACAATTGTGGGAAATAATTTTAAATCTTTGTGGTTGGAAGCATCATAATATAAGGACATAAATGTGCATTTAATCTAATTCTTTCTGCAATTGTGAAAACGAATATGGTGAAAATCATTACAGATAATTGCTTTGGTTTTTGTCTTCGCACGTGCAAATTTTTTGTCGTACAATGTTTTGATCATTTGCGACGTACAATAAATTGATCTGAAACTTTGATTGTGGTTTATGGTGTGGACAGCAAATAGCCCTTCAGCTAATGCTAGCTGTTCCTCCGTTAACAATATATATTCCTGGACGAGATGTAACGATAATGATCGAACACCATTGAGTAAATCTAACTCGTTACATCGCCTAATTTAGTTTACACTGCATGCATTGTGTTTTTTTTATTTCTTTCTATTCACTATAAAATTAATAAATAAAAGGTAATATATTTTTACAATATATTTAAAATAAGAAATGCAGATGTTTTCAAAAAAAAGGGACATTTTTAAAAATTGACAGTCCTTAAAAAAAAAAAAAAAAAAAGTGACTATCCTGCCAAAATCGAGATGTGTGGTCACTTTGGACTAGTAGTGTACTAGTAGCTATCAAATATACTTTTTTTTGTTCAAAGTGTTTGAAAATAATCAGATCTTCTTGCTTTTACATATCATTATTTATTTCCTACAATGTAGTTTATATTATGATCTAATATTTTTAGAGTTCTATTCTTTTTATGGCATTAAGTTAGGAATTTCTAATAGTATATGTAAGGAAGCGGAATGGCAGGAGTGGATAATCAACATTGAATTCAAAAGCATAATAAAGTTACTTACCGAAAATGAAGAAAATGCAATAGGGGCTTTTAAATTATGAATAATTAGTTTGTTGTTTAAATTAATTTTCATTCTTTCTATCATATATATTTAGCTTTCTCTTTATTTTTTATGATATTTGCAAAAATTTATTTTTCTTCATGAAACTATAAGTTTCCATCATTAAACTAAACATATTTAATTTACATATATGATATGTAATTTTTTTATCAGAGAGTTCTTAACAATGTTGATTATTTTTACTCTAGATATTTATATATTATTATTTTTTTATTATGCTCTATTAGGCTAGAATGGAAGTGGAGGATCTCTTTACAGATCTTGCAGATGGGAAAAAATTGCTTAAATTGCTTGAAATAATCTCAGGTGAAAAACTTGGAAAGCCAAACCATGGCAAAATGAGAGTTCACAAGATAGAAAATGTAAATAAAAGTTTGGCTTTCCTTCATACAAAGGTAAGGGATATTGCTTTTTTGGGAGGAGGGGAATTTTATTTCTTATTACTAGTTTCAGAATTAATATTCTGTTTGGAATGGCTTTTACAAATATGAATAATTTTTTAAATTATATTTCTAATTAAATTTTTTTCCAGAGATATGTAATCCTAACTTCTTGTATAAAGTTTAAATTACTATTCTAAAGAAAAATGAATAAAATTAAACATAGTAATTCTCATTTCAGATAATTTAGCTTGACAGTTTATTAATTTAATAATAAACGTTGTAATGAAAGACACTGTTATTTATGCTCAAAACGAATACTGGTGACATAGACCATGTATTAGTTGTCTGTAGAATTATCTTTTATCTCTTTCTGTTATTAGGTTAGATTAGAAAGCATAGGAGCTGAAGATATAGTCGATGGAAATCCAAGGTTAATATTAGGTCTTATATGGACAATAATTCTAAGGTTTCAGATACAAGAAATAGAAATTGATGTTGTAAGTTTCCATTATGTAATATTTCTTTTGTATCATTTTTTCTCTTAATACAAAATAATAATGGAACTTAATACTACTATACATCTGATGTATTAACTTTAAATTATTTTCATAGCCGTGTGTGCTATTAATATTTATTATTTCATGTGCAAATAGAATGAAGATGATGAAAGTAGTGAGAAAAAGTCTGCTAAAGATGCCTTATTATTATGGTGCCAAAGGAAAACTGCTGGGTAAATATTATTTTAATAAATGATAAAATTCAGTTTTATTTGATGGTAATGTTATTTATTTAAAAATAAAAATAAAAGAGATCCAGAAGAGGTTAACATGCTTCAAGGAATTTATTGTCTTGCCTCATGATAAAAAATTGTACCAGAACAGTGTACTTGAAGAACTTTGATAAAACTGAATCCTCATGTGCATAATTCGGTTATGTATTATTATATTCTGTTACTTTTTATCTGTAAATAAAAATGCTATGTATTGTGTTATAACAGAGATATGAAATTTAAACATACAGTCAAAAGTCGTTAATCCGGACTCGTCGGGACTTCGGCGATTCGGCATAAATTATAAATTAAAAATATGAAATAAAGAACAATTATGATCTAAAGGGTATCAAAATTTACAAAAGAAAAATGCTTAATATTTATTTGTTTACTTTATTAAACATTTCTTTCAATGTAAGTTGTTTAAGTTGCTTCTTTTTATGTGATAATACTTTCTCTTTAATTCTATAAACATACATAATTTCTTATTCAGTTACAAAGTTCCGCTGTTCAAGTCCTATAATTGCTGTGTCGAGAATATCGACTAATTTGTCAATCGAAATTTTTTCATTTTCAATAACCTCTGTGTCACTTTCTTCACTATCGGAAGCAAATTATAATGATGAGGAATTTGATTTAAATCATATCAAACACAGAGTACATCGAGATGAAATACTGCATTTAGTAAGGAATTATAAGCCAAATAAAATAAAAACATTAAAAACATCTGCCCTGAAGATAAGGATAGTGCTGACAGATCAAATTCCAATTCATTGCGCGCTGCGGCGTCCCCCCTCCTCCCACCAGCAGAGTGAAATTTATAAACAGATTTCGGAATGGTTAGAGAAACAAAGGATATGCCTTTATCCATTTTTTGCAGCAATTCCACTTTTTGTTTAATAGACTTCGAAACATACTTTCGCTTTGTAGATCCTTTACATATTAGTAAATATATATCACAAATTCTATTTGACATAATCGAAAGTTCAAGCCTACTTTTATAAAATTGCTCTAACAGTCTGCAAAAAATAATAAGCCGGATCCAATTTGAAGATTAACCCCTTCGAGCCGGGTAGTGAAAACGCGCGCTTATCGCAGCAGTGTCTTCCGCGTGCATCTCTCCAGTGCCGGGGGCTTTTTTTCTACTAAGCCTAAATCCATGAAATTTCCGAAGTATCAAGGCATTGTTTAATAATGCTCTATAGAGTCTTTAAACGGCTTATGCTTTATAGATATTTTTATATATATACTTATTTCTTTTTATATATATACTTATTTCTTGTTTAAGTGCATATTTTACACATTTTATTTTAATGACTCACCATTTTATGACTTTTAACATTATACATCTGAAAAAATAAATATTACTTAAAATTCTCTTTTCATATATGAAAATTTGAAAACAGGGATCTACACACGGTCCTACGTTACATCCCTTGAACTCGTAATAACTCATTTGCCGTTTTGGAGGATTTTTCCGGGAATGTGAACAAACGAAGCATCGTCGTCTCATTTTCTTATCAGTCTCTTCTGAGCAAAGTTTTGGAAAATGACTTTCAGTTAATCTTTCAGAATCAATATCAGAATTTCAGAATCAATATCTGAAATATTTTGCATCCTTTCTGCTATTTCATGCTCTGTTAAACATTTTCGACGCTTTGACATTGAAACGGTAAAAATAGAAAGAATTCACGTCTAACAAGATCTAATTATTTTCTAAAAACTGAACTGTAAACGGAAATACTCAACGCTTTAGCGCATATAAAACTTCTACTTACAATAAACAACTAGCACGTGCGAATAAAGTGCGATTTAAAGAGACGTCATAAATCACGCCATTCGGAAACATTTAGTTCCCCGTTTGTTTATATAATCAAAAACACGTGTATGTGAGTCATGCTTCTCTCATTTCGAGTAGAATGTCTAATGTACATGTATCTGAAACCATATGGGCATACAGTGCCATCTTGTGGCAGAAATTATAGTTTGAAAAACATTCCAAGGTACTGGCACAAATACGTGACATTCGGTAGAAAACGCAACATTGCTCTGGCACGCCTGCGTGTCGGCCGGTAGATAAGTGTGTTCGTTGCTGGCACGTATACGTGACAGTCGACGCGAAGGGGTTAAGGAACAACACAATCTGCAACATTTAACTGAATTAGATAATTTTAGCTTAGGTTATACCATCCGTTATACATTAAACGCGCATGCGCACACGCATTTTTGCAGCCGTAAAGTTCTTATGCGCATGCGTAAATGCCTATGCACAGAAAGTTTGTAGCTTTGATGTCCGGATTATAGATCATTCCGGATTATGGGTGTCCGAATTAACGACTTTTGACTGTATATTCTTGTGTGATGTGTAAATTAGTCATTGAATTTTTATAATAATTATAAAAGGAAATTGTAAATCTGTGTTTTATTTATATAATATTTCATCATCCAAGAAGTCCTGCAGTTTTTTAAGATAAATACAAACGAAGCAGTACAAAAACATAAACTTAATAACATAAGCACCTTTTTAGCCTACGAAGTTTTGTCATCTGTCAGTCAGCTGGAAAATTACTCTTTAACAAAAAAAAAAAAAAAAAAAAAAGATATTAGGTTTATTCAGAAAGAAATTAATGATGTGTTGTTTGATAGTCCCCAAAGAAGTGATCTTCAGGCCGTTCAGAGAATTCTGAGATGGGAAGATCTGATGAGGGTGATAAAAAATATCTCAGCCATATTTAAGAAGTTTTTGTGTTACTTCATCAAAATGATGTCAAATGTCATGTTGTTATGGTACAAGATAACTTGAAAATTGGTCAATTCTGGGCACTTTGCTTTGATTTCTGTTTTTCAAATTGAATTCATTGTCTGATTTGATGGCAACAATTCATAGGGTACAATTCCTTTGAGTCCCATTATACCATTATACACAAAATATTGCTTTTTCAGCGTGCAGTCCCCCTTTTGATGTTATTAGGTTATTAAAGGATGTTATTTTGGCTTACACCATGATCTTTTCCTTGTAACATTATTGTGTAGTATCAACTTCCCATCTCCAATAATGTGGGATTTCAAAAAAGGTGCTTTTTAAAATTTTTTCAGTAAAGAATAACTTGCCGAGACTCTATGAAGCACATTCTCCTCTGTTAAAATATGGAGCTTCCATACATCATAACAGCCTATATACTTAATCTTTGTTAAATACCTGTGTACTATATTTTTTAAAAATTTATTTTGTCTTATAGTTTCTGAATGGTATAATTTGAATTTTAGCATTCTTTTAATAGGTCCTTGTTTACAGAGGATAGTTTTTCAGAATGCTCATCATTTTTGAGGCTTCATATAAAAACTTCCATACTATTACTGTTAAAACTCTGTCACCAGAACACTTTTTTTTTTAATTCATAGCACAAGTTTTACAAGCAATCTCAGTAGAAATTATCTTTTTTAAAATAGCATAAAATGATGAATATTAATTTGAATCTTTCATTCTTTTTACTGTTTTAAATAAAAAATTATGCCACAACATATGCTAGATATATGCAACATCAGCAGAAAGGACCATATTTAAACATCTATTTGATCTAGGTCATTCCACATCAGCAGTAACAAAATAATTAGAAGAAAAGGTCCTTCAGTTTAAAAAAAGTGCAAAACTTCTGTTGCTCCTAGCTTTCAAGTGGTTTGTTATTAATGAATGCAAAACTGATTTTCATTAAATATTTGGTCATTGTCCACTAATTGCTTGTCAAGAGCATCCATCATTTTGAGTTATGATAAACATTGCACTTATACACAAAATATTGTATTAACACGTTGGCTATGGCACACATTTTATGTGGTTTGCCCATGGTGCCAATATGATTTTTTATGCGATGTATATTATATTGAAATATTATCTATGGAAGATAAAATGAGTTATATAAATGTGTTTAATGTATTTTTCGTGGTGGTGGGTCACAGGTGACCCTCGAGGCGCTGTAGATAATTTTAGCGATTTATTGTTTTTGCAACTTATTATTCTTTAAACCATTATAGTAACATTTAAAAATTTATCAGTATCGATATTTACTCTAATTATGTATTTTTACTATTGGTCGCATCGCCGGTTACGGTGGCCCCCACGGCGCTGTAGCCAAGTCGAGTGCCAGCCGCCGGTGACCCTCATGGCAGTCAATGTGTTAATTATGAGATGATCATAATTACCTTCGTTTATTAGGTATTTTCAAGTAGTATCTTCAAATATTTTAATCATAATGAATTATTATTTGGTCCAAATAACTTTTCATTGAGTCCTATTCTATCCAAAACTTTGGAAATTATCTTAATTAAGTGGATTATATCTTATATCTTAATGAGATGGATTGTATTTATGATGCTAAATGAGTGACTGACCATCGGATTGCCTCACTATGCTATTAAGGCAATACTAGGGAACTCTGTTCTTTTAGGTAGCATTAAGATAACCTTCCCCTAATGCAGATGACAGTAGTATGTGTTGTTATAATCAAATATTCCAATCCATATGTATGAGGATTTTTCAATTTTTATTACATTTTGATTTAAGTATAATAAAATTTGAGGTTTTAATAAAGTTCTCCCTGAATAGATTAATGATTTTTTTTGCTGTATCCGTGGGTATCTAGATAACCCTAATATACTTTGCCATACTAGGAAAAAGTGAACAGACTTTGATAGCTAATTATTAATTCAGAATTTGAATGGTAATTTTTTTAATTCTGCATCATGTATGTAATTTTGTGTAATAATTAATTAATTATGTGAAGTTATAATAAGTATCTCGTGAGAGTGAAATACTAGACATTATTTACAAAAATAATAATGTTAGTAGGAAACAAAATCCCAATCATTTATACAAGGAAAAACTGCCTTGACAACTTTTAAAATATATGTAAATCTGAAATATTTGTTTATATTTATATATAGAATTTTATATATATTTATAAATTATATTTATTATATATTTTGTAATTTACATCACTTTTTTTGCAGTTATCCAGGTGTCAATATTCAAGATTTCCATGTAAGCTGGAGAAATGGCTTAGGTTTTAATGCACTTATTCATTCACATAGGCCTGATCTCATTAACTACCCAGCTCTTCATAATAATAGTAATATTCAGAATCTAAATAATGCATTTGATATTGCACAGAAAGAACTTGGTATCCCTCGTTTACTGGATGCTGAAGGTAAATAAATAATACTTTTATATTTCTGCTCATTGTATTAGAAATGGTTTGGTTTATTTAATTATGACAAAGCACGCTAGGGCTATCTGCCTAAGGGGATGGATGACTTCATGGAGAACTTTCTAAAGGAAACTGACTCGTATACACATTACACATGGGGAAAACCACAAAAATGCCCATGTAGCCAGCCCGTTCGCAGGATTTGAACCTCGGACCGAACTACCAGTGTTCAGCAACTTTACCGCTCTTCTGCTGGTGGGCAGTATTAGAAATGAGAAGGAGAAAAATATTTAAATTTGAAATTGTTTGGAAACTTTTTTTTCCATGAATATTTTTGTCTCAAATTAAAACATTGCATTTGTTATTTATGTAATTGAAGAAAGCAAATTTTACGTAGTAATAAAAGAGTTTGTTAATATGTCAATAATAGTCTTTATGTATTTGTTTTTAGACTTTCAAATAAACAATTAAAAAAAATAAAAATAAATAAAATTAAAAAAAAAAAAACTTTGTTGAAAGAAAAATTGTCATAATTTAAAATTTAATCTTTGTTAACCAAGTTTTCATTTATCTAAGATGGTTATAATCCTAATTACTTCAGAAAATTGATATTTTATGTTGTATTTTCTACGTGAATAATTTTTTTCCCTGTTAAATCAGATATTTCCCAATTAAATTTATTTAACTAATTCACTTTAATATTACATTTTTGTAATTAAATAAAACTCAGGTGTTTATGAGAAATATACAATAAATATTTTATAAATAAGGTACTTTGTTTTACAAAGTGATGTGATTACGAATCATATGTGATTATGAATTTAGATCAGAACATCTATCTTACAAGTAGTACAAGTAGATTTATATGGTCAGTTTCAAATTCCATGTTATTTAACCCCTTCGCGCTGACTGTCACGTATACGTGCCAGCAACGAACACACTTATCTACCGGCCGACACGCAGGCGTGCAAGAGCATTGTTGCGTTCTCTACCGACTGTCACATATTTGTGCCAGTACCTTGGAACGTTTTTCAAACTATAATTTCTGCCACAAGATGGCACTGTATGTCCATATGGTTTCAGATACATGTACATTAGACCTTCTACTCGAAATGAGAGAAGCATGACTCACATACACGTGTTTTGATTATATAAACAAACGGGGAACTAAATGTTTCCGAATGGCGTGATTTATGACGTCTCTTTAAATTGCACTTTATTCGCACATGCTAGTTGTTTATTGTAAGTAGAAGTTTTATATGCGCTAAAGCGTTGAGTATTTCCGTTTACAGTTCAGTTTTTAGAAAATAATTAGATCTTGTTAGACGTGAATTCTTTCTATTTTTACCGTTTCAATGTCGAAGCGTCGAAAATGTTTAACAAAGCATGAAATAGCAGAAATGATGCAAAATATTTCAGATATCGATTCTGAAATTCTGATATTCTGATATTGATTCTGAAAGATTAACTGAAAGACATTTTCCAAAACTTTGGAATGATCTATAATCCGGACCTCAAAGCTACAAACTTTCTGCGAATGCGTGAACGCACAGGCGTTTACGAGAGCGCGTAAGACCTTTACGGCTGCGAATATGTTTGTGCGCATGCGCGTTTAATGTGTAACGGAGTTATACGCTAAGCTAAAGTTATCTAATTTAGTTAATGTTGCAGATTGCGTTGTTCCTTAATCTTCGAATTGGATCCGGCTTATTATTTTTTGCAGACTGTTAGAGCAATTTTATAAAAGTAAGCTTGAACTTTCAATTATGTCAAATAGAATTTCCGATATATATTTACTACAAAGCGAAAGTATGTTTTGAAATCCGAAATCTGTTTATCAATTTCACGCTGCTCTGCGGCAGAGGGGGGGGGGGGGGCAGAAACGTCATTATTAGATTATGATAGATTAGAAAGATTATGTCAAATAGAATTTCCGATATATATTTACTAATATGTAATTTGTATCTACAAAGCGAAAGTATGTTTTAAAATCCGAAATCTGTTTATCAATTTCAGGGGGCGGATTGGAAGTTAATCTGTCAGCACTATCCTTATCTTCAGGGCAGATGTTTTTATTTTATTTGGTTTATAATTCCATACTAAGTGTAGTATTTCATCTGGATGTACTCCGTCTTTGATATGATTTAAATCAAGTTCCTGGTCATTATAATTCGCTTCTGATAGTGAAGAAAGTGACCCAGAGGTTATTGAAAACGAAACATTTCGATTGACAAATTAGTCGGTATTCTCAACGCAGCAATTATAGGACCTTGAACAGCGGAACTTTGTAACTAAGCAAGAAATTATGTCTGTTTAATAGAATTAAAGAGAAAGTATTATCACATGAAACGAAGCAACTTACATTGAAGGAAATGTTTAATAAAGTAAACAAATAAATATTAAGCTTTTTCTTTTTGTAAATTTTGATACCCTTTAGATCATAATTGTTCTTTATTTCATAAATTACGGTTTCATATTTTTAATTTTGTAATTTCTGCATGCCATCTTACCAGATTTAAACTGATGATCTATAATCCGGAAAAATCGATAATCCGGAATCGCCGAAGTCCCGAGGAGTCCGGATTAACGACTTTTGACTGTATTTAGTTTTCAGATGTATAATGTTAAAAGTCATAAAATGGTGAGTAATTAAAATAAAATGTGTAAAATATGCATTTAAACAAGAAATAAGGTAATTAAAGTATATATATATATAAATATCTATAAAGCATAAGCCGTTTAAATACTCTATAGAGCATTATTAAACAATGTGTTGATACTTCGGAAATTTCATGGATTTAGGCTTAGTAGCAAAAAAGCCGCCAGTGCTGGAGAGAAGACCGGCCTCCGCGATAAGTGCGCGTTTTCGCTACCCGGCTCGAAGGGGTTAAGGAAGATGTTATTGTTTGCTACAATGAGTTGAATGTGGGGAAAAAAAAAAAGTACCTTTCCATTTTGCTGGCGCAAACGATAAAGTTGCTAAAACTGGTACAACTGATGCCAAATGGAATATCCTTGCTGGTGACCTTTTACGCCTCATTTTCAAAACAAGTCTCAGCCATTTCTTATCAGATTGATTTTTTTCTTTCAATACTGGCATACAATTACATAGAATTTTTACCTGGTAACCTTTTACGCCTCATTTTCAAAACAAGTCGCAGCCATTTCTTATCAGATTGATTTTTTCTTTCAAGACTGGCATACAATTACATAGAATTTTATGCCCTAAGCCCATTCGCGGTAATTAAGCTTTCTAAGTAAGCTATTCGTACAAATTGAAATAATTCTTGCATTTAAACTTGTATTCCAAATTAAGATTTAACTTGAAATTACTGTAGATAATTATTGAGAGAATTACATTTTTTGTGGCGTAGTTCACGTGAGATGAGATAACTTGGGGTCATGTGATATGTACCACGAAAGCATAGTAAATTCTTAAATTAATGTTTTTTTACAAATTTATTGTCTTTTTACAAAATTTTAAATGGTATTAAAATGTTCAAGCCTTCAAAATAAAAATATCTTAGAATTAACATATGTGAATATTTTTTATGTGTATACTGTGTGTTGTCACCAATAAAGTCTGCTTGGCAAGATTTGTGCCGGCGAAACGGCGGAAAAGTACCCCCAAAAAAGTGCTTATTTGTACGTATTAAAAAATGTGCATTTTTAAGTCAAAGCCCCTTCCAGTAGAAAATATGCAATATCTAACTACCTACAAAATATCAAGTGACAGAAGAGTGGAGTAGGAGTATATAGGAGCATGCAAAAGAATTTCCATGTGGCTGAAACCTTCATAAACCAATTTTCACATTTTATCTTCTGTAATGTGGCTTCAAAAATAAAATACTCACTGGTAATAGTAATGTTGATGATGATTGAAATGCAATAGTGATGTTGATGATGATTGAAATTATTTGCAGTTAGTTCACCAGTGGTTAGTTTCTCCATAGTCTATCAAATTATATTCATTGGTATTTAAAATCTTGAAAAATTTTCTTGAAGTAAAGCAAAAATATAACAGAGCAAAACATGAAATTTAAGTAAAATTACTAAAATATCACATTGTGGAAATTACAACTTTAAATACTTAAATTACAAAAATGAAATATTACAAATTTACAGCAGTGCAATATGTGAGCAAGTTAACTGTAATTGACATTGTAAATGCTGGGTTGCCAAATGTGAAGACTAAATTACACATTATTATCATTCTTTGTTTATATCAAACATACTGTAACAAACTGAACAGTTTAGAGAATAATTAATACTCTTAAATTTTAGAACAACTTTTTTTATAGCTTTAACTTTCATTTATATGATTTGTATGAAAAATAATTAATGAATTATGTGCATTTGTTTTTGATTTCTGTATTTATGATTATGTTGAATTGAAGAACTTTTAGACATATTACAAGTTATTTTAAATAATCATAATTATATAAAAACAATTTTTTTTAAAGATGTTGATACAAATAAACCAGATGAGAAGTCTGTAATTACGTATGTTGCATCATATTATCATACATTTGCTAGAATGAAAAGTGAAATGAAAGGTGGCAAACGTATTGCCAATGTAAGTATAAAAATATATCTATATGTATTCTGATTGTTGTAATAGTTATAGTTCTTTATTACGCATACCATTACTTTCATGATATGTGTATCTTTTTTTTTTAAAGTTTTTTAATATTATTTTTGCATTCTTCTTGAAATTATATCCATATCATTTTCTTGACATATTATTTTCCCATTCTTCTTGACATGTCATTTTTCTTTTATGTGATGTAAAGAAGTGGTAATCAGACATTTCCAGACTGTACTCCTTAATCATGACTAAAACATTTATGTTTTAAAATGATAAAACTATGTAATACTTAAGGAAGAACAGAAAGTGATGATGCATATGAGTTGTATATTTTTGGTTCATTTGTTTATTTTGAGTAATAAGGAAATTAATATTTTATGCATGTTGCATAATACAGATATTATGTAATATGGAAAGATAACATGTTAGCTACATGGAAAATATTTAAACTGTTAAATTTTTTTTTAAAATTAAACTGCTAAAATAAAGGTACTTGTAATTATTATTCAAAGGGAACCTATCAGTTTTGAATATTTTTATACAGATCTTTCAAGTAACTACGAGAGAAAATTTCTGTTAATTGCCTTGGAATTTTGCTGCTTCTTCTTCTTTTTTTTTTTTCTTCAATCTTTTTAAAATTTTCTCTATAGGTATTCAAGCTTATAAAAGTTGCATAACACTATGAATACCACACTTTGAGAAACTAGAAATTTTTACTTTATTACACTGTTATGTTAAATATCCTGTATTAATTTAGAGAATAGTATGGTTAGTATTTAGAGAATAGTTCACTTAACATATCTAAAACATTTTGCATCTAAAGATAATTAAGTTAGGGTGTTGAAGTAAATCAGATTTTAACTTCTTACATTTTCAGGGAAGTACACTATACATGAAAATTAGAGCATAATTATGCATGTTATTGTGCATTTGAAGAAGGTTTCAAAAGAACTTATATACAAATGTATGCATTTTATAAAAGTAATTTTGTAATTAAATTATCAACAATGTTATGTGTATAACTAATTTATACAAGCTTTTCTTTTCCCTTTTGAGCCATTTATGAGTTACTTTTTTTTCCAGTTTTCCCAATTCTTTTTTTCCAATTTATTTCCATAAGTATAACTTACTTCTTTTCTTTCAATGTAGATTGTTGGTCAGATGATAGATGCTGATAAATTGAAAAATAACTATGAAAGTTTCACTACCAATCTTTTGGAGTGGATTAAAATAAAAATCAAAGAACTAGACAATAGGAATTTTCCAAACTCATTGGAAGGGATTCAGAAGGAACTTTTGAGATTTAAAGAATATAGAACAATTGAAAAGCCTCCTAAGTAAGTAGCTTATTACATTTCCTTCTTCTGATTCTCTTTTATTAGATTTTCTTAGACACTTATATACAAAATAACTGAAAAATCATTGGGTGCAAGGTTTGGACTTTAAGGTAGATGATCCAGTTGTTCCCATCCAAAAGACCTGATTAGACCTTGTGTTTATGCAGAAACGTGTGGCCTCCCATTGTCATGGAGCAGTATCATATTGAAAGACAGTAGGCCATGCTGTTTGTTTTGCATGGCATGCCGGAGTTTTCTCGAAGTCACACAATGCACGTCAGAATTTATTGTTGTGCTTCTCGGTATAAAATCCAATGAAAACTTCTTTTCCTGTCCCAAAAGACAGCTGCCACTATCTTTTGCACCAAAGTTGTCTGTTTAGCTTTCATTTTGGTTGGTGATGATGTGTATTGCCATTCTCTTGATTGTTGCTTGCACTCAGGAGTGACACAAGGCACTTAAATCTCATTTCATGTAACAAAGTGGCTCAAAAATTCATCTCCTTCCTGATTGTGTTGAGTGATAAATGATAAAGCAACGCCCAATCTTTTGTTGTGTAATTGTCTGAAAGCAGTCTTGGAATCCACTGACTACACATTTTTTGATAATTCAGTTCCTTCAAAACAATGGTGTACAAAACTGACTTCGAAACCCGTGGAAAATCAATTGATAAATTTGCAGTCATGAATTGTCAGTTCTCTCAAATTTTGTTATCCCCATCACAAATCAAATCTTCAAAAATTGCAGAAGTTCAGCCAGGGCAGGGCATCATGCACATTAATATATCTGACCTTGAACATTCTTACCCACTTTCGAAACTTACCCTTGTTCCTGGCATCATCACTGTAAACTTCACAAATGTGATGGTGAATTTCCACTACTGACAAGTTTCTAATGCTCAGGAATCAAATTACAGATCGTATCTCACAGTTTTGGTGAGCAACTCAATTTTCTTAAACATCATAAATTTTTACAGCTCAGCACATAGGTAGATGATATGGCTGCAAATAGCATCGAAATATACTCGATGCATGGTAGGAAGAGGCATACATACGCACTGAGCGATCATGCATCATTCTCTTATCTCATTCACAACAGACCTTATTTAAAAAATAACCTACACATATACTGTAATCTTCTTCTGAATTATGTATTTGATCTGTTTAACAGGTATAAAGAGAGAAGTGAAATTGAAGCCTTACTTTTCTCAATTCAAACAAAAATGAAAGCTCTTGGTCAACCTTTATATGTTCCACCTGAAGGACAGTTAGTCCATGATATTGAAAAAGCATGGGATGAATTGGAAAAAGCTGAACACAGAAGGGAAGTTGCTCTTAGGGAAGAATTACTAAGGCAAGAAAAGCTAGAAAATCTTGCTTATCGTTTTGAGCGTAAAGTATGTCAATTTATTTGTGTGTATTTTTCTGTTATTAAAATTTAATTATAGAAAAAATAGATTTATTATAAATGTAGTCAAATTTAAGCTTTACCTTCATTATTATTTTATGAATTATCACTACTTTTTTCTTCAAAATTAACCATGACATGCTATCAGTGTTTTTCCCAATTCGTATAATGTAATATAACTGCATGCATACTACATTGCATCTGTCTTACAACTTTGAAAACATAGTTTTTATTTCTACAGCTCTGTGTATTTATGTGCATGTTATGAAATCAGCCTGTAAGACATTGATAGTGTTAAGGTTTTGTTGGTTAAAATTGGTATTGATATCAAAAAGAAAATACAAACACCATATGCTTAATTTACCCTCTGAGCGGTGCAGGATTTTAGATATGTCATGAAGATCGGTATTTAAACAGCATTTATTTATTTTGTATAAATACTTATTTTAGTCTGTATTTTCATAAACTTAGATTCATTAAGATGATATTTACATTATTAAAGAAAGTAAGAAAGCAAAATATCTTAAAGTAATATATGCGAACTAGCGAAACTTCCGACGACCAGATAAAGCCTTAAAAAAGGCACAGGGAACTTTAATATGTAAATTGATTGAAAGGTCTAATACCACTTGGCATCCACAGTAATTGGTATAGAGAATGATTTGCAGCTGCTGAAAGCAGATCTGAAAAGAAAAGCAGAAACAAGCTAAACTTAATTTTTTAACTCCTTGAGCATTCATTATTAATGAGTGCTAGCTATGAATTAAGTATAAATAGCAATTAGTTATAGAATTTTTAATTGTGTAATGGAAGGAAGATCAATTTATAAAGATATCAAGAAATTTTACGAACTCTCAAGGAGCGTTTTTGTAGAATTGGGGCTAAAGAAGGATTTCTTTTTAATATCATGATAATGCAAAGCCACACTGTAGTCAATAAAACATGGAAATGATTTCAGTCTAAAATCACACTTGTTTCAATCATCCTTATAACCTAGATTTGACACTGATTTTTTTTGCAGTTCTCAAAATTGAGAGAGATGTTGAAATATGAGCATTTTTTGCCTTATATCAAATATAAAATTGTTGTGCACAAATGGCTTGAAAGCAAATTACAAATTTCATGAATGGAATTAACAAATGAATTGCACATTTGAAAAAATGTGTGGTAAGGAATAGTAACTGTGTTGAAAAATAAAAGTATTATCTTTAAGCGAAATAGTTTTCTGTCATTTTGATTAACACTTTCATTATATTATTTTGCTCTTAATTTATTTTATATAAGTGGAAACCTTGCTTATCAATTAACCCTTTTACAAGTATTTAAGGTCATTTAAGCTAATGAAACAAAGTATTTTATATATTCATATGCATTCTAATAAAATTTTACAGTTTGGCAATTACTGACATAATCTTCAAGATTGAGTTTTATTTATGTATGTGAAAATATGTGAAAATCTATGATAAGTCATAAAAATAAGCAGTTTAAACTACAAAATTCAACAGAACTAAAAGATGTCTGTCTCTTCCAGAGTGTTGTTCGAGAAGGTTATCTGAAAGAAATGATACAAGTTCTCTCAGATCCTAGGTATGGAAGTAATTTATCTCAAGTAGAGGCAACTGTGAAAAAGCATGAAGCAATTAGTGCTGATATATTAGCTAGGGTAAGTAATGCAAACTGTAGTTCTGTAGTAAAATGAAAAACTTATTTAGTTAAAAAAGTGTATAAGAATTCAGGGAGTTCAGTTATATAGTGGTATGTTGAAATTATTTCTTTTTCCCTCCGATGGAGCTAATTTTTCTTTTATTATTTATCATCTGTCGCCGACTAGGTCATGTGACTGGTGGCAGAGAAAGAATGTAATAGCTCTTTTAGTTAAGCTTGAGTGCGACGCTTGAAATGATCTGTTCTTGGCCGCATAGCGGTAATCAACAATTATAATAATTGTTCTTGATAAACTAATCTTGGCCCTATGATGGGAAAATTTATATTATATATATATTTTGTGCTTTCAATAATGTAAATAATGTACATAAGCTCTTCATTAAATATTTCTGTGTTTCAACTGGAAGTTATTATTTTCAAGTTGAGTCTTTACGTGAAAATGATATATTGACTCTTGATTATACTAGTATATTTTTGACTAATTTGATGCTCTCCCAATTCATGAAAAATAGAATCGTGAATTCGTGAGCATAAACGTGACAAGTTTTTATACATGATATGTGCATTTAAGCTTAAAAAGTATAGCTGTCTAAATGTTGTAATTTCTTTCAATTTTAAAATGCATTGAAATTACAATATGTACAGCATTAGTGTACTTAATGTTTAAAATGTATAATGTATGTGTCTAATCGATTGTTGCATTATGTAATAAATTGTTTCAATTTTTTATGTGGCGAGAGGAAAATTAACATAGTATATAAAGTAAAAATTGTTCAAACATAATCTCTTTATGTAAAATGATTTCTCTTAGTTTAAGCTTTAGATTTTTCAGTGTTATTCAATTAAATGTTAATATTGATTACAAATTAATTTCTGCTGATGTAAATTTATTTGATGTTATATTTGTAAAATGATTTAATTTTCAAACTTATCTTTCAAATGTTTATAACAGTTTTGGTTTGGAATATATAAACAAGGGAACATACACAAGAGTTAATTGCAGTAAACTCCATCCTAAATTTGATCAAGATTGCTGAGATGTAGAGTACTGTATCTCTGTACCTCTTCCATCAACTTATTTTTAAGAATGTTGCATTGATAGATATTAAGTGAAAAGACTGTATTTTACTTAACATCCATACTTTATTTGGGGCATAAGCTTAACAATGTGGTAGTCTCTTTTCACTAATCATCATATATTATCATATATAAGGCACATAATTATTTTTAAAATTATGTTTGCTAGGTACGTGAGGTTTCTTTAAAGTAGGAACTAACAGTTTGAACATAGGCGATGCTAGGGTTTTCAGCATCTGAGAACAAATGAAAATTTTGCCCCCCTCCTCCTGTTGGCCAAAATGCAATGGACAAACTTCAGTTTGGCATCCCCTTGATGCTGTACATGGAGACAGATACACTCCTTGCCTTCCCATTATGCCTATGAGTTTGATGGTTTTGTTTCAACAAGGCATGTCATATCAATAAAGTCATATTTCTCCCATCATATCATTTTAATAAGGGGAGGGGAAATCTGGTATCTCGAGATGTGATTATAGCACATGCAGATTTTGTTTTACTTTTGTATTTTAACAAATTTATCAGTTTGATCATTGTGATTTTACTGAAAATTTGCTGCGAAAATGTTATTGAATTGTTTTTTCAATGTATAGGATTATCTTTTCTTTTATTTAGGAAGAGAGGTTTCAGAATTTAACTACAATGGCCGATGAATTAGTAACAGAAAATTATCATAGTAAGGATAGAATCAAACTCAGGTAATTAAATAATTAACTTTATGTTTGCTTGAGAAAGGGAAACTTTAGTATATGTTTCTCTGTTTTCCTCTCGAAGAATTGTGTATTAAGCTTAAGTTTGCTTTCATTTTAAAATGTTTTTCATTTATAAGGTAATTTCTCCCACTTCCCTAGCGTGCCTTCGTGGTGTAATGGTAGCATGCAGGGCCGGTATTACAGAGGTCTGTGGTTCGATTCCTGGCGAAGGCGGTTGTTAATTTTTCATCTTGGCTGCTTTCAAAAAAATACCTAATGTCTCTACAAGTGGCACCCGAACTAAAAGGGTTGTGGATGATGATTCTCCGCACCCAAGATTTAGCGACTAGGTCCCCTAAAACCCTAGTCGCCCTTTAAAAAGGGGAGTATGTAAGGTATTTCTCCCACTTCCCTAGCGTGCCTTCGTGGTGTAACGGTAGCACGCTGGGCGGCGGTTGTTAATTTTTCATCTTGCTTACTTTAAAAAAAAATACCTAATGTCTCTACAAATTCATTATGAAGTTGTAGATGCAGTACAGAAGCATTTCGTACATCATTTTTGTAGAATAAATTTTTAAAAATATTCTTACCAATAGCCTAGCTGCCAACTTTCCCAGTTTTTCATCTCATCTGGTTTCCCAGTAGAATATCCCGGTCTTTGTTTTTAGTCTTTATTAAGAAAAATATTTTCCAACAATAAATGCAATTTATTGAATTAATGAAACTTAAACTGTGAAAATACCATACCACACCCCTAATGATTTTCAGCATAAATCTTCATATTTAATTTTATGTGCTCTGGATTTTCTTAATATATTGTAACATTTGTATAAATTTTTTTGGAGATCCAACTATCGTGTCAGTCCATAAGTTCGTGTGCATTAAGAGTATGTGTGGAATTCACTATGACGCATTTACTAAAACAATACAATTTTGAACCTGTTGAAACTTGTCATCGTTTGGCTATCATATTATTCAGTTCATCACCAACTTTCGTAAATATTGAATGCATTTTAGTATCCATAGAAGATGAATATAGATAATCAGTAGAAACGTGCTATGCTACATTTTTAATTTTCGTGTGGTGAATCTGCCAAGTTTGAAGCGATAAAAATTAATAGTGTACATGGTGAACATCAGTTTACCTTCTAGCTAATGGTTTTGTTTTTATTTTACTTTTATTATAACTATTTTTTCTTTATGTATTTATATTAGATTTTCTATTAACATCGAAAATTATAACTGTTGATTCATGTTATTGTAAACTTGAAAACTATTGGACAGTTTCTCTTCTTGCATTTTCATTTACTGTATCATTTTCATTTTCATCATTATCATTTTGAAGTTTACGAAATATTCATTGTTTCTTAATATTCAGTGTTTTATGCAGTACTTACTATTATGGTTAGTTTATAGCTTTTGTATTTTCATTTAAAATGTCATTATTGGAAATTCAAATATATCTTTAGTGTTACTTTAAAAATTATTGGTATTGAATTCACCCTTTTTATGGATATATTGTATGAATTTAAAATGCATTAGCATCCTGGAAAAAAAGTATATAAAACAAATCCATTTTGGGAAAATATTCTGCAATTAAGGGTGGTCAGAAAAAGATTAAATCTGAATTAAAAGTGGATCCAGCAGGAAAGAATGTGAGAAAGATAATAGTGTGTTATGAATTTATAATGGAAATTCACAAAAGTTATAATTATTAATTTTTTTCTATTATATTGATGCATTCAATTCAAAAGAGAAGCAGTATGCTACTTAAACTGGGGGGGGGGGCTGATCTGCAGAATAAGCACATTTTTGCTTACTGGATGGACTTGTCAAGTCATAAGTAACACTGTTTTCAGTTACTTAACACTCTTATTAAAGCATGTTCTAAATAAGTGGTTTTCATGGATCTATAAATATCTTTCACCAAAGACCGCTTCATTCATTAAATTCTGGCTTGCATGCTGGCTCTACTTTCTTGCTTCCCTCACAAAAATGGTGCTCACGGCAGAGCACCTCAAACATGCTATGCTTCTTTAGTATGAAAATGCAGATTGCAATGAATGCTAAAAATTATGGAGAAAGTATATTGTAATGGTAGAAGACTGTATTCTCATCAAGATTGTATTGCCATTTGAAGGAACTTCAAATTGCATCCAAGCTTGGCAGGTAGTTTCCACATGAACTTACTAATGTAATTGAAGAGTGCCGCTGTGAACAACTGCACTGCTCTTCATTCATTAAAAAAAGTCCTTTTTTTAAACATCTAGTGCTTGGTGACTAAATATAACTGGTGGTCCGAAGCTTGCTTAATTTCATTGGTGGAAAAGAATACAATTCTCATGAGATATAAGCTTTCAAGATTGTTTCAGTAGTAAGCCAAGTGTTTTCTAGAATTGCATAAAAATTATTATAGCATTAGAATAATGTTATTGGTTCAGTTGAGGAATATATATAATTGATCAAATTTGTATTTACTTTGAAAAGCAAAATTACTTATGAGATGACTTGATATTTACAGGAATAGACTTTTTGTGGTGGAACTGTTGCTAAAGCAGTTGTTATATAAAATACTTTGTTATAGAACCTGAATAATGTGTAAATTTTTTTTATCTAGTTTTGTTCCAGCATGTTCAATTGTTATGATGCAATGAATCATATATATATATGTTGATAAATGAAATTTATATTGGGTTGTTCGGAAAGTAATTTCGTTTTTTTTTTTGGGGGAACATGAAAGACAATTTTCATATAATGAACAAATATTTTATTAAATTACATACTGTTCATTCTGGTCCAATGCCTTTTGACATCTTTCTGGCAAAAGCATGATTCCCACGCTCATAAAATATTTTTTCTTTGCTGGCAAAAAACTGATCCAGGTGATTTTGGACCTACTCATTTGAAATAAAGGTTCTACAGTCTAAAGACTTTTGTAAAGACCGGAACAAATAATACTCAACAGGTTCCAGGTCTGGAAAATATGGTGGGTGTGGCTCTACATCCCACCCAAGGTGTAAAAGCATTTGGCGAGTTATCAAACTTGTATGAGGTCTAGCATAATCTTGGTGGAACACTATACCTTTTCTGTGGGTTAATTCTTTGGCCTCTTTCTGTTCAAGGTGCAATCATTCAATTTGTCCAGCTAGATGACAATAGACTTCCGAATTAATAGTTGTGTATTGTCCGGTAGAAGCTAAAATAAAAAACGATTCCTTTGAAATCCCACCAAACGGGAAAGCATCACCTTTTTTTGGTGAATGTTGGCTTTTCGAAGTCGCTTTGAGGCCGGTTCATCTTTTTCTGCTTCCATTGACCTCTTGCGTTTCAACATTGTTGTAGATGAACCCATTTTTCGTCCTCGAGTAATAATCCGCTTCAGAAAAATGGATCATTTTCCTGACGTTTGAGGAAACGAATCACACACGTCAACGCGACGACACAAATTTCGCTCTGTAAGAACATGGGGCACCCACACATCGAGCTTCGAGGTTAAGCCCAGGCCTTTCAAGTGGCCATAAACAGTCGAATTCGACAAATTTAACCTCTCACCGATCTCTCGTGTGGTTATTCGCCGATTTGCACCAACTAATGCCTTTATCGCATCTTTGTCAGCTTCGACCGGCCTTCCAGACTGTGGTGCATCTTCGACGTCAAAATTGCCGGATCGAAACTTTGAAAACCAGTTCTGGCACTGGCATACTGTTAACACGCCTTCTCCATACACATCCGTCAATTTTTTTCTCGCTTGGACAGCATTTTTACCTTTTCTGAAGTAAAAAAGTAAAATATGACAAAAATGCTGCTTATTGCTCGCCGTATTTAAAAGAGTACCAACCAAAAACTACTGCGTAGAATTAATAGAATTTTTTCACACACAAGCCTTGTAATATCAGCTCTCAAGACATATAATAGTTATGCGGCTTAAGTGTGAAGTTGGTTTCGAAAAAATGTAATTAAGTCCTCTGACGGGAAAAAACGAAATTACTTTCCGAACAACCCAATAGTATTCTGCACTACTCTTCTGTTATTGGGACCGGATGCAGAATTGAATGTATGTATGAACTTATGTATACATGTATGTGCGTATATGTGTGTATATGCTCATATGTACACGCATATATGCACGCATACTTGAACGTATCCGTACATGCATACATTTCTGAATTCGGCCCCAGTAACAGAAGAATATGTGTTTTTCATTATCTTTACAAGTTGACAAATGAAATTATAGTATTTTGCATTACCTTTACAACCTTTTAGGGAACAAGAAATTATGCAGAGGTGGCATTACCTTTTAGAATTACTTAAGAAACACAGATCAACTCTGACAAACCTTAGTAATTTGATGAGCATGCTTCGAGAAATTGATACAATAACTGTGGAAATTAAAGATATGGAGGTAAATATTTAAAAAAAAAAAAAAAAAAAAAAAAAAAAAAAAAAAAAAAACATTTTTTTTTTTTTTTCTTTAGTTAATGGCATATGTCTTCAAATTGAAATTTTTAAACCCAAAATGTATATTTTTATGTGTAATTATTTTATTTTCTAATTTTATGTTATCCAGATTTGGGGGGGGGGAGAGGGAATTTTATAATTAAATTTTAATATAAGTCCATTATAATTTCTGTGCTATTTTGTGAGCACAGAAATTTAATTGATTTTAATTGATTTAAATGCAATTAGTAATAAATTTAAAGTGTAAGGCATGTCTATCACATCCTGGAAATTTGCATTGCTTGAAGAATATTTTGTTTTTAATGTAAGATTGCGTTTCTTCACAATGGTTTGACGGGAAAGCAAATATTAAGACTCTATTTTAGATATGTGTGAATGCTCATATCTCCAAAACTACAAATATTACGATCAATTTAAATGCATCATTAGATATTTGAAAAAGCACATTAGCAAACGGGGGAAAAAAAAATTGGACAGAAGGGTATACACGTCAAAAATAGTGAAATCTAAGATCTATGGACAAGTTAGCATCACGATTGTCTGGTAGACAGTCAGTGTGTTCGGGTGGTGTTTGTATTTTATTTTATTTTGCCAAGCTAGTGGTATTGCTATTTATAGGAATTTGATGAGTTTAGCAGATTGTGTACCAACAGAATTTACTATTAAGAGAATACAGAACTCAAAAGTAGGTGATATCTGTATGGTTGATGTAATTGTTGATGGACTGTCAAGATTTATTCTAGCATCCATATATATTCATCCAATCAGGAGATTCAAAGATGCTCTTATTTAGTGCATTAATGGAATATTCTGAGACTGCATAATTGATCGATGAAGAATTTACTGTAGATACAGTTGTTCTTGTTACTGTGAGAGGAGATTTCAGTGTAGACATCAAATGAAATGAAAAGGCATTTTAGTTTATGAAACATCACTTTAATCTCAATATGGTGCCGAGTAACTATCCAAGTGCACTTGGCAATTCATTTATAGATTTAACATTTACTAGGAGCATAGCTGCAGACATATAAAATGATGTATTTTATTTCTCATATCACGATTAGTTTTACATGCAGTCATTCTGAATGAATAAAAGTAATAAATAGCAAATAAACTAAAAAATTATATATGTGTGTACATTTTTTAATAACATCCTCAAACTTCTGCTAGTAATCCTACACATTAAACACCAGTGGCTCTTTAAACTGAAAGAGAGAGTCTACCGTCTGTTTTTTATAAAATTTCTGAAACTTGTATTATATGAAATATTGTTAACCTCGGCATATTTTTTAGAATAAACTTGTTCATGATTTTTTATAAGAAGTTATACATTATAGAATACTTAATGATAAATGTTTTATAATAAAATGCTTTGTTTTATTTCTAAACTATAACTGAAAATATTTTATGGTGTTTATTTTCATCAGATATGTTTTTACCTTTTAATTAAAGCTTCAGATTTATATTTGGGAGAGGTGTATATTTGTCTTCAAAAAGGAATTTGCCAATAATTTCATATGTATACTCATAAGTCCTGATGAATATCTTCTGGAGTTAGAAAGCTTTCCTCACTGTTTTAAGCAGGATTTTTTGAATTAGAAGCACTCATTTACCTTAAGCCACATTAGATACCTCTAAGATGATGCTCACTTTTTAATCCTTTCTTTTGATTAAAATTTGCCAGATTTGTTGCTACCATTCATATTGCATCTGTCATAATTCGTTGTATTACTAGTGGCCATTGTTTCGATTTTTCACTCTTATTTTTGTGAATTTTACAAAATATTTTTATTTTCTAAAGAGCCATTTTATTATTTATTTCCCTCAGTTATATGGTACAAAAGGATAACTTAATTTTTATGTTTATGAAATTTTCATGTGTTGAATAAAAATGTGAAGTAGCCTTTCAAAAGCTAGTTGCAGCCATAGACTCAAACTTATTATTGGAAATAGGGTATCAGCTCTGTATTGGGGATAAAATACCTCAAGCATTTTTTTTTTCAACCATCTTATTTGATGTATCTATGTCTGTAGTTAGTTGACTAATAGAATGTGCCAAAATATGAGGAATGTCAGTTTTAAATAGGATATCTTAATGCAGAACTGTCTAAATAAGTGCATTCATGTTGTACATAAATAAAACTATAAGAATTATTAGTCATTAGCCTGTTTTCTAGGAAATGAATATGAATGAATTGCTAATGTTCAGTAGTCTACTCTGCCGTTGGTAGGTCGTTATGTATATCGGACTCAGTTGTAAAAATAATTTTGATAGCTAGATATTTGCCTCCTGATTCTAAATAAATAATAATAATATGTTATTTAAATCAAAAATTATAATTTTTTAATGGGAAAAAATATATGAAAATTGCAACAAAATAATTTTGATTCCTAAATCATGTTTAATGTTAGCATTATTACTAATATATTTAAAGATTTTTCTTGTCTAAGTTGTTATGCAAGTGCATTAAGAGAACAATTTGCACTTTGCATGCTTAGCTAATCCTCTAAAAATATATTTTGTTAAAAAAAATAATAAATATAAGCAGAGATATAACTTTTATGACTAATATTTTCAAAATACTTGCTATATTGGCAGTTGTAATTACTTTGCATAAAGTTGTGACAAAATTTACATCTGAAAATTGTTAACATTTTATATATATATCACATTTGAAGTAATATCAGAATAATGTTATTTGAAAAAATTGCAATTTACAAATAACATATTACTATGGAATTTTAATTTTAGATATTTTCTTTGTATTTTATAGAGTAGTTTTTATACTGAAGATCTTGGTCGGCATCTTTTAGCTGTTGAAGATTTACTTCAGAAACATAGTCTTGTAGAAGCTCATATTACTTCCCAGGGAGATACAATAAGAAAACTGAACAAGCAAGCTCAAAGTTATATTGATGACGGACATAAAGAAGCTCCTATATTACAAAAACGTCTAAATAAATTAAACACAGAATATGATAAGTAAGGTTCTATATTGTTTATTTTCTGGTAACTGTAATTTGTAATACATTAATTTAATACCTAAAAATAACATTCAGTTATAGTTGAAAATTAATTTCATATTTGTGTGATTACAGCTCTTTACATGTATTTAAATATTGAATTAGTATTCTATAACATATATATATATATATGTTAACCACTGCTTACGGACATTTGCTTGGAATATTTTATATTAATTTATAAAATTATACATGTTCATAATGTGTAATAATCTTACAAAAATTTATTTCCAATTGATATTATTTTGCAGTTTAGTTAATCTGGCTGCCAGCCGTAGAACTAAATTGGAAGAATCACGAACATACTACCAATTTGTACAAGATCAGGAAGAAGAAGAAGCCTGGGTAATTGAAAAGCAATTAATATGTAAAGCTGTAGTTCCTGGAAGAGATTTGCAGGGAGCCCTTTCTTTGCAGCAGAAACACAAAGTAAGAAAATTTTTACAGAACTACAAAATTCATTATATTAGTTAAAAGGTCATATCCTTATTTAGTTTTTTCCTTTTTAATATTTGTTAGTAATAATATGTTTAAATGAATTATTATTGCAATATAAAATATGTTAATGAACTATTAAAAACGATTTTTAGATATCAGTTACCTTTTAGAAGGTAATCAATAAAGTTTAATATTCTGACTAGAAATATTTTGACTCTGATTAAATGAGAAATTTAATTAAAAGATTGAAAATTGAAAGATTGGAAATTAGTTAAAAATTGAGATTAAACGAGAATATTTTATCAGTGCTTGTTATTTAAAAAAAAAAAAAAAAAAAAACTGAAATTTATCCTTTGGTGGTTGCAAGATTAAGCAATTTTTTTTTTAAATTGTGCAAAATCTGCCAGTCTATTTATAATACAAACTGTTTTCATTTGCACTTATTGCAGTGCATAACTGGAATATGAGCTGAGCTCACTGATGGCCATCAAATGGTTACTAGAATAAATAAATTTAATTTAATTTTGAGTTTTTATTTCCTTGTACGAAGTAAAGGAAGTATTATAATCGCGAAAAATTTCAGGTATCATATTTCAGTGAAAATATCCATTTTAACTGCTCAAGTTTGCTTTCTGAGAAGATTCAAGAGACAAATTTTGCATTTTTTTTCCCTTTATTAAGTTTGTTTTTTCAATCTTTTCAGGAGGATATAAATGATCAGTTAAACTGTTATTTGGTACATGTAAAGAGTTTTTTCCTCTACTTTTTGATCTGATATTAAAAGGCTGAGAAACTCAGCATTTGCAAATTATTAATACAGTTTATATTTTTACATAAATTATAAAATTGCAAATACAGAACAATTGTGTAGATAAATAGTCTAAAAAATTTTAGTAGGCTACCACATCTTCTCCAAAATGCTGCAAAATCTTCTTTTTCATGTCTGCAGAAAGCGTACTTTATTTATCTATTTCTAATGGTGTACTTTTATTTTTTACTCTTAGGCACTGGAAGTTGAAATCAATGCAAGATGGCCTCAAATCACGAAAGTAATAGAAGCAGGAAATGTGTTGAAAGCACAGAAACATCCCGAAAGTGCAGATGTTTCTGCTAGAATTGACAGTTTGAAGAAAAATTGGGATAAGTTGCATGAATTGTGGGCAATGAAATGTAAACAACTAGAAGATGCCTGCGCTGCATATCAGGTTGGCAATTTATTTTATATGTCTATATAAGAAAGGAATTTAAAACCTAGAAAAGTTGTGAGACACCTGAAGTTACCTATCTTAATTCCAGAAACACTTTGTAAAATGAGTTACTAAGTAAATTATAAATGATGAACTAAGAAACCTTTTAAAACAACAGAAAAATATGAAAAAACGACACGAAAATATTTTGTCGATGTTCTCTGTTCAAAGCTTCAAACAGAACTTGTCAAGAGAAAAGTGTTTTAAAGCCTCAAACCAAGTTGATTAACTAGATTGTGCATACATGTTTCATCTGGCAAATCCATTGAGACTTCTAATGGCATTAAGCGAACTCAAATTTCCTTAAAAATTAAAACTTTAACAAAAGTATCACTAAATTTGCCCCTTTTCCTGACATGTCTGCATGTTCTAAGACATTTAAAAAGTTTTTTTAAAAAATACGAAGTACTACCAATAAAACCTGAAACTGAAATAAAATGAAATGCAAATCTTAAATCATAATTGACCTAGTAAGGCTAACTATCAAATGACAAGTAAATGCAAAAGAATAAAAATATTCAAACAATTTTCATATATGAAAATTAATCTTGAAAGTCTTGTAAAAATAAAATTAAGGGGGACCTATTACATTAATTAAAAAAAACTTTAGTCTTTTATGTAAGAAAAAAAAAAAAAAAGTTAAAGCAAAGACTTGTGCATTAAATAAAGGGAGGAGCATTTTGCTCAAAATTCAGTTTTAAAAATGCTTTTTTACTCCTTTGTTTGCTTATATGTATTATATTTGCTTATATGTATACAAAGTAATTCCATTAAAATCAATAATGCTTCAATTCCTTATACTTTTAACTAAAATTTTTTATTGCTTTAATAGTTTAACCCAAGGTTTGGCTCCAAAAGCCTAAATTCCCCCCAAACTAGTGTGAGAATGCTTTATTAAAATACCGAAATGCTGCTTGTTATGTTAGACTGGAATAGTTTTATTTTAAAATTCTGCTTTAATTTTTAGCCATATTTTAAGATGTTTGTATATATAATTACTAGAAAGCCCAGCGGTCATACGAAATAACTGCTGTTCTAGATATTATAAATTGTAATTAAAATGATTTGTGCAAAGGTGTCTGCTAATTCAAACTGAATTACCCAAAGCAGACGGCGAGGACGCTCCTTTGCTTACTGCCCGACGGGGTTTCCCCCTTGCTTAATTCCTTAAAGTAGAATGCAATGAAGGAAGCTACTGGCGGTACCTTTCATAAGAGCCACCGCTAGCTCAATCAATAAAGGTGATTTAAATAATAAAATGTTAATTCACATGTCAAAGATCTCTTTGTACACAACATTTCTTGTGTAGATCTTTCCATCATTTTTAACCTCGCCTTGCAGAGGACCATCCATTTTTTAATTTTACATCCGTTCTTTCACAAACTCTTGAACAGGCAACATAAAGTTGACCGTGTCCAAATGCAGGCTCAGGTAAAAAAATGCCAACACGCTTAAGCGTTTGGCCCTGAGAATTAAGGATGGTCATAGCAAAGGCAAGTTTTACAGGAAATTGTCTACATCTCAATTGAAACGGCAACCATGTGCTGTAGCAACTTCACCCCATTGGCTAGTACGCAAGCAACCAATAAACTATCGGTGACAAACAGGCACTTAAGCTGCATATATATATATATGGGGTAAAGTAACAACATCTCTTTCGAAACGGCTGGCTTCCGGGCTTAGCGAAGCACACTGTTGGATTCTGCAGATCCGTGGCTAGCGAAGCACACCGTTGGATTCTGCAGATCCGTGGCACGTCATTTTTACCATTCGCGTCAATTATTTAATTAGTCGAGATATTAATTATTAACTAATTTTCCCCTACGTTTTTCCTACATTTTCCATTTTCTTTCTTGGGTTTTCCCTATTAGAGGGATTTGACTACGTGCCAAATTCTTTTTCTCGAATATCTATGGAACAGCGCCGAGTTGAAATTCGAGACGCATATCCTCAGATTCCAAAAAATTCTCCGAATCCATTAATACCGTTCTCATCTTCGTACGACTTAAATAGGCCGAGTTATTAATTAAAAACTGCCAAAACGTTAATTTCCGTGCTCATTTTTCCGAGTGGCAACAATAAACTATCGACGACACGCACTTTAGCCGCTTATATATATATAAAGATTTGCAGATGTGACAAAGTATTCTTCACCATTGGCCTTTCTGGTCAGAGTTTATTTTTACTTTTGAAGCTATTTAAATGAAATGCACTTTTCTTTTTGGTAAATCAAACTCTTAATTTTTTATAAAAATTTCATCTCTAACTTTTAAGTGTTCTTCCTTTCCATTTTATTGTGTTTTATACGCTACTTTTGGCCCAAAAAGGTTTTGCAAAACTATTGCTGATATTTTTAGAATATTTTTAATGTCAGGCGAAACATCAAGTTGTAAATCAGTGCTGTAAAGCAATTTTTATATTCCACCTATCTACTTAAATAAATCTTCAATAAAGCATTTTCTCTTTTGCTATCCACATTTCTTATATATTAAAATTTGAGCATAAATGGCCATTAAATAGCTTATTCTAGTATATTTTATCTATCCCCCCTTTTTTCAATAAAGAATACAGATTAAGATATGAATTAAATTGTTAAAAAATTGCTGTTCTAAATAGCTTTATCATTGCATTGCTATATAAATTTATTTTTATGGCAGTGCTATGAAATGTCTATGCACTGAATTGCTAAAATTTCTAAACTGCATTTACTTGATTGGAAGTTTAAAAGTTTTTGTGTAACAAATGAAAGTAATGCTGTATATTTTTGTATTTTTCTACAATTGTTCTAACTGCTGCATTTTGAAATTTTTAGTGCTTGGATACTTGGTGATTGGAAGTCTTTGCTTTTCACATCACGGTTAACTAAACAAAGTATAATAAAAACTGTTGCAGGGAACATTTTATTGAATAGTTTTTAATTCTAATATCTTTCTTCAGCATTGTGATATTTTTTATTATATTAATCTGCAGTAATATGTTTGTATGTTTGTTGATGTATAATTTTTTTTTAACCCAACCAATGTTGAATGAATCAACTTTTACTTATTTTTTAGTATCAAGCAGATGCAAACGAAGCAGAATCGTGGATGAAAGAGAAAAGACAGTTAATGTCTAGTACTGATTATGGAAAAGATGAGCCTAGTGCACAGGTATATTTTTACTTCTGCTACTTGGCTGAAAACTGTCAATACAGTTCTATTCTTTAGTTGATTTTTACTTTTATTTATTTATTTTTTTTTTTTATTATTATCACTTTTTTCTGCTTTCAGATTATGCAGAATACTGACTTTTATTGAATAATGTAATCAATATGTAGTTTATATATAAAACCATTAATTCACACTGTAAAATAATAAATGAATTGTTGAATAAATTATTTATTTTAAATTTTGCATGAATAACTTAGATCTCCTCTGCTTAAGATGTTTTAAAAAACTATTAATGCATGAAATTGGCCCTTAATATAATGATACCAATGGGCAAGATATTAACCTAGCAGATTCTTAATTTCAAATTAAAGCAGAAAGTTTAAATAATTTGCTTTCAAGTAACAGCAGTTGAAATTTACTAATGGACCATTAATATACAATTTTTTTTCACAGGCTCTTTTACAAAGGCATGCAAGACTGGAAAGTGAAATCAAAGCTTACAGCTCTGACATTGAGAGATTAAATGAGCAAGCTGAAACCATGATAAAATCTGGAATGGCAACATATTTTGTAAGTTGCTTTTATAATGAAAGCATTAGAATGAGGCTGTTTTTATTAGGAAGAAAGTTGCTATTTGTCTTTCTTCCTCAAAGGTCTTCTTATGGCATAATGATACAAATGATAATAATCTGTTGTTTCTGTTATCAGCGAACTAGATTTTAATTTTTGAAATTGGGCAGATTATTTTTTGAAATTGGGCATATTTTATTATGTTGATAATCAAAATTTTATGAGCAGATCCATACCTATACTGTTGATAGTATCAAAATTTATACAGAATTGTGCTACAAATATGAATTCTTTACTATAGTGGATTGCAATTAAATCAGGAAAAGTGGATTGCTATTTCCATTATAGCAATCATAATTTTTATTCCTCCAAAACTTAACTCTGATTTGAATTTAGCATATAATAAATTAAGGTTTCTGAGTACAATTTTTAGATTTAATGCATTAAGATCTATATTGATGGCTTTATCCAGGAGTGTAAAAAATAGTTTTTTGAAGTGGGTACTAGGCTACATGGATGAGAATTTAATGCCAAAGTAGATTAATCTACTAATAATTGTTCTTGTGTAGAGTTATATGATGTTGCTGGAAATAATGATTTTTTTTTCTTTCTTCAATGGGTAATTTCATTTAGAGAGCATATAGAATGTGTTTAAATGCTGTATTTGCTAAGATTTTTAATTAAAAAAAAAAAAAAAGACCATTTTGACAGAATACACATTTTAGAACTGGATACTTCATCAGTGAATGCTAGCTGAACAGTTTTGGTACTATATTTATAATAATCTTGATTTGTGTTTGTGTATGTAAATTCATGTGCAAATGTTATTCCATTATTTAATTGATACCGTAGTTCTTCTATTCTAGTGATAAGGTAGGTGTTTTTTTTTTTTTTGTGTGTGTGTGTTTGTGAGAGTGTGCATGCGTACGTGTGTGTGCTCTTGTTAGTTAGTTAACTGATTAAAATCTTTAATTAAGTTTATGTTTGAAAAGGAACTGCAAATTATTGGATGTTATACTAGTTTTTAGTTAATAATTGTTTAAAATCCTCAAATAAAGGTAAGAAGTAATTACATGAATATTCTTAAATGAAATTTAGTGTACTTAATAATCTATTAAATCTCTTAATCATTAATTTTAATCTAGTGTTGACAGATCGGAAATTCAGCTGAATTAAATATTTCATTATCTGATTGAGTTCTGTATTTCCTGTACTGTGTTCTGTATGTCCTGTACTTGTAAAAGAAATTTGAAATCATATATTTGTCCATAAAGGTTCAGATTTAAGCTTTATTTATAATGAGATATAAAGGCAGATTGCTTCTTAAATATAAAAAGAATTTATATAAAGTCTGCTTTATGTTACTAATGAATATTTTTTATTCCCTGAAATGTTTTTTATAAATTGAACATGCTCTAACAAAACTGTCAATTACTCTTGTATTAGTTATATAAATAATTCAAAGAATTATATTCAGCTTTCTGAAGCTATCAATGAACCTGAGTCTGAAGAATGGGTGGAAGAAGTTGTTATTGCTCCTGTTGATGAATGGGTAGAAGAGATTTATGAAAAAGAAATTGTAAAAGAAGTAGTTGAAGATCGAAAAATTCCTCAGGTTCGAGCTATGTATAAATTTTCAGGACAAGATCTCGAAATTGATAAAGGAGAAGTAAGTCTCTTATCCTAAAATATATAAGTACTAACTATGTGTTTTATTTAAAAATGAATTTGATTTTCCAAAACATTTAATTTAATTTCAGTTTTAAATGTTCTGAATTTAATTAACAACAGATAACAATTTTAAATGTTAGAGTGTCAGAATACTAAACCACAGTAATGAATTCCTTCAGCTGGACAACTAAATATATATCTTTCTTGTTCTGTGATTTTTTAGGTCTTTCTCAGACATTTTAAAACACTGAAAGCAGCGTTCTCAAAAAGGTTAAATTCTTTATTTCTGTTTTATTCACTGGTTAGAGGATAACATGAGATGTTGAAAATGCTATAAAACTAATAAAACTCGAAGAACATAGTTTTAGCTTGTTCTATCTCAAGTGATATCTAGGAACAGTAATGCCTGACATCCGTTCCCCTCGATAAATTTACCTGGAAAATCCATTGTTTATGTTTTTCTGTCTACCTTAGCAAACTTGCTTAATTAGGTGCACTTTTCATACCCTTTGGTTAGAAAGGTTTCATTTGGAAAGGGTATTCATCATTGGGAAACCAATGTTCAATCAGTGACTGCCGCCTTAGAAATAGCCATGTCGAAATAACTTTATAAGAACATTGCCTGCGAGGTTTTCACTAGAGTAAATCATTCTTGTTAGCTTCAAATTGGAAACCATTTTGTCTGTGTTATTGTTTAAAACATGCCGCATTGTTATTACTTTTCCTGTGCTTACTAATCCAATTAATTATTAAACTTATTTCGAAAGCATTATTTCTTATTTATTCCCAAAATATCATTTCTAGACTGTTAAATATAATTGTTGTATCTGGAAAAAATTGATGCAAATGAAGAGAACTTTGCTCATCCTCATATTTTTGGAAATGATGACTAATAATTATTACTAGGCTAAGAAAGAACTACAGATTAAATTCGACTACATGCAAATTTTTTGGTGTCCAAATTATATATTTCATCATTATATACATAATCAGCTTTTCACCGTTCTCTTTTATGTACTTTATTTTTATGCTCAAGCATTATGAATGGTTGAACATCATCATTAGAAATATTGTAATTGGTAATATTCTTTATTCACTTTGAACATGACAGTAGGCTTGTGCTCATATGAGCAAAGAAGATAAAACTGTTTTGTGCAGGTGAAACATCAGTATAGCAGATGTGAACTGTTGATCTGAGAAGCTTTCCTTTGAATATTCATAGTGACTAGTCATGAAGAATTTTATCCTGAATGCCCATCACTATATCATCTATTCATTAATTGTTGCAATGCATGCAATTTTTATATCTATCAATAATACAGAAATGAATTCTTGAAACCCAAATACAGAAGCAATTTCACATGCCTTTTGTTCTTTTTATTTTTAACTCATAAAAAAATCATTTATTGTAATTACTTGTAAACAACTTCTTTGATTAGGAAGCTATTTAGCATATGGCCTGGCCTGTTATTAAATAATGATTCCATTTTGTACATTTAAAGTGTGCTTGGCAAATAGATATTTTACGTTTTAGCATTCATCTCCATGGACAGTGCTGACGTTAAAAACTGCTGTTACATAAGAATGGTAAAAGTTCCACAAAAACTCATAAATAATGTTATTACATCTCTATTATGCATATGGGCCTTGCTGTTAGCAGTTAAAGGAAATTAGTATACTGGCAGCAGTTAATAAAGAGCCCCATTATAAGGGTGCTTATACCTTATGCTACTCTGACTTTTGTTTGCATTACTGATAATTAATTAAGCAGGGGGTGAAATAAATCTTCAGCACCCTTTTTTTTTTTTTTTTTTTTTTTTGTTAAGTCCCATTTTACATAAAAATACCTGCAACTGTGTAAAAGTGAAGATTTGTTTAATCCCTTTAATTAATCAGTAAACAGCAAAATTGATTAATTAATAATGCAAAAGGAAAAAAAAATGCATATGGATGTCCCAGCATAAAGGTGACTAAATTCTTGCAAATTTTTTTTTGGGGTAGAAACTTATCCTATAAGATTGTATGTGGCTTTGTTCCAGGGCAATCCTATAAAGGTTTCTGTTTTTTCAAACAGCAGCTGACCAGCATAAGGGGGATGCCAATTTTACAACAGGGCACTCTTATATGAATGCATCCTTGTATATTCTCTTGCATGTACTTAAATTTCAATTAAAAAATTAATAAAATGTAAAAGAAGTTAAAAAATACTTTTAGAAAAAATATTTTTTATTTATCATTAAAACTACATTATCTAATTTATTTCGACTGATTTAGAAGGTGCTATCCAGAAGTTCTTAGACGTGCTGTTTGAAAATATTTAATTTTGCACATATTTTAGTGGTTCTTCCCCCCTTTATCTTTTTGTCACCACCCAAAATATGTCCATAAACATTTATTCTAGAGCTGTTCTGGTGATTGAAAACTGTTTTAAAAAAATGACTTTTGCTGGAATATTTGCATGCAGTGGTACCTATGATTTTTCTTTGATATTATTTGTGGAGTAGAAGCTCTTCCTAAGGAATCACAATGAATTGAATGATGAGTAAGGAGAGAGAAGAGCAGTTATAGTACCAAAAATGAGGATACCAAAAAGCACTGTATGGAAAACAAATTTGCATCCCAAGTCTGTAAGCAGCCCTTTTCATCTTCACTTCATCCAATAAAATTTGGTGGTGTAGCATAAGAATAGTTTTGCAGATGTTTAAATTTTCTGTCTACAATTTTTGTGTTGATGATTATTTTGCAGTATTCCAAGTTTGTGCTGATCAAGGCAAGATCAGAGGGGTTATTATCTTCAATTGACATTTGATTGGTCTTAAGCCTTTTGAAGTTTAATATTTGGCAAAAAGTGGCCTTTTAAAGTTTAATATGAAAGCTTTAAGAAAATAAGTTTCGTAGATATACTTTACCAAAATTTAATGCATAAATAATTTTGGTACACATGTGTTTTCTTGTTGACAAATAAAAACTGTTGCCAAACAGTGCAATTTATTGTCAATAAAGGATGAGCATGCTATCACAATACATGAGATCTTTGCTTTGGTTTTATATAACCCCAGTCCTCAATTAGTCAGTGCAATTTTTTTTCGTTGCATTAAAAAAAAATATATTAAAATTTTCAACCTAATAGAATATAAACAGTAAAGTATTTTCAAAGCTATGGAGCTGGTTATATTGGTGCCCATATTCAAAACATTTAAAAAAATGTAGGATTTAAAATGGTATTATAAAAAACACCGTATCACGCGTATTAGTATTTAAACAAATTTATGTGCTGCTGATTTTGCAAATAAAAGAGATGGCTATTTTATTGTTATTTTAAATGCCATTAAGAATTTTGGTAAGCTGGAATGATTGACACAAAATTTAATGAATTAGTTTACAAGATTTTTCAAAGCTCATTTTTATTCTAGATTTTTATATGCCGTGTTTATAACTTATATCTGCTGATTATCTAACTAATAAAATGCATGATGAAATCAGAGGGCATAAAAAAACTTTGTCTATGCCAAATTTGACACAACAGTCTATTTTAGAAAAGTAACAGGTCCTTGCAGTGGAGTTAAAAACATAAATTGTTTGGCAAGTTTTTTTAAATGCATTTTCATTCACAGTGTATCATTTGATTTATAGGTTATGATTTTATTACAAAAAACAAATGCTGATTGGTGGAATGTTCGTAAATCAAATGGCCAGGATGGTTTTGTTCCAGCAAATTATGTCACTGAAATTGAACCTAAAATAGTTCGCAAAAGGGGTCAAAAAGTCTTGAAAGTTCCTGAGAAAAGAAAAGTTAAGAAGACTGTTATGAAAAAACAAATAGTGAAAAAGAAGAAGCAGTCTTTGCCATATAGTAAGTTATAATTTATTATTACTTAGAGAAATATTATGTATAACATATAGTGAATAAACATACATTGAATTTCTGATTTTTTGTGCGGCTCTAGAATTTTATTAATGTTTAGGTGCAATGAATAATGAATGATATGTAGTAAATTATTTAACAGAGGGTTTTATTGTTTTTGTCTGTCTCTGTCTACTTTTCTGTGTTTTCTTTATTTATAGCTCCAAATCCTCAAATCCCTGTCTCTACCAGTACCAAAAGTAGTTTCGTCAAAGCTTGGTGATGTTACTTCTTTGGTAAAATAACTTTCTACCCTATTATAATAATAAGAGATCAGATTCTTTTTCCAGGCCATGAATAACCCCTAAATATTTACATTCTGAGCTTTCCTCTGAAAATTACAGATTTCTAAAAAAATTGCATGTTTTTCATTTCTGAGTGCTAAACTCAGAACTTTTCTGAGGATAATGTTCGAGTAATCAGAAGTTCAGTGTATTCACTTTTAAATCTGCATAAAAGTGTATTTTAATCATTTAATTTTCCTTTTAAAGAAAAAGTACTGTCTCGGTCTCCAAGTAAATCTCAAGAATTCATACTGAAACGACAGAAAGCTATTAATGAATCATATGCTGAACTCAATGAATTATCAAAGGTAATTTATTAGTTATTATGTTACATATTTTTTTGCATGAAAAAGCATATATTTTAATGTGTTATATCATAAATATTAGAATTTTCATTCATATTGTCTTTGAGGTAATGTTGTTATTTCCAGATTTTATTTTAAAGTGCTTATTATATGAAAGAATAAATAAATTAATTCACTTTTAAGGAGGTATAATATTTACTTCTCAAAACGTGTAGTACATGTTACTATGTCTTGTTACATACAAATTTATGTTTCATTTAATGGAAAGTATGTGTCTATTAAATTAGCTTAAAATATGTTTTTTAATTAAAAAAATATCTGAATTTTAATTTATTTATATAATATATATATATATATATATATATATTTTTTTTAGTAGATTTTATGTTCTAAATATAAATACATTATTTTTTCCCTAGTGGATTATATATATATATTATATATACACACATAATTGAATTCATGTCATTTGGATGATTCATGTTATTTGGATGACACTGCGTCATATTATAGGACTTGCATAATTGTTGTTGAGATTAATTGCATGTAAGTTACAAAATAGGTATGATGCATAAGCATATGAGGCTCTTTTTAATTCAGGAATTTGTGTTTGGGTATCTCTTGAAGCTAGCTTGAGTGTATTTCTACAGATCATTGAGTATGGAAACAGTCTGCTGTAACACAGAGAAGAAGTGACTTCATCAATTAGAAACTTTTGAATAACCATTTATTTTTGAATACAAGCCAAACTGTAATAAGATTTTATGGCCAAAACTCAGCCAGAATTGGAAAAAATGTGTAAACCAAATTTAATAAAAACCAACCTTAATGACGATAATAATGGTTAAATATACCAATAACTAGTTGTCTAACTTAGCTTCACCTATCAGATAAGCTGAAGGGAAATTTCTGTTAAAAAGTAGGATTGAAAGCAGCATTGTAGAATGAAAGTCACATTAGCTGTTAATATTTTCTGAATTCTTCCAGCTTTTGGATTTTACATGCATATCATATAACTCTTTGGCCTCTTCATTATGAATTTTATTATGGTTCTTAGTTATAAAAACCTTTTTCTAGCAACTGCTGGACTTTTTCTTTGTACTCTGGCTTAATGAGTAGAATATATGAAACTTCATTTCTTATCTATAATGAGACTATCCTCTCATACAAATATACATATTTTGCAAGTTTTAAATTAAAAGTCATTACTTTTACTGAGATATGCTGTGGATAGAATTAAGCATGATGGTATTAGTGAGATGAATGATTATGATGAAATGGATATCAGTCACATTCACTCAGAGATTCTAAATTGAATACTAATATTGAGAAGTTTGAGTAATGTATGTTGAAATTAAATAAAGTTTAAAAAAATATTTTCTCAGTTATTTAATGTATAGTATCATTCAAAAATAATTTTTGGGGAAAAAATTCTGAAAATTCTCAGCTTTATATAGAGAAATATGCAGTATTTATATTTATATTTTTGTTTATTTTTTCTGATTTTTTTTTTTTTTTTTTTTTTTTGTATAAATACGAGTAAACTTTTTTTAGTATTTAGTAGCTGTCAAATAATTTGAAGTTTGTTTTGATATGGGTATTATGTAAATTTTCAAGGTGTCCCGTCAAGACTGCATATAATCTTCTTGCTCATATATAAAAATGGCTTAGTTTCCATTCTGTAATAATTCATAGTTTTCAAGGTAAATGCCAAAGAAACACTATGATGTTAGATATAAGGAAAAAAAAAAGATTTATTGGAAATAAGTGTCTTGGTACATGTGTATGATTTTTCTCAAGAAGACCAATAATTAATTATTATGGAAAGCTGTTGGTTATACAGTCAAAAGTCGTTAATCCGGACCTCAAAGCTACAAACTTTCTGCGCATGCGTCAACACATAATGCATTCACGCATGCTCATAATGCCTTTAAGCATGCGCATATGCCTTTACGCATGCGCGTTTACTATATAACGGACGGTATAAGCTAAGCTAAAATTATCTAATTATCTATTTCGTTATGTTGCAGATTGCGTTGTCCTTAATCTTCGAATTGGATCTGGCTTATTATTTTTCACAGACTGTTAGAGCAACTTTATAAAAGTAAGCTTGAACTTTCGATTATGTCAAAAAGAATTTCCGATTCTGGAGCTGCCAAAGGATATTTACAAAGTGAAAGCACGTTTTGATGTCCATCAAACAAAAAGTAGAATTGCTGCAAAAAATGGATAAAGGCATATATCCTTTGTTTCTCTAACCATTCCGAAATCTGTTCATCAATTTCACGCTGCTCTGTGGGGGAGGGGAACATTGCGGTGCGCAATGAACTGAAAGTTGATCTGTCAGCACCATCCTTATCTTCAGGGCTGATATTTTTATTTTATTCAACTTATAATTCATTACTAAATGTAGTATTTCATCTTGGTGTACTCTGTCTTTGATATGATTTAAATCAAATTCATTATAAATATCACGGATACACATCAAATAGTTTTCTGGTTGCAATTTTCTAATTTCGACTATGCGTAATGTATGCTGTACGCATGCACGCGTTGAAAGAATGTTTAATAAAGTAAACAAATGAATATTAAGCATTTTTTTTTGTAAAGTTTGATACCCTTTATATCATAATTGTACTTTATTTCATAAATTACGGTTTCATATTTTTAATTTTATAATTTCTGCATTAAATCTTACCATATTTAAACTGATGATCTAAAATCCAGAAAAATCGATAATCCAGAATCGCCGAAATCCCGACAAGTCTGGATTAAAGACTTTTGACTGTAGTATGAAATACCTCCACATCATAAAAATAAAATAAAGAGTAGAATTAAGAAATAATGTGTGGTAGACTTTAAGAAAAACTGTAAGAGGTGGTCAATATGAGTTCAAAAAGTTAAGGGGGAAAAAATAAACTTTTAAGCATATTAAAAATTTAGATAGTAAATACAGTTATGTTTGATTTTTTTATTTTAGGTATATTTTTTGTTTGGTATTGTATAATCTTTTAACCTACATACAACACAAAACTAAAATATTAAAGAGGTAAAAATTAGTAGTTTCCTAGGTCGCATTATCATAATATCTTAATATGGCAATGTATTGGTAAATGCGAGAAAATATCCATCGCAAAATTTAATCTGCAGGAATTTATCTAAAAATGATGTTTAGCAGATTGATAATAATGCAGTATGGTATTTATTACTGATAGGTGTGAAGGTTAGTAGCAATTCGGGAGTTAATTTAAAGCATTTCTGTAGAGTTGAAGTGAGAGCTGGAGCAACAGTGTCCAATACTGATTGGCTCTGGGTGGGAACTGAAGTTGAAGGGGTGGACAGTTGCCTTTCGGATGATGGGAAGATGCTGTACTTTTACTGATCTTGGTCTCCGGGCAGAAGTGGGCATCATAGGCAGGCAGGTTACAGAAGTCATGTTTATCACACTGTTCAGTATGGGAGAATAAATTTTGATTAAGTCTTTTAATTAAGACACCAGTGGGTTAAATGTTCAGGTCTGAAATAATTGCATCACTGCAAACATACTAGAGTATGTTAAGAGTGATAAATTTCTTTTTTAAGATATGTCATTTGATTGCATGTATTCATTTATAGAATGTTTTATTCATTTATTATCTTACAGAAGTAGTTATCAAATAGGTTTCATTTGTGTAGAATTTTCATAGGTGGAAATTTATGTTTTTTGATGATTATTTATCCTTTATCATAAACATTTATAAATATAATTATTGCTCATTTGTAAAATATCAGATTTATGAAATATGTTTCATATCCCTTGCAAAGTTATAGTACTGGGAAGTTGTAGGAAAACACAAATCTGCCTTTTAACCTGTTCAGTGCCGCATTTTAACTCTGTAAGCCTGAGTTAACTCGAGAGTGGCACTGAATGGGTTAATAATGTAATAACCACTTTTAATACACATTTTAATTTTTCACACAGGGTATTGATACTTTTTTATTTTTAAAGGATGTGGTTTTATTGGCTAGGATATCCTACCACATCATGTGGTAAGTATGCTGCATGGGAAATTGTTATTCAGAACCTAGTGCATGTGTTGAGATAATTGTAATTTCTCCCCAAAATTGAAGCATTTTATGGAACATGGAAAATTTAGATGCATATAATTAGCTCTGGTAGAATCATAATCTACTAAATAACCTAAAATAATTTTTCTTGTAGTCATATTGGCATGAATTTAACAAAATTCTTTCAATAAATGTGAATTACTGCTGTGTGTGATGGTTTGCAGTTAATATATACTTTTAATGTCTTCAAAGTCATTTACAATTCACTTTATAGTATTTTGTATATGTGTTGTGTAGGTAGTTCTTTTGCATTTTAAAAAATGTTGCACATTTATATCCTTACAAAATAATTTTATAATATTCGAATAGAATTGAAATGGATTGAGTAATCGAAATCAAAATGGTTTTGAAATACTGTGAAGCAATTGCTGATGGCCACTACCAGTTCCACACAATTCTGAAGCAATCAGTATTCTGACAACTAAATTAGTGCTGTGGGTTTTTATCATTGTTAGGTTTTGCTATAATCTATATAGTTCTGATATGCATTATAAGGTATATCGGTAGTTTAGTTTTTATTTTATTCAATGCTTGATAGTTTCACAGAAATTTAATTGCATTTGAAAAGGCAAATTTACCAAATGTTTTCCCTATACTGTGTCGCATATATTTTGTAATCAATCTTCTTCACGAAAAGCCAGCAGTTTCTTTCCTTTTTATACTATCTTTTAGCTTATTAATTTTGAAATACATTCCTTCCTTCATTAGATCTTTCCTCTCTTCATTTGTTAAAGAGTGCATTGAGTTATTTTCCAAGGTTTAGAATTTCTTAATTTTTTTTCTTATCAAGTTGCAAATAGAATATGCATTTCATTTTTCCATACTGTAATAAGATGTATTTGGCAGCACAAGGGCATTAACTGTTTTCTTGGTTTTTACACCTTTCTATGTGACTAATATTTGTGTTAAAACTTAGGCGTTCTGATGATTTTCATTATTATTTTATCAAGCAGATGAATTAATTAGTTGAATAATTTTTCCCCACAGCATCTTCTGAATTATCTTTGCAGATAATCAAAAATGTAAAAAATATTTTGTAATTTTATCTTTAAGCATTTTTAGATAGATAGCTTTATGTGTTCCAGTACAAGAAAAATACCAAATGATAGATAAATAGACCTTATTCTCTCATTGTTAATGTAATATGTTGAAAGGAACTCTGTAATGACATAATTTGATGCCTATGCATTTCTATTTGCTATGACCCAAACGTTTTAGAAACTTGAATTTTAATGTAAGCATTTTTTATTATTTATTTAATTTTTAGCAAACATTTGCTCAAAAATATGTGCTTTAACTGCTATATATATAGCAGCAGAAATTAATTAATGTCTGTTTCTTTTATTATACACTCTGCAATAAAATAACTTTGATTCTCTGTCTTTAATATTAAAAAAAGTGTAATATATTTTATATTGAATATTTCATTTGCATTTCAGGCTCGTAGACATTATCTGGAGGATGCCATACGTTTATTTAGCTTCTATCGAGAATGCGATGACTTTGAAGCTTGGATGAAAGAAAAGGTGATAATTTGGCCTAATTATAGTTACGTTATCTTTAAATGAAGCCTATACATCCATTATTATCATCATCATCTCATGATTATTACATCAAGTATTGTTGAGTAATATTAATATAAACTGTATCAAATGAAGAAATAGATTGCTTCATCTAGAAGAAAAAGGGGTGAAGGACAGAGAACCAAAAAAATTTTCGCTGTCTTGCCCATAGATATAATTTAGATTAGAATAAACTGTTATGTACTTTTTAAATTTCTTTTTATAACATGCTGTGTGATGTTATTATTTGTATATTGTGTGAAGTATCCTTTTTGGAGCTATTACGTTCTCATTTCCTCATAATATTTTATTTGCTATTTATTGCTACAATGTAATTATTAAGTTTATAAATAGCATATAAATAAAGTGTGAGAAATGTAATAACAAAAATGTTTCAGATAACTGCTGCACATTTCATCTGAAAATTTTACTATTGTTTTCCATTATATAGATAATACATGGCTGATTAAGTTTGATACTTTGCACTTATTCTCCTTTGACAATTGTTAAGCCAAAACATGAAGAGAAGTAGAATTATCAGTAATTGAATCATGTACACAACAAATTTGAAATTCCCATGTACATATTTATTTAGCTTTAAGTTATTTTCTTCAAAGGGGGCAGGAACCACATGCATTCAGCAATTTTTTAATAATTATTTAAAGCACATAACCTTAAAAAGTAGTAATGCTCATGTCATCATAAACTGCATTTTTTATGCAGTTTAAGACATATATTAAAATATAGAAAGAGTTATATGGGTCAGCATTTTTTATTTCTTACTGAAAATAGAGGTGTCAACATTACAGGACCATATATGGTTAATATTATTTTAATATTCTAATTATTTACTTTTATTTATTTGGGAATTTTAAATGAACATTTTTTATTTGATATGAAACATGAAAATTGATTGTATTCTGCCTGTATTTTAGATTTGAAATATTAAATTTAGTGTTGATAGGGAAAATATTCTTTTTTAGGTATATATTCATAACATATGTAATTGTGTTCCAGGTGTAACTGCTCTGTAATTTTATTTATATATTTAAATTTTTGTAAATATTTCTTTTTGTGTGTGTGTTGTAAAGTGTACAACATTTTAAAATAATTTTTGAAGAATAGCTCTTAAATAGTTTCTTAAATACTTTGTGTGAAAAGTGTATTAATTTGTGGTATCCACTCAGCACAGGTACTTAACGAAATGTGAAAGTTAAAAGTTAAGAACATATTTCAGCCTTGATATTTTAATTTTTATGGATATTTCATAATTTTGAATAAATTATTAAGTGACTATTAGAGTCAATTAATGGTTTATTCAAAAGTCATTATTTTAAGTCTTTAAAATAGTTTGCCAGAGTTTTAAATATTAAAAAAAAATTAAATACTAACATGCAGTTGACAAAATATGTAATACTGTTTTAGACCAAAAGTAATATCTCTATTATTGTTGCAGGACAGAGTACTTACCACCAGAGATCCCAAGGAAGGAGTTGAAGTGATGAAAAAGAAATTTGAAGTAAGATAGATAATAAAATAATCTAAAATGGCAATTTCAGATTATTCTTAATAATTTGCCTATTTACAATAATTAATTATAGTTGATTAAGTAAGGTTATGCCATTCAAATATAATGCAATTTTAATAACTACTCATGTTTTTGAATTTTATTTAATTAATTTTGAGTATTTTAATTTTCTCAGAACTTTTTGACTGACCTTTCGGCAACTAGTCGTAGAATTGAAGAAGTTGACAACCGTGTTGAAGAATTTGTGCGTACTAAACATAGTCAACTTGGTGCTGTTAGATCAAGACAGAAGCAAATACATGATAGGTCAGCTTATGCTCTTTTCCTTCATTCTGTAGACTTTTTTCTTATTTAAATGTATTATTAAATTCTTTATTTTTTAAGTAATTATTCTTTCTTCTTGACAGTGCATTTAAATTTTGTAAGATTTCAAAACAAAAAAGGGTATTTCCAACATAATACCAAAGTAAAACATCTTATTCAATTACAAAATTCCATCAACTATGAAAACTGGGAAGATCTCGCCAAACTTATGCCAGTCATTCCATCAGAAGGTTGAAGGAACAAATTGTTCTTAATTTAGTTAGATAATCAAAATATGCAAATTATGGACTTAACAAATAAGAAACTTTAATCACTTATCATAATTTTTTTGCATCACATAATCTTATAAGTGTTTATCTATTTTCACATAAAAGTCAAACTCTTCATGATGCCCGGATCCCATAATTGTTAAAATATTGTTCTGCATGATGTTTTTCTGAATGCAGGTTCCAAATTTTAATTACTTTGCCAAAGTGTGATTGAAAAACAGATAAGTTGCAATTACCTTATATCACTACTTATTGAGAATTAATCGCAGGTTTACATAAAGCCAAAGTGGAGATAGGATTAGACTGTGATGTTGCGCTTATTATTATTGTGCTGAATCACACCGTTTGGCATCAGTTTTTGTTTTGTATAAATCATGGCCTGTTCATGCTTTATGGTGGAGTTACAAATATCTTGTTTACCTAACTTTATTGTTTAAAGAGGGGGTGGACCACTTTCTAAAGTCAAAAATATTTTAATTTTTTGAGATTTTCAGTTGCTTGAATGACTGGTAATTGGGCTTTTACTTGTCATTTGGTTAATTTATCAAATTTTACCCATTTCTTGTGATTAGTGCTGCAGTCAGAGTTAGATTTAGGTAGTTTAAATCTAGATCTTTGCTGTTCATTAAATGCTTTCAGTTTATTTATAATAAACTGATAATTGTAAAAAAATGGTCTTTTTGTAATTAATGTTTTAATGCAGATAAAATTATTATGTAAAGAAGTAAAACATATGCTATCAGTATGCAAGATAAAATGCCTTCAAATTGCTTTCTAATTATTTTCAGGTATTCAAGAGAATGCTAGATATTATCATTTTTCTGTTTTACATGACTGATTTTCTTTCATGCACTTATAATTAGGAGTGCCAAGAATAGGTGTTATGCCTTCTTAACACACTGCAGTCTAATTATTTTCAAGTTTTCAACCAACTTTGAATTTGACACTTGTGTCAGTACATTCATTCCTATTTAGGTCATTTTCTTAACTCAAATTCATTGTCACTATCTTTGATCACTTCTTGACATTTGGAATAAGATCACAGCGTAACATCTAGCTTCCTTTAGTTGTAATTTGTCTTCCAAGAATATTTTATTGTGATTTTTCTTTAAAGGTGTTTCTTAATTGTATATTTTTTCATGCTAGTGTTGATCCAAGTGTTCAAGAGGAAATTAATGTCTTCAAACTATTGTTGGAATAATGGTTTAAAAGTGTAATTTTCATGTCCAATTTTTGCATCTACCAACTGCTGAAGTCATGTTTGGGTTGGTTCCTCTAGTCATTTGTTAATATTGTAACAGTATGTGAACAAAATAGCCGTATATATTTAGTAATTTTTACTTGCATGTTCACTATTAGTGAAATTGCCAAAAATTTTTAGAATTTTTATCAAATGCTAATTTTTTAATTTTAATCTTATTTTTAATCATGTTTTAGATTTTGGATATGTTAAATATTTTTGACAAAAAATTCATTATATTTTACTAAAATAATCTTATATCAGTATTAAAATTATAAATTTTGTGTAAGAAATTATGTTCTTGAACTTCATATATGAGAGAGAAAGCAATGAATGCCATTTAGAAGGGATAATAATTTCAAAATTAATAAGAGAATTATAAAATTAAAAAATATATAAGCAAAGTATTAAAATGTCTTTTAAAACTTTTTATGAGAAGTGTTTGAACAAGTTTTTATATACAAAGTGTGCAAATCGTTCCAGATGAGCTAATTTCATAATTTCATTTAAAATCTAGGCTATATTTATTTTGCCATGCATGAGATCTTGGGTCTCAAAATTTCTGAAATTTTTTTAATAAGATTTTGTTTTTAAAGTCATATATTGTTATAGAAAAAGGTTACGTGTTTTAGAGATGGAGTATACCGTATGTTAGAAATGCAGAAATATTGATATAAGACTTCTGAAATTTATCTTATTCAAATCATCCAGATTTTTAAATAATTGTTTACATATTTTCCCCCTAGGTGGAATAGATTAAATCATTTGAAGACAGAGATTGAGAAGAGTTTAGAAGGAGCCACAAGGTACATACTACTTTATACATACTACTGTAAATACTGCTTCAACTACTTTATACATACTACTTCATACATACATTTGTACATACTATTTATATTCAATAGTATTTGTGTATATTCTACGTATCATCAATAGAAAAGTGCTTGTTTTGAATTTTTTTTAAATTTTATATTTGTTTTGATACTGGTCTCATACAAAGTTAAAAATTTCTACAGATTAGACTATCTTTTTTTGTCCATTGAATATTATGCTTTTGAAATGTAGAAACAATTTATGTAGTTTCCATGAGTGTATATAACTTTAAAATTTTTCATTGTTTTTAGTGTTGAATTATTTGAACGTACTTGTGATGATGCCTATGAATGGATGCTTGAGAAACTTGAAAAAATTGAAACAGATGATATTGGTAGAGATATGAAAACTGTTCAAGCTCTGCAACGCAAACATCAGGTATATTATATATATCTTAGTATTAAATGTTGCAAAGCATTATTTATGGTTGTGAATTACTTTTTAAATGCTTGAAAACTTCTATTTTGTTTGCTGAATTTTTTGCTTGATGTATGTTTTTTCTGTATTAAAGTTGCATTTAAATTTTCCTTGTAGAATCTGGAGAGGGAATTAGCACCTGTTGAAGAAAAATTTAATAGAGTGAATTTATTGGCTGATTCGTGAGTAAATTGTTATACTGTATGGTCATGCTTGCTTTATTGTATTTATATATTATACTGTGCATATGTATGTGTAACTATAAATATGTATTATTTGGTAGAGAGATAAGCGCCTTCTGTGTAAGCATAGAATTTAATTTTTTAGTTTTTAATATAACAGTATTTATTTTGATTAACAGCATTTCTTTTACTGGTATTTCAAAAAAATATTTTGCAATTCTGATGGACTGTTTTTTTTTTTTTTTTTTTTTTTTTTTTTTGAAGAATAAGTTCTATATATACCTGGATTATAAAAATTTTCGTTTTTCATTAAGATAGTTAAATGTAATTTGCTTGTAAATAATTTTATTTCTCAATACCTGTTGCAACAATGAATTTTTTCCCCTTTACCTCTCTCTCACTTCCCCCCTTTTTTCAAATTTTATTTTGGTTTTCAAACACTTAATCCTTAGACTTAAAATTATAAGCATAATTTTAATTATTGTTTTTAAAATATTATTATATTCGTGTTACTATTTATTACATTACAGCACTATAGTTAATGTTGTCTTAGTATTAATATTTACTACATTACTGCACTATAGTTAATGTTGTCTTAGTATTACTACAGTACACTCCAGATTATCCTCAGAATTGGATGGCGTGGCCGCCACAGATAACAAAAATCGTGGATAATCCGAAAAAAGCTAAAAACGGGTATAGCAAAAGATAAAACAGTCATTCCAACATTGAAAAATCGTTTTATGTACAATAAAACAGCAGGACATGTTTAACTAACGCTTAATATTTTAGTATATCACTCAAAACTAACCTAAAATGCATTTTGTTAATGAAAACAGAAAAGTGCTTTGTATACTTAACAAGAGGCGTCAAGGATACACAGAAAAATTAATACATATGTACTGTTTTAATACTGTAATGTATTATGTAATTACAAAAGCATAACTGTAAAACCACACCTTTTTGAAGAAATCAGTTATTTGTTTTTGCTTCTTGCTTTGGAAGCATTTTCTCTTGATCCAAGATTGCATTTTTCGTAGCATAAGTTGCTCGGCCAACTCCGCGTTGTCTTGTTCTTCCAAATAGCTCAGTTCCGTCGACTGTTGCAAAGCTGCTTCGTGAGTCTTCCGCATCTGCACAGTGGGCTCTTCTTCGCCTTCACTTCGCTGTCCTTCATTCTCGGTCTCTCCCCTTGCTTTCTTCACAATTTCGTCATCTGTGAAGCGTTCGAAGCCAGGTTCGTAGATGTCACACTCCAGCCACTCATTAATGTTTCAGCATCGACATTCTCACCACCCGGAACTGTTTTCACCATATCGGCAAGAGTTACCGTGGGCGTGTCTACACCTTCATTCTCTTCTTCACAACTGAAAGGGGTTAGGTTGTTGTTGGCTTTAACATTAGGCATGAGTTTTCTCCATGATTTTACAAGGGTTGACGGGTTTCACCGAGTCCCATGGATATGCAATATTGTAGATGCTGTCCAAGATCGTGTATTGTTTCCAAAACTCTTTCAGATCATAACCTTTTTCAATTTTGGTCATTAGCAGCTTGGTTCGGTATGTTCTCTTTATTGTTGCAATGTCTCCTTGGTCCATGGGTTGGATTAGCGCAGTAACATTTGGGGGGAGAAACTTTGCAAAAATTTTTCCATCAGAAGACTTTAGCACGCTTGTTGCTGGGTGAGAAGATGCGTTGTCAATCAATAGCACAGCTTTTCCAGGCAGGTTTTTCGATTTAAGATGTTTAAGCACTTGAAGAACAGAGATTTTTTCGAACCATCTTGAAAGATGATTCGGTTCATCCATTTTTTTTCTTTCCTTTTTTTTTTTTTTTTTTTTTGGGTTAAAGTAATCAACGAGGCAAATTTTCTATCCTTGTGCCTTTGAAAGATCTTTTTTGTTTTTTTACTTTCCAATGACAACAAGTCTAAGTTTATGTCCACCAGTAGCGCTACTGCAAGACATGATAGTGATCCTTTCCTTGCTGCTTTTATGACCCACCACTTTACTTTCACTTTCAAATACTAAAGTGCGAGTGGGAAGACATTTCCACAAAAGTTCCGATTCCTCGGCATTGTAAATTTGTTCAAAAGATAGCTCTTCTTTTAAAAAAATTCTTCAAATTCATGGTGTAAATCGTCGGCTGCTTGTTCGTCACCACTAAGTTTTTTCCCATGAAGTTCAATTTCTCGAATTACATGTTGCTGCTTAAAATGAGTCAACCAGCCAGAAGACGCATCAAAATTTCCTTTCAGGCCTAACAACTCAAAAAAGGATTTTGCCTTCGCCACAATGATAGGACCATTTACAGGAGTACCCTCTTTTCGAAATTGAGCTAACCACTTTGTCAATGCCGTGTCTAGCTCATCATAGTTCTAACCCTTCATAGTTTTTCGTGTTTTCATTGCGGAAGCACTGTCCGACATTGATGTAGAGTTCACCAGTTTGTTTTTTTGCTTTAGAATGTCACACACTGTTGTTTCCGTGATTCCGTAATCCAATTCCATCTGCTGCCTTCTAGCGCCATTTGCTACTTTGGAAATTAATTCTAGTTTTTGAGCAATCATCAACACAACCTTCTTTCGTTTTCCTGACATTTTAAATCGGTAATGAAAAATACAAAACCAAAAAGCACAAGTACTGAATACAACAAAAGATAAGAAATTAACTCCGACCGGTTCGCAAACACTATCAGGCTTAAACTAACAATAGCGAGTGGGAGGAAGTGGACTTGTCAGTAAGATTAAGATGAGAGAGGGCGGTGGAGCGGGCATTGCAAGGGTGAGTAAGAAATCGCTTACTCATCATAAGGGAAGGTTCCGAGAAGGCCTGGGATATTTTTGCCATAAATAAGCACGATGATAGCAAATTTAACGTTTCGCTCAGTTTTGTGAACATTTTTACTTTCTTTGTTTTACGCTTAAAAAAAAAACTTTGTGCAGCAGGCACAAATAATTGGGAGTCTACTGTATGTATTATTACAATTATTTTAATATTCTAAAATTCTCAAAATCAGGGGAGTCAAAATTTTGTTATAATATAAAATGTATACTGTAGTCTGTTATAAAATTGAGCTCTGCAGTTATGTAAAAACAGAAAATGGTCCATTTTTTTATGTTCATTATGTATAGAACAAATTTAATAGCCTATTTTTATTTTAACTGTTCTCTAAATATTTATAATAATTTTACTATGATATTTTGCTTTTTTCTGTTGTAATACTGTCATTATTTTCATAGTGTAAAAGCATCTTATCCTAGTGAAAGGGCTAATGTTACATCACGGCAACAAGAACTTCATGATCTATGGGAAAAAGTGAAGGTAAAACCTATATTTATATAATTACGTTTATCCTTTGATGAAATTAATGAATAAATTTGCTTTGAAAAATTAAAAGTTCAAATAATCGACCAATTTAATGCCCAGAAACATTAAACTTTTGAATAAAATGTACGTTTATTAATTATTTCATTAATTGTGAATTCTATAGTTAATGAATAACCAAGATTCCCATGTAATATATGCATTATTCACAGATGCCATATATGATGCAAAAGCAATTTCTCTTGCTTTGTTACATTTGGTAAATTATTATTCAGGGAAAAAGGTGTATTTAAAAAAAAATAGTATTAAGTGCAGTATTTAAAAAAAAAAATCTGAAAGGTTTCAAACTTTGAATTACGTCCAAAGGGGCATTTTTTTAGCATTTTGTCTTTACCTTTATTTATTAAATATCACATTCTTCGCACTTAAACCATAAAATTCAGTTCAAGAGCAATGTAGCAAAATAGTTTTAAATTGAGCATATCTTTAGAATTTCCGATACACAGTCTCACGCGCTGGAGATAAAAATGTTTTTTCTGTCAATGTTGCCATTGCTCGCTTTGAAATTCTTGTTTGTTAATCAAAAATTCATTAAAGTTTTACAAAATATGAAATCGCTAATAAAACAAAATCCAAATTTGGGCTTCCATATGCCCATATTCGCAGGAGGATTATATCATTCATAATTGGATGGCTCTAGGTACTGTCATTTTATCACAATGCGAGAAACATGCATACATTTATGCAGATTCTTCAATATTTAACTTCTTCAAATATAACACAGGACTCTAACATTTGGTGGCAACAATTTGAAAAGTGAAAGGGACATTTATAGTGAACGAACGCAAAATCGCAAAACGAAAACAATAGTCCTTTCAGGGACAAAAGCCACTTTGGACTTAATAATAAAAAAAAAAAAAGCTTTCAGATTTTACATTATGCCCAAATGGGTTTTTTTTAAATAACTTTTTATGTATTACCTTTATTTGTTAAATATCATGTTCTTCCCACTTAAACTATAAAATTCAATTCAACAGCAAAATCACAAAATAATTTTAAAATGAGCATATATATAGAATTTTCAATATGCAGTCTTGTGTGCTGAAAATAAAAATGTCCGTCTCCCCAGTACAGTGTTGCTGTTGCTCACTTTGAAATCATTGAGTTTGCTAATGAAAAATTTGCTAACGAGTGACAAAATATGAAATCAATAATAAAACAAATTCCAAATTAGGGCTTCCAGATGCCCATATTTGATGCAGGATTGCATTATTCAAAATTTGATAACTCTAGGTACCGTTGTTCTATCACTATGTGAGAAATGTATATTCATTTATGCAGATGCTTCATTATTTAATTTTTTAAAATATAACACAGGACGATAATATTTGGTGGCAACAATTGGAAAAGTGGAACGTACATTATATTTAAAGTTTTCGATGCAAAATGCCTAAACAAAATTAATAGACCTTCTGTGCCCTTCAAAATTAATAGCCCTTTATGCTAATTATTAGAATTTTTTTATAAAAATGCAAATGTTTTAAAGTTAGGTTTTAATCTTAGGTTCAGAAATACTATTTTAACATATACTTCGTACTTTAGAAAAAACTCAGCATTAGTTAGGTTTAATATTTGTAAGAAAGTTATTTTTGAAACATGAGTAATATATGGAATCATTTTTACTTTTGCATATATAGATTATAAAACTTCATAATTCTTTATTTTTTCTTCCAAAACAAAAATTTAGGGATGTGTTTTTTAAGTTAATACTAATTTTTCAGTTAGGTAAAAATGAGAAAGCAAATTAATCATTGATTTTAAATTATGTTAGAAGACTGTTAAAAAAAGCATACTCTTTTTTTATGTCTTTAATGTTGTAAATTTTAAAATAAATTATGTAATGTTAACTGTTAAAAGAATGCTTACTTTTTGTGAAAAATTTTAAAATGAATTATATATAATAAAATTTAGAGATTCTAAAAAATTCAAGAATTATTCTCAGTATGTACCGTTAAATTACATTAATATGTTTAATATGCTATAATGTTTCATTTGTTCATTAAGATATAAACAAATTGCTTGAAGGAAATAATATTATTTGTGTAAATGTTGACCTCATTCAAGATCTACGTATTTGACCCATAAATTAAATTTAAAACTTTACCGAGCTTCTTATGTAGCAAACAATTCAGTAAATTTTCCATATTGCTATATTCCTGATGTATGCAGAAATTATGTTCAACTATACCAAACAAGATTGTACTATCTATGAGACAGCGAAATATGTAACTTATTTACTGTTGCTTATAAAATTACTGTTCAAGGAAAATATAGTTTTTGTGTAAATGAAAAATATTAGTTTATTGCTTAATTGTTGTGCTCTGTTATATCTATTAACATCTTATTTTGTAAATATGATTACAATAAGAATGAACTTTTTTGTAATAAGAATGAACTTTTTTGTAATGCGATTTAGGTTCTAATGAACAAAAAGTTATATTAGTTAATAGTTTGCTTTTTAGGAAAGGCAGCATTATGCGTCAAAATTGCGTACATGCCAGTAGAAGTTTTATATGGTATAATGCATTCTTGTATTGGTAGTATTCTTACTAACATTTATGTCATATAAATGGTATGCTTTTTGGAATAGCACAAGAAAGTAATTTACCACTGATATATTGAGTAATGATCACAAGGAAATTATCTTTGTATGTTAAATCATATTTATCTGATTAAATCTGTCGAGATTAATAATATCTATTCCTTGAGATTCTCTTGAGAAATTATCTTTTAGATTATCATTACATTATAAAACTTGTATTGTGTATTGGGGTGAAATGTAATGCTGCATTTGAATATTACTTTGCTTAGGAAAAAGCCGCTCAAAGACGAGCTAGATTAGATGAGTCACTTGGTTTACAGATATTTCGAAACAGTGTCAAGAGTCTGGTATGTGGTATTTTTAAATTTTAGAGCTAAAACTTTCTTTGAAAACAATATATGTTGTTCTTCAAAATACTTTTCTTCTACGAGATTAGCATTGTAAACATTAATAGGATTTCCCTAAACTAGAACTAGAAATTGCATCTTATATTATGCCCCAAACAGCATTTTATTGTTTAATTAGAATTTATGTAATGAAGCATAATACTAGATAATTTTAAAGATAAATGTAATTTCCTTTAAATGTTGTTCATTTCATTTTATCAGTAATAGTGTCATTTTTAGTACTGTAGTAGTTAAAGTTTTTATAAAGAATCTTCCCCCCCCCTCTCTTTCCTCCTCTCTTTTTTTTTTTTTTTGTATTATTTATGCTTGCTTATTTTTTACATGTATAAAATCTCTTAAAAAACAACTTTTCCTGGGATATTTTACTTTATGTGCATCTTTAAATTTGTAGTTGAAATTAAAATATTTGTATATTAATTTTTGTCTTCAGTGCGAATCTTAAATAATCTTGATCAATATCTGTTAATATCCTATATAAGATAATGCTTATTTCTCAAAATGCATAATGTGCAACTTTTTGAATAATTGCATTGAAATTTTGTATTGGAAATATTTTTTTAAATTGCATATTCTTAGAAATTTTTGATAGGGTTAAAAGTGGATTTTGAGTGGCTTCTTGATAATGAAATTAAAAGCATTTTTCAGATCTTTATTTTGTTTAAAAAAAACTGTAAGTTATTTTTTGAATTTAAATCATTCTCTGTTATGTATTGATGAAAAAGTAAATTTTAAAAACGAATGACAGAAAAGATGAAAAATGAGAAAATATTTTTTCTTTTTTTATATATGTATTCTGAAATTCTTTGAAGAATAGAAATTAATGCCATAAACATAAATGACTCGAATAGAAATGCTGAAAGTTTTTCTTGGAACTATATTTAAAAATTTTTCTTCTCTCTTTTTTTTCTGTTCACCCATTTTTTTTTAAAATTTTATTAATAAGTCAATAGTAAGAAAAGGATTATGATTAAGTCAGATTAAATTTTGACTAAAATTTCAAAGAAAAACAGTTTAAAGTTTAATTAAATAAAATCATCTCAAGCTGTTTTATTTATTGCTATGTCTCTGTAAGCATTATTAGAATACTACTAATAATGTATACTTATTTCAATTATGACTTAAACTTCCAGTTAGCATGGGTGAGTGATGTAAAGCAGTTGCTTAATAGTGATGAACCTGCTCGAGATGTTGCCACTGCAGAAAATCTTTTGAAGAAACATCAAGACCTTGGGGATGATATTGCAGCTCATCAAGATGAGTAAGTACATCTGGAAGCATTACTTATAAATTTTCTCCTTTTATTTTCTGATGTTTTATTTATTTGTATTAATAAGATTTCCTGTTATAAATAGTTCAGACAATAATTAAGCAATTTTATGCATTTAGAATAGGTAATTTTATTTACTAAACATGTTCTTTTTTTTTTAAAGTGTAACAATGTCTTAAATTCATATAAGATTATATTATTCATAATTAATTTTTTTGCAGAAGTTATAAGGTTAAGTAGTTTATAATAAATATTAACCAATTTTATGTGATGATAATATTATAAAAAAATTTTATGTAATCTAAATCCAACTTCAGCTAAAGGTGCTATTATTAAAGTTTTAAGTTTTTTTATTGATAAATATATACTATATTTTCCAGCATATAACATGCACTTTTAACACCAAAAATATGATTGAATTTACTGGGGCACGTTATATGCCAGATATAAAAATGATAGATTAAAAATAAGGAAAAAGTCAGCATACAAAAATTTGACTTTTACCTGAGCTTAAAAACTTTTCATTATCAGATAGCATGAAAAATTCGTTATTTTTGTCTTTCATTATATCTTCACACACATCATCAATTTCTGTTTCATCTATAAATAAATAACCATCATCCATTCCATCTCTTACCAACACCAAACATGCTTGCTGCAGCACGATTTCCATTTTCTTTTGCAAACTAAGTGACTGCAGTGGAAACCAGCACTGTGTAGTTTCCTTTGGCAGAAGCCATATTTACTATAAAAAGAACTCTGGATCAACTGTATTTCAACTGAAATCTTCAAAGTTCACTTCAAAATGATGGCTTCTGCAGAAAAAGAAAACGTCTGAATCATAATTCCACGAATTGATTTAGGTTGGAAGTGCAATCTTACTCCAAATTATATTCCCTTTTTCTTGAAACCCTACTACAATAGTATTCTTTTGGACACACACTGAATACAATCTGCCCTCTTCGAGGGATTATTTGATCCCTCAAGCATTTGCCCCACACGCATATTTTCCCTCTTATCACTTGTCAATTTGGTATTCGATTGTTCATAAGGCTAGGACAAATCTTTGAATAAGTGACCTCAAAACGAACATTGCATATGTATCTTTTCGGTTTCTTCGTGAAGAATAGGGTGCATGTTACACAGCAAATATACCTAAAATTTAAATTTAGCTTGAAATCATAGATGTGAATTATACACGGTTGCGTATTATATGCTGGAAAATACAGTAATTAAATTTTGGAATTTCACTTGTTAAGTATTCAAATATACATTAATAATGTATTATGTAAATGCCAGTGCATAACAACAGATATTGATATAACAACAAGATATAATTGTATACAGTGCATAATAACAGATTATACAAACTAAATTTATTAAAACAAATTATTCTGCTAAACAGTTTTCTCATTTGCAGAACTAAATTTCTGTTACTTACATAATTATAAAACTAGATATTATTCATATCGGTGCTTTGCTGCTTATTTTTTTTAATTTAAATTTCATTTTCATGTATGATTTGTTTTCCCTTTTTAAATGCATAGGTTTACAGATATACAAGGCTTAGGGGTTAGTTTATTGCAAAAAAATCCAGAGTCTACTGAAATAAGAGATGCTTTAGTTCAGTTACAAGAAGAGCAAGATGCAATACACCGAGGCTGGCAAGAAAAGGGAGACTGGTTGAGACAGTGTATGGATTTGCAAGTTTTCAATAGGGAAGCTGATCAGATTGATAGTATTACAAACAGTCACAATGCATTTCTGGAGTTTGAAGATCTAGGTGTAAGTTTATACTTTAAAATATAAGTATTTTATCCATGTATTTTGATTACATTTTTTACTAATTGTGCATATGAAGTATTAAAATTTAATAGTTGAACTGTTTATTTTCTTGCAAAGTAAGATATTGAGAATAAATAAATTTTAAGGAAAATAATGATTCTCTCGTAGCATATTTTAAATCATTTAGATTAAAATCTAAACCTTAAAAATTAAAAGTGTAATTGCAGTATTATTTACGATATTTTGTTTACTAGAAAAATAACCAAAAATTGATGTACAATGTGGATAATTATTTTGTATATAAATTCTACAAATACTTATGCATTAAAATTGTACATTCTGATATATTCATTATACAGATTAAAAATTGCAGGATTAAGATTATTAATTATTAAAGTCATGCAGTATTTAATTACATTAAATTTCTCTTTTGCAGTACTGTACATTAATTTCTATTTGTAAGTGTTTTCAAATCCTTGGTTTAAATAGCAATTTTGGCAGGGTAAAATTTTATTATTGTTTGTTGGAATGACTGCTTTTCTTTTAATTTACTTAATTTGAAAATAACTATCTGGGAGACCTGATTTAGTCAGAATTATGGGGTTTATATATATATATATATATAGAGAGAGAGAGAGAGAGTAAATTAAAGTTCATGTAGAAAGGTCATTTTCAAAATAATTTTAATTAATCAAGTTATTGATCACTGAGTAAGAAACATGTGTCAGCAATTTTTATACAATCACTTGAGAAGCATAAATCTAATATTACATGCGTCATTCGACAGTTCTGAATATAGATTTAAAATTTAGGATGTAGCACACTAAAGAACATAAATTTTCATTTCCTTGAAGTATCTACATGTTTTTTGAAAGAAATGAAAATTTTATTTTAAGCATGTGTAGTAAGTAAATATTCAAATAAATTTAACCTGTATTATCCAAGCAAATGGGGGAATGCCATATATAAGTTAAGATAATCAGTAGTATAAAAGTAGATATGTAATTGAATAAAATAATCATAGTAAATAAATCATATTGTTAAGTTGCACAAAATATTTTAGTCACAGAAATCTTTCACTATAAGTTTAAGTGAAAAGTTTCAATATTTTATAAGTATTATAAATGATACCCAGCATAATACTGAATTTAAGTAAAAAGTATTGGTAAAATTTTATAAGTGTGATATTTTATTCTTTAAAATCATCTACCATAAATTTAATGCTATTAAATAAAATAATTATAGATCAAGGTATTCTAGAAGGTATGACATTAGACACATCTTTTATTAATTACAATAACATAGCAAATTCTGATACAAATTATCAGTTATAAATTTACTGCCTTTTAAATTATATCCATTTGTTATATTGTTAAAAATGTAAAATAAATGTTTGACTTATTTAAAAGAGTATTTATTATTTTTAAATTCTTCGAATTCTTAAGCAATTGCAGAGTGCTTTAGTTTAAAAGGTAAAAGTCTTTTAATTTGCAATGCAGAGAACTGGCTGTTTTTGAGATGCATGAAAAACAAATAAAAGATCTTACCTCTTGCAGAGTGGCAGCATTCCCAAGTTGCATAGTTGATTAATATATGATAGTATACTGTAACATGACAATCCTAAATTTCTGAGAGGGGGAAAAATTGAGGATGTTTCTAATGTCAAAAATTAAAAAAAAAAAAGAAAAAAGAAAAAAAAAAAAAAAAAGAAGAAAAAGAAACTTGAGCTTTGTTTTACCGTATGAATGTTGAGGAGTGGGAAAAAGTTAAACTGATAGTTTTATGTAACAGATTATCAAAAATGAATGAATATTCAAAAAATAAAATTATATTAGTGTAATTTTATATGCTTCTGCCTGTGTATAATAATCAATGTTTTCTGCCTGAGTTTTTACATTATTATTAAAATTTTCCTTTTATATTTCTTTAGATGACTTTGGATGATGTTGAAACCTTGCTAAAAAGACATGAAAATTTCCTTAACACTCTTCTAGCCCAGGATGAAAGACTGCGAACATTTAGCGAAATGGCTGATAAACTTATAGCAGCAAGACACTATGAAAGCAAATAGTATGAAGAAGTTCTTTATTTTTATGTAAACAGTGAAATGTATTTAAAAGAATTACCCACAGTTCCACTAAAGCTGGTAATCTTGTAGAATATAATTATCAGTGTGATAATTAATTTGTGTGATGATATTCATTAGCTGACTTTGAACATAATGACTTTATGACCCTTTAAAAATACCGATCTAGTGGTATGGCTTAATGATTTTAGAAATACAATTGTATTCATAAAAGTACAAATTAATGACAAAGATAAATTATAAATAATAACCCTCCCAAAAAATCAGATTAAAAATATTTATTCTTAATAGTAATTTATAATACAGGAAACAAATCATAAAACATCTTACAAAAATTTTACATTTTAAATTTGTTTGGTAATATTAGAAACTTTTGCTGCTTATTAAAAATAATAATCCAATGAAATCAGATTACTTGGTTAGTACGAGGTTTGTTTGCTAAGTATATCATAAATTTCCATGAGATGGCTGTGCCAGGACAAATTTCATCCAGAAATGATGAATAGTTGTCATTTGGTAATCATTTAAAACAGGTGGTGTAGCAGTTTCCTCAAAAATAGGGGAGGAAGGAATTCCTTGCAGTGATAAAACACTTGTATTTAAAAAGTAGATAGCAGTGCAGATGAAAGCCAATTTAGACAAGGTTCATGGAGATTCTGATTTTGTACTAAAAACCATTTATTTTTGGATAAGTGAATATAGAGATGGCCAAACATGCGCTGAGGACAAAAGCGCACTCATGACAACCTGTTGAGATCATCACATTTGGCATCCTGAAAAAAAATCCATGGTAAGATTATGAAAAATCATCAGATGAAGATGCATGAATTGTTGAGGCCATAGGCACCTTCATGGAGTCAGTGCATAATATCCTGTCTTCCTATTCTGAAATTTAGATTTGTCTCAGTGGAAATAAATTCTAGTCAATTGAGGAAGTAATTGTCACCATAAATGAATGTTAGCAGACTTTGAAACAGCTTAATTTTCCAACAATATTACAAAATTGGAAACTCAATGTGTATAGATCTTGATTGAAACTTATTATTGTTAAGAGAGATAAAGCAGATTAAAAAAGATGGGTTTTATTTGTTTTTTTTTTTTTACCAAACTTATGAAACGATACTCGTATTAATTTTGTGATAGAGATGTAATTATTTTTTGTTAATTTTTTTTACAAATTAGAATATAGTATCTTTATTTAAAAAGCATGAAATTTTGTCTGACATTGATATTTAACTATTGGTTGAAAGGAAAGAAAAAATCATAAATGTTAAAAGAATAGTAAATTTAATGAATTTCAAAGTATTTTACTCTTTGTTTTAAGATACTCAATATGCAAGCAGATGATGTCCATCAGTCCATTAAAATTTTAAAAGCATAAAATTGCATTGCTCTTAAAAGTTTATTTTCCTCTTCCTCCCCTTTCATCCCTATTTTCATTTATTTATTTTTAGCATTGATCAAAGAAGGAAAACTGTGCTTGCTCAAAGACAAGCTGTGAAGCAAAAAGCAGAGCAACGAAAAAATTTACTTTTGTCATCTCACGCTTTTCAAGAATTCCGTACTGATGTAAATGAGGTAATAAGGTTTTTCCCGTCTCCTAATTAGTTGTATATATACTTTTAAATTTAAAAAAATTTCTTCTCTGCATTAAATTCATCATACTTATTGTAACTAAGACATTCATGAATTTCTTGTAACATGTGATTAGTTGCAATAATCTTTTATAATTTTAAACTTCTGTGCATGGTATTATTTCCTTATGCTTACATTGTAAAATTTTAGGAAATGAAATATCAAAATAAAAAAAAATTAAATGAATGTTTGACATATTGTAAATTTTGACATTTTTCTCAGTAAAATGAAAATTTTACTGCACAGAATTTTCTTCTCTTCTCTTCTCTTCAGTTTTAGAATTTGAACTCAAAATTTTCTGTTAAATAAAAAGTATTGAAAATAAAGTCTGAGTAAAATAATTTGAAAAGATTTTTTATCTTTTGAATGTTAATTACAGTGCTAAATTATTTGAAAAATTAATAACTGTCACTTAATCCCTTACTTATAAAAAGTGACAAATTTGCTTTTGTCCAAAACCAACTCACTTTAATACCATTTAAATATAAGGTGAATGTTTGCTACATGAACACCCACTAAATGTTTTCATAAATTTGTCAGTTATATTGAAAGGTTTAACGTTTTTTCTGCTGAAGTTTATGCACTAACTCTCAAGTAAGGAGTTAATTAAACTTAATTATAATTAAGTTTTAATTATCTTCAATTTAAAAAAGTGTTTCTCCTAGACATGTTTTGTGTGAGAAATGATCATTGATGGGTTACCTTAAAATATTTTTTTAAAAAGTCATAAGCAAATAGTTTAAATATTAAAAAATTCTATCTCATAGTTCTTGTACAAGTACTTGGCAATTGTTGTCTTAGTAAAAAATTTTTAATGCACGCCTCTCAAATTCTGGTATCACCATTTAAATGCTAGATTATTTTACTTTTAATAATTTCTGTCATCACAATATTTCGTAATGGTTTGTATTTGGATTTTTACACATCTGTCGATTTTTTTTCAAAATTTCCCCTCACGTGTATTTTTATTAGATTAATTAAATTAATAATGTTAAAAGTACTTCATAAGTAATATTATTAAGATTTTAATATGAGTATTAAGATACTTCACTTTTTTGCAAAAATATCATGAAAGCTGTTTAATTTTAAGAATTGCATGAAAAAATTTATTTATTTATGTTAAGTTATAAAGTTATGTATTCTTTATGCAAAGCGACATCATTCTATTCTTTTTAATAGCTTTCTGGGTGGATTCAAGAGAAATTAAAAACAGCATCTGATGAATCCTATCGAGATTTGACTAATCTTGAACGTAAATTGCAAAAGCATGAAGCATTCGAAGCAGAGTTGAAAGCTAATGCTGAGAGACTTGATGCCATAAATAAGGTAAAATAATTAATTACAGCCTAATCATTTTAACTAATAAGTTTTTCTTGTTTTATAAAAATCTAATATTAAATTTTCCCATTGTAATTAAGCATTTTTCTGTTAAAGAATGGCGAGTCACTTTTAACTGGAGGCCATTATGCAGCTAAAAAGATCGAGAGTTTATTGAAACAACTGAATGAACAGTGGCAAGAGTTATGTGCTAAAACTTTGGAGAAAGGACAGAAACTGCGAGAGGCAAATGCTCAGCATACTTATAACAGAACTTTGGAGGATGCCCGAACTAAATTAGATGAATTGGAAAATTCTCTAGCATCTGATGATCTGGGTCATGATTTAAGGAGTGTGAAAAAGCTTCTTAAACGCCATCAGGTAATTTATGAATGTGGGAATATTTGTGGAAATAAGTAAATGTAAACATCAGATGAAAATTAATTTGAGTACTAAGTTATCTAGGAGGGAAAAAATAATAAAAAAACTGAATTTTAGTTAGATTTTGAGAAATGTTTTTCATTTGAGTAACAGTATTTTTGTAAAATTAATAACTAAATTTAAGACATATTTTGATCTACTTTTTATAACATCAAGGCATTCGTGGTAATAATACATTTGGACTTTTCTGTAAATTAAATGTATTCTGTGGCATCTGATGTTTTTAAAAAATATAAAGATATGATGGAGAAGTGACATAATAGCTGACTTTGTATATTGAACACTGGGTTTGTGTACTAAAATTTTTAGTGAAAAATTTCAAGCCAAATTATTTGCTCTTACAGAGCTTTGCAAAAAGGTAGAAGACTGGGATGCAATAAAGTTTAAGATTGTTTAAAAATATTTTTTCAGCATATTTTTTAAGCTTATTTTAATTCTTTGTTAGCATTAGCAGCCACATTGTGAAGAATATTGGATGTAGTTTCTGTACACTTCTCTTCTTTGTCACTGTGACTATTCAAGTACAAAGAGTGTACATTTTTTAGCTTAGCATGCTAATAATTTTAGAATATGTAGGATTAGTAATACATTATTTTGTTTGAAAGTATGCTTTGTTCTGAAATGTTATGAAATATGTTAAATTTTATTTTTTTTTTAATCTTCTGAGCTGATTGTTACTTCATTAGAATTTTGCATCTAAATTTATGTTTTTTAAGAGAAAAATGTAAATATTTTGTATCAAAATTTGTGTACACACTTTGAATAAATATAATTTATTGTGTTAAGGCAATTTTTTGAATTCTGTAAATAATATTTTTTTCCCTTATGTGATTTTATTTTTGCAGTTGTAGGTTTCTTTTATAATGTTAAAAATAATCTACTTAATTTCAGTCAAAATTGTCCAACAAATTTAATTAAAGTTGATATTAAATTTCATTAAAGCTTAATGCATTAAAGGTAGATAATGAGGATGGATGTTTCTACTTTAAAGAGCAAAAATGTGACTGTCTGATATTTTTATCAGTTGAAGAAGATAGATTTATGCTAATTGCTATCAAAATATGCAGAGTTTTTCTATAATACTAATCTTAGTCTAATGTTAGCCTACTTTTTAAAGTTTTAGATTGAGGTCTTGCTTTTCCATGTATTAGTTTCTCTAATGAAAAGTATTTAAGTAAAGTAAAGTTATTTAAGTAAAATGCATCAAATTTTTATGACTCTTTCAATATTCATGTGCTTTCTTCTTCCTCTTCCTTTTCCTTCTTTGTTAATCCATTCTTGTAGATCATTCAAATCTGAATTTATTTATTGAATTCTGTGTAATTAAAAAGAAATCCTTCCCTGATCTTTTAAAATATAATCAGAGGAGGGTTTACTTATTTATTTATTTTTAGAGAAATGTTCTTGAGTAAATTTGATAGATAGAGGGGGTGAGGTGTATAAACTGTTGTCTTCTGATACATTGGTGCATAACACCTTAGCTTTAAAAATTTCAATTTATCATGTTAAATTTTGATTTAACCTAATGGTTTAATTTTTCAATAGTAATATAAACATGTATACTGTTTTTGTAATAATTTCAATTATGCTTTTTATAAGCCCACCAGCGGCCGAGTGATAAAGTTGCTAAACACTGATAGTTCAATCTCCCAGAATGGCTGGCTACATGAGCCTTTTTGTAGTTTCCCTATGTGTAATGTGTATACAAATCAGTTTCTCATAGAAAGTCCTCCACAAGGACATTGCTACCCTTAGGCAAATAGCCCTCGAGTGCTTTGCCATAATTAAATAAACCAAACCAAACCATGCTTTTTTATATTTCTATTTATTTAAGAAACAGTTTTTAATGTATTTCTCCACTAACTAATATTTCAGATGCTTGAAAACGAACTGTTGACTTGGGAAACTAAAGTTACGGAACTTGTTTTCCTTGGTGAAGAGATGGCTAGCCAAGGACACTTTGATGCTCAAAATATTCTTAAAGGCACAAAATCTGTTACAGAAAGGTAATAATTCATAGAAAAATGTCTGTTTAAAAATAAATGATAGTTAAGTTTGAAGTACTATCATAAGTAAAATTTCACAGAAATTACCTTTAAAAAAATGTTCATAAATTTCATGTTTATTAGATTTAACTTATTGTTAAAATATGAAAGAAAGTATCCAAGTAAATATGTTTTGAAAAATTTGGTTCATTTGAAATTTTAATTATGAACGTATTTAGCTGAGCTGCCAACTCTTCCACTAAAATAATTATACTTCTGATTTTTCATCTTATCTTCTGGTCTTCTGGTAAACCTCTGTATCTCCTGATTTTTCATTTAATCATTTCTTTCATTTGTATTTTAGAAGAATTATTAATTAGTGAATGTCAATGAAAAAGGAACTGTAATAAATAAAATGTTGATAAAAAGTTTTTTTTTTTTTTTTTTTTAAAGGACACTAAAGCAGTTATATAGTTGTCCATTGATGAAACAAAATTGTGTGAATTCTTTTTTTTTCTTCAAATGATTTTTTGGAGTAATTTTCTGTCATATATGTGCATTTAATTTTTCTTTAAATGGTAAATCACTAAGTTTACTCATTAGGTTATGTGCACATTAATTTAATTTTTATTATAGTTGAAAGCAAGGTAAATAAAAGATTGTCTTTCGTAGTTAGGTTGTCATCGATATAATCTAGGTAAACAAAATAATAAAAATCAAAGGAAATTAGTGGAAAAACATAGAATTTAAAATAATGAATTAAATAATTAGTTTATTTATTAATTAAAACTAGTTTAATTTGGACGATGCATTATAAAGCAGTAAAATTTGCAAGTTTGGAGTCATTTAAAAGTCACAACTGTGTGCGGTTCTAGGATGTGACCTTCTGTTCTCTCCATATTTCAAGACTAGCAGTTAAATTAAAAACTTTAAGCATTTTGTCCCTTTGAGTTAAAAATTACAAAGTATACTTAATGTTCATACCTTGTAAAGTATAACTAAAGTTAGAAAATAGGCCTAAATTTATGCTGTATGTGCCCTATGTTTCATTTATATATTTTTAATAATTCTTAGTTGACAGTTTGCAAGATTTTAAAATTTATATGAATGAATTGTTATTTTGTTCCATGTGTTGTTGTATGTAAATATCTACATTTGAACATCTGCTTATAGATTTGCTAAAATGAAAGCTCCTGCTGCTGAGCGTCGTCATATTCTGCAGGAATCTCTGAAACTTCATGAATTTAATTTTGAAGTTGACACTGAAATACAGTGGATTAAAGAACATTTGCCTGCTGCCTCTTCTCAAGTTTTAGGGCAAAATCTCATTGATGCTCAAAATATATATAAGAAACATCTGGTAATATTTCTGATTTTTTTTTATAATCACTTTGATACAGTACTAAGTCTGAGATCCGTAGTAGTCAAGAATTTCCAGAATTAAATCATCAGATTAAATCTAGTAAGATAACTTGTAGAAATTATATATAATTAAAAATATGAAATTAAAGTTTTTTTTTTTTTTTTTTTTTTTTTTTTTTTTTATTTTTCAGGTATATATACACTAATACATTCTCTTTAATTGTATAGACAGACTGACATTTTTGTGGTTTTTTTGTTCAAGCACAAAGTTCCACATTTCAAGTCTTGTAAATTATCACATTGTGAATTTTTATTAAACTGTTAGTTGATATGTTTTAATTCTCAACAACTGCATTATCACCTTCCTTACAATTGTAGCAGTATTTTTAAGATTTAGGATCGTATTGCAGATTTCACCATCTGTTAGATGATTGATGATTGGTGTATTATCACAACTTGTGTTACATTATCTTCCTTTATTATCAGTTCTCCACATTTCTTCATGAATTCCATTAATTGGAAAATTTTGCCGTTTGCTTATGAAATCTGGAAACTTTCGAATTAGCAGCTGTCAACATGAAATATGGTAGCTGGCCATAAATTAAAGGAAACATTTTTCTAAATATCTGAAGATATATCCTCCCGTGACCTTGAAATGCTGCATACAACAAATTTTATAGTAAAATATTAAAACAATTCTTGAATTATCTTAGCATTGTTCAGAAAATTTAGTTTAGATTTTAAAAAGGCTTTAGCATAAATTTTAAAAGGTTACTTACATTTCAGTTTATGTGGTGTTCCAATATCTATTGGCTGAATTATGGATATACACTTTGGAGGCGGGAAAGTAGATAAAAACATTGCCCATCATAAAATTTCAAGTGAAGTTCATCATAAAATTTGAAGTTGAAAATTTCAAGTGAATTCAAGTGAAGATTTTTGCGTCATCTAGTAAATCAACCTATTTTTTCAGACCTCAGGTTTTTCAGACCAATCATTGTACTGTTGACTTTACAGTACCATACAGAAGGATATATGCCTTTATGCAATTTTTAAACCAATTCCATTTTTTGAGTGGGGGGACTTGGCTTTACATCGAAACATGCTTTTGTTTCAGTCCCTTCTGTAGCTTCAGAATTAGAAACTTCTTAGACTTAATCAAAAATTCAAATTTTAATTTTGATAAGATAACTGTAAAAATAAAACCTTCAAAAAATAATAAGCTGGACTAAATTACAAAATGAAGGAATAGTGAAGTTTGCTGTATTAACTGAACCTAAGTTTACAGGCATCTTTCTCCCTTACCTGCTGCTATGCCAGCAAAAGAAAACAGCTTGAGCAGCATCCAGACAAGTATGTCTCGGATTTTCGCGCATTGTTAAGTTAAACAGAAAAATTTACTAGACCATAAATGTGGTTGTTGCCAACATAAACATACTATTAATGAAAATATTTCTGTTGGCTGTGCAATTCCCTAACCAGCAAGTGTTTGAAAGTGACATGCAGTAAGTTGGGTCGTTAAAAAAAAGTTTATTATTATTATTATTATTTTATTTTATTATTTTATTGCTGGTAGTCCACATATGAGATGTCTGGATTTAGGACTTTGTACTGTATTATAATAATCATTGATATTCTTCTGTATGTGAAAGTATTTTATGTCTTATCCTGCCATTTAATTAATTCTTTCCAGAAATTGGAAAGAGAAATTAATGGTCATCAACCGATGATTGAAAAAACTTTAGCAACTGGACAACAGCTAATTGAGCAAAAACATTATGCATCATCATCAATAGAATCTAAATGTCAAGAATTGAAAACTTCTTGGAAAGAGCTTCTTGATTGTGCTTCTGAGAGGAAAAAGAAACTTGAATTATCTTTGAAAGCTCAGGCAGTAAGATGAATATTCATTTACATATGTCTTATATTTCCTTATGTTAAGAGTGAATTATTTCTGAAGGAATCTTGATTCTAATTGAAGATTTTTTTTTAAATGTGTAAGAATTTTTGTGATTTTTTTAACATTGGCATATTTGAATGTTTTGCAGTTAATCTTCAGTTGGAAATAGATTATTAGCGTCTGTAGCAAATTATTTGGGTACTTATATATTAACAACACAACCACCTTGGCATAGTTTGGTGATTTTTTACATATGAAAATGGAAGAGGTTCTTATTGGATGCAAGTTGGTGGTTTTTGCAACCCTTTTTATTATTATTATTATTATTCCTGCACTGTCCATGTTTATCATAAGTCAGCAAACATTATCAACATATGAAAAAACATACTTTAAAAGTTTAAAATACAAATTTTAATTATTAAATGTGGATTGCACCTTACATGAAAAAAGTATAACACATTCATCTCCTGTTTTTTTTTTTTTTTTTTTTAAACAAAAAGAAAATTCTACCAACTTGGCCATCACATAAACCTTGGCAATACTGGTTATCTACCGAACACATCTCCCCATTGTACTGTTTATTGATTTTGTGACAAAATTCTGTATTCATGCATAAATTTTACTGCAGTTTCTTCCATTCTTAGCAAATTCTGCATGTGCATATTTTAAAATTAAGTTTAAGGCAAAATGTCCCATGCTTTGTTTATAAAAACAGTTGGAACTTGAAATACAACCTAAAGAGTGCATACGAAAATGGCTATATTGCTTAACTGAAGGATTATTATTAGAATGTTTGACTAAAGAATGTTAATGTGCATGGTTGCCATAGTTTGATAGCCCACCAGCCAAATGGTAAAGTCACTGATCACTAGTACTTCCATTCGCTGTTCGAATCCCGATGAATGGGCTGGCTGCATGGGCATTTTCGTGACTTTCCCCCAGTTGTAACATTCATACAAGCCAGTCCCCTTAGAAAGAGTCCAACAAATGCATCCCTCCCATTATGCACATAGCCCTCATGCACTTTGCCATAATCAAATAAACCAAACCAAAACTAAGGCATAGTTCAAACTAAGGCATTCTTAAAATTTGCAAACTTCTACTAAGGTGGTTGTGGTAAAATGTAAGTACGATTTTTTGTTTGTGATAATTATGAAGATGATAATTTGTAATGAATGCAGTGATATTTTGTTTACAATAGGTATACATTTAATGCACTTTTTTTTATGACGTTTTTAGATGTGCTACTGGTAATCATTGATGCCATTATGCCTTCTAACTGAATTAATTTAGAACTGTTGAAATAGTATTATATATATGTGTGTTTCTAATACATTTGTACATATGTACGTATGTATATATATATATATATATGTAAGATAAAAATATGTAAATCAAAATTAGCTCCATAATTCTCCCTGTCTGTTCTAAAAATCGTAACTTTTCTGCACTGCATCATTTCTAGATCAATCTATCTATCAAGCTGGTGTCGTAGCTAACTTGGAAGCTGAACTCGCAATTTTGAGAACTGAAACCTTCTCTTTGCAATCTTCCATGTCGTATAAATGCACACTTTTAGCTTGAACTTCTGTGCTGCTTGGACGCTATATCCCTCGCTCTCTTCCTATCACAGCACTATTCAAAAATATAAATGTTCTGTAAACTAGGCATGATTAGAGTGCTGAGTAAACTGTGAATTTAAATAAATGTCACTGCCTTGACTACCAAGCATCCTATTCTTTATGAATTAGCATTCTATGCAATCAAAATTCTTCTTATCTAGTATGGATCCTCTTCAATATGTCATCTAAGTGCTTTGTCATCATAATTTCTGTGTTTGCTACATATTTGTCTCTTTTATTACATATATTATATTTAAGGATTAACTTTAATTTGTAATATTCACTCTAAAGTTTCTTTATTTATCGGGATATTTTGCTTTCCTACTTCGACATTAAAATAAATATTAGCAGATTTTATTGAACACTTCTAAAGTATATCATTCTGAAATAAATAAAAGATCATCATGGATTCAAGTGATATATCAAGTGATGCGCATGTTTATAGAATAACACAAGTGAAATCTCATAATAACAAAAATTAAAGTGAAATCCAAAAACACTCATGCAAAACATTTCTCATTACCTTTAATAATACACCATGCTTTTTTTCTTCTTCTGAAATATTCAGGTATTTTATGGTATAATTCTTTTCGGATGCATGTCCACATTATACTGGTGGACACATATACCACATATATTTAACACATCCTTGGTGGTTTTTCTTCTGCCTTATTTTTTGTTTTCTTGCCATGAAGTGTTTTAATATTTTGAAATGTACTGCTCTGCACTAAAGTAAAGTTAAATGTTTTCATGTGATAAACTGTGCTGAAAATTTTCTGAAAGCTATTGCATTATTGCATTATTCTAAAACTATTACAGTGCAGGATTATTTTACAAAATTTGATAATTTTATTAAATAATCCTGCTTCTGACAGTTTAATATTTTTGTCATATGTTTATTTCTAGTTTTTCTCAGAAGCAAATGAAGTAGAAGCATGGATGAATGAAAAGACAGACATTTTAGAAAGTACTGATTATGGGAAGGATGAAGATGCAGCTGTCAAACTTTTAACGAAGCATAAAGTGAGATCATTTTCCATATTTATTTTATCCTCGAGTAACAATATTGTTAAGTCTTTTGAGATTTTATTATCTTCTAATATCAGCTATGTGAAGTTTCTAACGGTGACTTATATTAATGAAATCTTTGCTTAAAAGTAAATTTGTCATTACAAAGTTATTTTTTATTCACTCTTTACTTCAGATACCATTAAAAGAAAAAGTTTTAATCATACATGTATAATAAGTATTTTAGTTACATAAGTTTATTGTTGTTATAATAATTATCAACACCACCATTATCTTAGTTCATTTTGGCTTTGTTATTTCATGTAAATTTTTAAATTCTTTATTTTTTTCATGTTAAAGTATTTCTTCACTTATTAATGGAGTTCATTAGTAGGAGACAAATTCATCCTTCAGAGATAAGAAAAAGCTTTTAAAAAAATTAAAGTAAATATCAGTGTATCCCTTATGTATGCACATTGCAAAATAATTTGATATAGTAGTACTGCTAGAATGAGCTAATTACTGCCAGACTAATTACAAAATTTATTTTTATATTGTTTTGAGTGTATTGTATGTAATATAATTTCCCATTTGATTTGATTTACAGGCCCTTGAACTTGAAATAGACACATATTGCAGTCTAATCACTGAAATGGGTCATCAGGCACAAATTATGATTGATTCAAATCATCCAGATTCTAAAGTTATCAGTAATAGATTAGTAAGTTTTATTATGACTTCAGATATTTCAAAATATGAATGATCATATAAAAATGTGCTTGGAAGTGATGCATTCATCATCATGGATAATTTCTTAAATATTTAATTGAATTGAAATGCAGATCTTAATTTCTTTTCCTATATCATTTTTCACTATTAATATTACATTCATAGAAAAATACTTAATATTGTATTATTTTTCTTTGTTTAAGTAAGGTAATGAGATTTTCTTAACATCTTAAATTTGTTAGTTATTTTCATTTTTACTTCTATAATGGGTTAAAATTACTCTTTTCTAATAAAAGAAACATATATTACCTTATTACATATATAAAAGTATTGCTTTAATTTCATAGCCAGCTAAACTGTATTTTGTGTGTGAAATCTTCAAATAATTAGTTATTTCATATTAATTGTTTTAGTTATCAATGACCTTCTTATAATTATAGTTATTCATGACATCATATAATTTAATTTAAAAACAAATTTATGCATTTTTCTTATAATCTGTAGTAATATATTCATAGCAGTTTATCAAAGTTATGTAAATTTACATCTATTAAGATTCTTATATTTGTATGTATTCAACTTGATATGCTATTTTATTTTAAAGTAATTAATCCGGACACTCTTGGATGACTTTAAAATCTGTGCTTTAAAATATAAGCAAAGTTGTATAGCATAAGTACCGCTAAGCATTTTTATATGCTTGTCAAGACTACTAAAGTAAGGGATGTTCATATTTTAATTACTTTCAATAAAAAAAAGGGTGATTATTTTGCTTGGGGGATGAGTGTTAAGGGATTAAGTATTATACGTCAAAAATTCGTTAAGTTACTATGATTTTATTCTTTTGTAATATTTTAATTTTTAACTTGAGTATTTGTCAAAAAAAGATGTATTTCTATTTAGCAAGTTGTAAACCAGCAGATGAAAAATATTCAAAAATTAGCTAATATACGAAGGCAGAAGTTGATGGAATCAAAACATCTTCATGAATACTATAGAGAGAGTGATGAATTGGAAAATTGGGTCAATGAACAGATGTTAATGGCAAATTCTGAGGATTATGGACAAGACTATGAACATTTATTGGTAAAGTATAGCATTTACATCTAATGTCACAAACTTAAAATTAGGTATTAAAGTTAATTGCAATGTCTGTTCAAGTTATTCTTTAAATTTTAATTTAAATTAAGATAAATATAATGATACATTCATTTCAACTACTGGGACATTTTCATGCTTGTAGTATACTGTATTAAGTAATAAATGATGTAAATATATGTAAATGCAAAATCAGTAATTCTGTAAAATATATTTGCAGTTAAAGTGTTGTGTTTGTTTACAAATATTTCTGTATAAGTAATGATGTTCAGTTGAAAAATATCATTTAAATAGGGGATTATCACATTTTAAGGGGTAAATTTATTATCATTTGGTAGAATATCTCAGTTAAGCAATCAAGATTCGCATAAAATCTTTCAGTCTGTAGAATCTCTTTCCAAAAATAGTCCTATGTATTTTTAAATGTAGCGTGTAATAAAAAATGAACTATCCCCTTATTTGACGAACATTTAGGAAGAATTAACTGAACATTTGTTTAAGAGTTTGGACTCTGAATTTATTGAAGAACTATTCTTTTAAATATATTGTTAAATATTTGTTTGTTAAGTATTTGATTTAGAATCTGATTTTTTGTAGCAAATTTTACGATAGAAATATCGATTTTATTCTTGCTTCCAAAAATCATATCTGTAATTTTTTTGTGACTTATCCTACTTCTCTGATAGTAACAACAGAACAAATGTATAAATTTTGTTGTAAAGAGGAGCACAGGATTTTTGTCTGTCATTAGCATGGGTCTTCGATGCCGTATATGTGATAGGACAATTTCCTAGCTCTCTCCCAGTTTTGAAGGATAATGCTTTGGGGGACATATACAAAGGTGTCTCACCCCTCTTCCACTATGATAAAAACATTTATTTTTAGTGCTTCCATGCTTCAAAGACACTATACATTTACAAATATGTAAGCCTTCTTTGCCATTCAAACCTGGGCCCATCTATATGGCATCCAGCATCTCTGACTGCTATACCGGCCAAGCAGTGGCATAGCTATAGATAGGCAAGATCAGGCAATACCAAGGGCCCATTACTTTTTGATTTTTGGATATTGAAAAAGTAATAATGAATTTGTTTCCAAATCCATCTTTGATATTTTATCTGTACAAATTAAAAATTTTGCAACTAAAATATATTACTAATTATAGTAGTTTTATATCTTCTTTTTGAATAACATAAAAATTAGAAATATTATTGAACACCATAACAGCCTATGTCCTTAAATCCAGTGCCTATGTAATGAATTCTTTTGTTTACACACATTGGCCCATCTGCAGTCTAGTATGCTCCTGCTTAATCTAACCAAAAATACCCTGTTCTGTGTGTGATAATCATTTTGTATTTGCTTTACTGTATTTTTTTATATTTAAACATGAGAAGGTTCTAACTTTGGTTGCAGCCCACCTCACCTGAGAGACATAAGCTGGTTTTATGACTGCAGCATGAGAAGGTATTAAAGCATAGCAAAAAATTGCTATCGCAAACAAAATAGGCTAGTTTTGGTAAGACTGCATATGCACATTTCATGAAAGGGGCAATCAGAACAGCTAAGTGCCCGTGTCCTGTAGTAGTCTGTGTACTAGACTTAATTCTGCAAACTCTTAACTTCTTATTAGTTCTTGGAGGGAAAATAAAATATGATGATAAGAAGTATGAAAACAATTGTAGCAGTTGATAAAATACTACATATATTATCAGTTAAGATGCATAAGAAAAAATAAAGTGGGCCCAAAATTGGGGGGGGCAGAACAAGTAGAAGAAAGAAAATAGCTGCAAAAATTATACAACTTTGTTATTAAAACATTATACCCAGAGAAAGATGTTTCAGCGTATATTGTCTCTGCCAGTACAAGTTGAACAGCTTGACTGGAAAAAACTGTATTATCAGCTGAAATCACCTCTATTATTAAAGCTGACAATAAACATATAGAAGAAACAGATATGTGCACATCTGTAGATACAGATATCATAGGATCTGTTGTTGATTAACTGTTATTCACAATGCATAAATTGGACAATATTGGGTTATGACTCTGTGATAAAAATTCTTTGTAAATCTTAATTGGAAATATGACCAATTTGTACTAAAACCTAGTGAATTTTAAATTTATATGCATTTTATTATTGTATTTGCTCTGCAGTATTTAATAGTGTTAATAATATGCAAATACTACAGCCAATGTTTGAATACTTATAATGTTAGTTTCCATTCGTTAATATAATTTTAAAAAATTGTATGTAAGGCACCCTGCCCTTTATGAAAACTCATATGCCATATTCCCCTGCTTGTTTTCATATATCGCTAAAATTTAAAACATTCTTGAATAATAGAGCAATTCTGTTTTTTCCCCCTTTATCTTCTTTACATATAAATGATAAGGTTGAATAAACTCTCTTCCATAGGCCTTCCTTGACGGGGATGACGGGCAGCAACATGTGATTTGGCTGTCTTGCTTATGTGGCTGATCAGGCCCAAACCCTTTGAGCTGCTAAATTGCTGTGTGCATATGTTGGGAATGCTCAGTATTGGGAAGATTAGCTGCCTTCACAGGTGCAGATCCATTGTTTCTACAGTGGTCCATTCATGTGTGGCAGAGACTCATAATGATACTGTCAAATCTGACTCAGGCTGCGTGATTACCAGATTTTTTTTCGATACCTTCTGTGGAGTTTAACATTATAACCATGTATGGCTGCTCAATGATTGTCTTTTCCTCATGTGCACTCTTGTATTGACAGAGCTTTTCTAAATTATTTAATTTCTGGGATTTAAATCATTTTGATTTAAGCATATGATGTATAAACATTTCTCAGCATATATATTTTGTTGCACATGACTTTTTTGGGCCGTGGAATAATAATTTAGTTTGGTTAATTAATTATGGCAGAAACATATAAGGGGTACTTGAAAGAGAGGATTTTTAAGAAAAACTGGCTTGTGAGGGATATTACCTGAGCCAATGACCCCCCACTTTTGCTATTCGACTATGTATAGGCCTGTGGTTGAATTAACTTAGTCATCTGTTAATTTAGAATGTAATTTTAGTCCTGATGATATGATTGAATGAAGATGGTTGTGCTTTGATTCATCTTGGTATGAAATTGTGTTGTGTCATGCAATGGAAGTTTTAAAAATAATCATGCTTGTAGAAAAATTTTAGAATCTGAACTCGTGTATTAATATTATTATCTTTTAAGCAGCATTTTTTAAAAATGTAAACTATTTTAGTATGAAATATTTTTTCAAATAGAAAAAAATCTGCTAAATTATTATATAACTTAGTAGTTACATTTCAGTTTAATTTAGCAGTGTGATGAATATCCTTTTTGTACCTTTTTCTCAGATTGAAAAATTAATAAAATTAAATGTGTTGAGCCTGTATATCGACTGACATTAAAATAACACTGCCGAGTAATGATTATGTGTTATCTTATCAAAGTTGGGTACATTAGCTGTTAAAATTTAACTTTAAAAGGGAAGATAGTAATTAAAATTAGTAATTAAAATTTATCTGTTTAAAGATATCCTTTAATATAAATTATTTTTCCTTTATACATTTGATTATCATAATTATAAAGCTCTTAATATTACACTTTTATTTATAGCTTCTTCAAAGCAAATTTGATGACTTTAAGCTACGGGTGGAATCAGGATCAGAAAGATTTAATCAATGTGAAGAACTTGCAAAAAAACTTATTGCAAGTGACAGCTCTTACTCAGGGAAAATTGAACAAAGGCAGCAGCATTTAAGGTAGGTAGTGTAGATCTCTTAAGCTTTATGACTTATACCATAACGGAGATTAAACCTTTTTCTATATTATATGCTTATTTTTAGTTTAAAACACTTTACATATTTATATTCTAGAAAATTTTAATAAAAGTTATTTCTTTATGCAAAAAATGTTATGTATTGCAGAATACAAACTAATTTTTAACATAATTAGAATATCTATATTGTAGTTTAAAAAATGGTCCAACAATGCATGGAAAACTGAAAATTTTCTGCAGTAATAAATAGAAAGCATTGTTGCATTTTTATATATTTTAAAATGTTCTCTACCTTTTATGTAATATCCTTGTTCAGGTTACCAATTAAACAAAAATTATTTAATTGCATTATAGGAAAAAAAACTATTATTGTTATGAATGGCTGTGAAAAAAACTTTTAATTTTATTTGTTAACTTTTTCATACTTTATGTAAAAATTGTTTTAGAAATAAATGTTATTCATAATACATTTTTTTAAAATTGCAGTTTAGAAATAGTATGTTTCCCTCTTTGCTTTCATATATTATCACAACTGAAATCATGAGATTATCATGACTTAATAAGAAATTTGAATCTTATTTGTTCTAGTGAATCATGAATATATCCAAATCATGATTCGTGACCATCTAAAATCATCATTAATGCTAGATAAAGTAAAGCCATCTTATTACTTAGATTAAGATTAGCATTCTGAAATTATTATATCATGCATTAGTTCAGAAGTCTTTGTTTTAATGATTGTTTCTGTATTGGTACATGATGCAAAATCTTCAAAAGACTTTTTGTCCCCATCTCAGACCATGCAAATGAAATATATTGTGTCTGTATGTTAAAAGAAAGCATACGCATATTGACACCTTTGACACAAAGCAAATTTTTTGCTTTGAGAGTTCTTTGTATTTCACACTTGTGTTCATCAAACATAATGTTATAAAATTACATCTCAGAGTTCTTAATGATCAACGTTACTCAATGTAAAAGTGTAGTAATAAAATTGTCAAAAATGTTAATAGGACCAAGAGAAACTTGCATTTGATAGACCATGCCAGTCCAATGTGTATACTATAAATAATGATGATGAAAACATGACTAGGTGATACCAAAATCTGTTCATAGAACTTTAATGAGAATTAATACACAACAAAAGTTGTATCAGCAAATTCTGTGAACTACAAAATCAGGAGAGCGTATCTGTTTTCCTTATGATTCTTTACATAATTGCAAAGAATTATTTTCTTTGGAAGTTGCACATAAATGGGTACTACCTGTTTTCATTTCATGAAACTGAGAAACAATTTCCTTTTGAGGAAGTAAGTAGTTATTTCTGTATATTTTTTATCTTTGTGTCTGTAGTTTGTTCATTTTTATGGTTACACCATGGGCACATTATGTTTGGATTATTTAGATTTTAGTTAAGTTCTTGAAGGCTATCTGCTTAAGAAGTTGGGTCTTCATGCAGGATTTTTTTTAAGGGAAAATGCCTTATATTCATATTGCATATTAGGAAACCATGAAAACTCCCATGCAGTCAGATTTTAAACCCAGGCCAAATTATTGGTGTTTAGCAATATGAGCACTATGCCACTGGTGAGCTAGGTCTGTATTTCTGATGTTCTATGCTAAATCATGATATATGCTAGATCTAGTGTTTTCTTAATAGAATCATTTTTTTTAATTATATGCATAATGAAAAACGTCAGGCTTGTAATTAACAGTTAAATAAGATGATTCTGGATTGATAGTAGCATTTCTTTGCCGATCCTTATACTTTTAACTATTGCTTATTTTCCTCTAACAAAAAATATTTGATAGAAGGGAGAATTGAAGTATTCATCTGTATTGAACAAGCACACAATGAAAAGCTTATATTGGATATTTTTAAAATTTTTGAATTTTATATTAAAGCCTACTTTTTCTTAATGAAAAGTTAAATTTCTTGACATAAGTGCATATTTCAAGTATCACATCATTTTTCTCTTTAATGCGAATTTTGGAAGAGGGAGGTACTTTTTGTTAAAAATGCAAACGAGAAAGAAATTACTCTGTTTAAAAAACAGTGCATCTATAGAATTCAGGTACTAAATCCAAAAAATAAATAATTTTAAGATAGGTTACATATTTTAGAATAATTTTAAAGTATTTTAGGAACCTTAAGATATTTTTCATGTGTATATTTTCATTATATTTGTAAATTAAAATATTTGTTTACCTCTTGGTTTTAAATAGTATGATATGATGAAAATTCATTTGTGTTTAATAAATTATCCTTAAATACTTACATTTGTTATGTAAGATTTGTATGACAAAATAAATTGAAAGCATTAATTATTGTTTACTACTGTAAAATAATTTGCAGGAAAGCCTGGTCTGTTTTGTTGGACAGTATTGAAGCAAGAGATCAGAAGCTGCATGCAGCTGGAGAAATCCACCGCTTTAATCGAGATGTGGCTGATGCATTATCTCGTATCCAAGAAAAATATGCAAGCATACCTGACGATTTAGGACGTGATTTAAATAGCGTTCAGAATCTAATTAGGAAACATGAGGGATTTGAAAATGATCTGGTAGCTCTTGAAGCTCAGGTGTGTCTTATTTCTTGAATTAATTTACATATAATTAATTTAATAATGCTGAAGAATCTTAGGTTCTCTTAGGTAAGCATTTTCTCATGGGCATAATAAAAAAAACATTTCTTGCAAATTTTGTAAGTTATGTGGTTTAGAAATAAAATTTTTTTACATAATGTGGTGTTTATAAGACATATGTTGATGTGTTTTTTAATTCCAAAATTACTGTTTCTGCAGAAGAAGAAAATCTGCCATTCTGAACAGAACAGCATTAGTGTTAAGATACTTATCTTATATTTTAAACTTCTATTTTTCATATTTCTGTTGTTTTGCATTTACCAAATATGATATATTTTATGTTTAACATGTAATGTAAACACTCCCCCCGAGGCATAAAATATTATAATGTATATATATATTTTTTAAAGTTGGTTTTGCAAATGTGAGTGACGAGCCTGATTTTGGGTAACCATCATTTCAGTTATATAAGTGATAGCCAAGCTTGTTCTGTTACCGTTGACTGTTCATGAGTTTGCTTGTGAAACTGGTCTAAGTCATGCAACCATCCTCATTCTGTACAAAAGGCTTCTAAAGAGCTAACTTATGGCATACTTTGTTCCTCATCCTTAACAGGTTCCTGATGGCATGCCTTTGTTTCCTTGGATATTGTCTATCCCAAGGGATAGACATTCCCTTGGGATAGATGGGAGTTGAACTGTCCCACAGGGCAAGGGTTTTGCATTACTAAGCCTGATTTTAGGGAGGGGGAGTAAAAAAAAAAAAAAGAATTTGTGTTCTTATATCATAATTTTGTACCATTTTAGACTATTAGGCTGTCATATACATTAGAATTAGTATTTAATAATTTTTGCATTTATTTTACATGAAAATATATAAAAAAATACTTACTTTAAGTAAGGATTTTTCAAAAGCATTGTTCAAATTATTTTGAAGTTTTAAGCAGGGCTGTAGAGGCGATAGGGAAAATGACCAACTCCTGGAATTTTAAAGACTCTAACTTCGAATTCGACTCCCTCATATATATGTAAACATATCACATGGTTACAGCTTATTTAAAAAAAAAAAATTAATTTAAAAGAAGTAATAGATGCTACAGAAAAAGATTGATGATAGCAAATTTTTATATTAATTACCATTTGTTATGAAATGAAAAAACTGGCATTAGTAATTTCTAAGAAACAGTATAATTTCGGCAAGATCTTCTTTGTTGGAGGACCATAGATCCGATTTGATAAACTTCAGAGCTTCAAAACTTCTTTCCACACTGACTTGAGTAGGAGGAAGAGCTGTTACTGTTAGGACAATTTCCTTTAACTTTTCAGGATAGATTTTTTTTTAATAAGTTTGTCTCTCTTTTTTTTTTCCCCCTATTCACTTTAATCTTATTTTAAATTCAAACTGTCCAACAAAAATGAGTCAGAGTCGATGTGTTTTTAGCGACTCCAACTCCTTTTAACCAAAAGTCTACCCAACTCCGATTCCAACTTCATGACTCTGACTCCTGAGCCCTGGTTTTAAGTGACAAACTACATTAATAGACTTTAAAATAAAAATAAAAAAAATTACAAGAAAAACTGTTTACAAGAGATGTAACAAAATCTTTCATGGGAAATGGAATGCAGGCACTCGTTGAGCTCAGTCTATGATAGATTGTCCATATCAGAATCACGAGAAATATTATTTTAACCCTTTAGAAAATGAATCATTGCTCTCATGCATGTCACTGATCATCTCATACACAAAATATAAGCAATAAAAGCTATTCAAAGCATAACAGAATCCCGCATAATAATCTTGAATGATCCCTACATAGTAGTAGGAAAAAAGGCTAAAAAGAGGATTCGAAGGGATATCACTTGGCAAGTTAATATTATGCTTTTCCTCCTCCCCACCATAGCTGAAACTATGATCAGAATGGGATCAAACTGAAGGTCAGGGTTCTAAAACTGTGTTCAGTTCAAAAGTAATGGACACGAAACACCATCGAGTAGTCTTTAAAATATGGCTGAGCTTAAAATGTGCATATGCATCACTTGTCCCTTAAGCTTCCTCTCTGGTGATGCATGGGTTGTATGCCTGGCAATAAGTGATTTCATAGGGAATGCAAATGTGGGATTCCAGTCCTGAAAGAGTTAAAGCTTGTCAGCGTTGTGAAGCTGCTAGGATTCTGTTCGGATGAATTCCTTTTGGTGCATGAATGCCTTTAATGGATTTCTGTTGGAATGAGTTCCTTCATTGCCTTATATGAAATATGGTCATACTTGTATGAAATTCAATTAATTAATACTGTCAATTCAAGTAATGCATCAAGATTATTTTTCCCCTTTAAAAATTTTTATAAATATAATCCAGAAATATTATAAATATAACCTAATATTTTATTTCAAACCATTTCATTCTTTTCTGTAATAGTTTTTATAACATTTGCTCAGAACCTAAATCGAAAAATAATAATTTTTTTTTTTTTTTTTTTTTTTTTTTTTTTTTTTTTAGAAAATAAATATTTATGCACAGATTATTAATTAAATCACCAAGTATAAGCATAAACTTCTATTATGATGGTGACAGAATTGTGCATCTGAAAAACTGCATAATTTAAACAGCAAACTTAGATCAAAGAAACAGAGGTAGTTTAATCAATTTATTAAAATACATAAAGAGAAAATTGGATCTAGCTTCTTGGACGTCTGTACATTGGACTAGGAAATTTGTTTATCTAAAGTAGCTTTAATGATTGTATTCTTTCATTTTGGTGAGAATAGTTCTTCTTTCTTCAGATACAAAGACATTTAGAATTAGAATTGTTTCTCATTCTTATTGCTGAGGAAAATGCATTCCCGGTGATGTTGATACTAGTTGCAATGTTCTGTGCAGTAATTTAGGCAGACTGCACTTTTGTTCTGAAGTGATAGAAACATAAATCATCGCGTTCCTAAACGTCTTCTGTAGTGAATATATCATTATGCAAAACTTCCAGTTTCAACTGCAAGTTGTAAATTCATTTTCTTGGCAAACAGGTTCCGGTTGTGATAACTCATTGTAGATACATTCATGCACACTCATAAACATCAACAATAAAAGAAACAAATGAAAAAGAAAGGATTGAGAAAAGGAAAAAAAGAGAGAACAATGACTGTCTATCTCAAAATATTCATCCTTATTGCCTTTGTACTCCACTGTCTGATATCCTTCTAAATGGTCAATAACTCAAAGGTACTTCTGAATGATACATTAAGGTCCTAAAAAAGTGTTTTGACTTTTGTTTATCACCGAAATCAAATTTTGATTTTTCTGCAGTTTTAAAAAATAGGCACTTTTGCAAAGTCTTCCCTTGCCTCTGGATGAAATTACATCATTATTTGCATTTCAGAAACAGATTGATCAAATTATAGTGAATATTGATAATAAAGTTATATTTATTTTGTGACAAACTAATCAAATTAATTGTATTTTTTTTAACTGGTTAGAAATTACTATGTTTATTAAAAATGATAATATGCATATTTTAATTTTTAGCTACAAATTTTGGTTGATGATAGTGCCAGACTTCAAGGTGCTTATCCTGGTGGAAATGCAGATCATATATTGGAACAGCAGAATATTGTTATAGAAAACTGGAACACACTTCAAGAAAGGGCTGCACAAAGAAAAATTGAACTTCAGGCATCCTATCAGCTGCAGAGATTTTTATCTTCTGTAAGTAATTCTTATAGTATATAATTTATTGAGCAAGTTATAGCCTTTATATGTAAAGTAATTTAATTTATTGCAATGTTTTGTGTAATTTTATTCTATTATAATAGTAACTTAGTTTGAAGTAATTTTCATCCGGTAAATCTAAAATCATCTAATTTTCTGTTAGGCTGAAAGGGAACTGTAATAGTTTTCTGATGATGTTTTAAATTGTACACTGCACAAAAAAAAGGGGGTTAATTCTACATCTCCTGATCTATTGGGGCGTTTTGACGAAATTCAAATTGTGTTTTCCATGTCTCGAAACCGTGACTTAGAATATATATTAGATTTATATATAGCTTTGTTCTAACATAGGTATTTTGATAGCTTTGTTCTAACATGGGTTATAGGACTCAAATTAAGCCTAGATATGAAATTTTGTCATTTTTTGGTGAGAAACTTAAATTTATCTTGGCCAATTTTTTTTCAGTTTGTGCCAAGAATAATTCACATGGTGAACTTAATTTAGAGCAACCTATTTTCCCTTCCTTTTACTTCATTGTCCATGAGCAGAAAAAAAGTCGTTCATACTTTCAAATAATTTTAACTGAAAGGTTAGAAATACATCTACTTTAAGATAATGGCAAAACTTTTGTAGGTTATAATTCAAAATATTTTTCGAAAAATTTATAAAAATTATTTTAAATACAAATTTTAAAAATAAATCATAAAAAATAGGCAGATTTTATTTGGAATGAACCTAAATTTTGAAATATGAAAGGGAAAATCAAATAAGTTTAATCAAAAAACAGATATTAATAAATATAAATCAAATTCAATTAACACTGAAAAGCTAAAATTTTGAGAGCTAATTTTTTAAAAACTACTCGTGCCTTTTTTACAAAACTTGACAGTTTGGCATCATTTGAGACGTAGAAACGAAATCGAGAAAAAAATTGGCATGTCATTTCAGAAAAAGTCCAATTTTATGTCAAAATACCTATACATAAATTTAATACATATCCTAAGTCGTGCGTTCGAGATGTGAAAAACGCATGTTGAATTTCGTCAATCGGCTCAATAGAACAGGAGATATAGAACTGTCCCCCCTTTTTTTGAGCAGTGTACATTTTATAAGTGTATTCAGGAATATGTAATAGAACTTTTAGAAATAGATATTTTTCATTTGAATAAATCATGTAATATTCTGCAGCATAAAAATAAAATTCTTAATGTTACAAAAACTTCTGATGTAAAATATTAAATATTTTGAGGAAACCCTATTTTTCTAATTTTCACTTTTAATTATAAAAGTTTCAGGTTCATTTTCTGTATGAAACAAGTGTTTTAAAAACGGATTGTTTGAAATCTAAGCTTGCACTATATATAAAAAAAGCTGTTTGATGCATATTCCCTTTTTTTAAATTGTTAAATATTTATGTAAATTTAACATATTGGAGAGACTGATATCAAATCACATTATCTTTCATTTTAGGTACGTGATGTTGAAAACTGGGCTTTAGGACTTTGTTCATCTTTAAAAACTGAGGAGAAAGTGCGTGATGTAGCAAGTGCACAGATGTTAAAAGCAGAGCATGAACAGTTAAAAGCTGAAATTGAGGCCAGAGAAAGTACATTTGGAACAATAGTTAATGTGGGAGAAGAAATGATTGAAGGTGGTCATTATGCTCAAGATGAAGTAAGATGTTTTCTAATTTGGAAACTTATTTTCCGTTCAAATGAATTTCTCCTTTATTAAACAACATTTTGTGTGCATTTTATTATACATTCACCTATTTAAAACCCTTCCCTCCCCAGCAAAAAAAAAAAAAAAAAAAAAAAAAAAAAAATATATATATATATATATATATTTATATAATATATATATATATTAATTATTTTGAAAATTTTAAAATTGGAAGAAAATTTGTTTAAAAAATATCACTAATATTTTGTGATGCAAATCATTTTGGAGTTTATCTAAGTGCACGTAAGTTAATACAGAATATCAATTTGAATGCATGTGTATTTTCAGATTCGAGAGCGCCTTGATCAACTTCTTGCTGTCAGAGGAGAGCTGCATACAGCATGGCACAAGAAAAAGATTTATTTGGATCAATTATGTGATTTACAATGCTTCTTGAGAGATGCAAAGCAACTAGACACATTAAGCAGTCAACAGGAAGTTTTGTTTTGTAAAAAAATTTAAATATAAATATTCAATATTATAATCAAAAGAAGAGAATTTTGATTAGTGACTTCTGTTTTAATTTAAATGTATTTAGGTTTATTTATCTGGTTCAGACATGGGTAATACTGTAGAAGAAGTTGATGCTCTTGTTAAAAAGCATGAAGCATTTGAAAAATTACTTATAACACAAAATGAAAAAGTAAGTAAAATCATTCTTTTATGTAACTGTTTATTTTTTAAAAATTGTTCTATGATTAATTTCTGTTTTTATCTTTAAAAGTCACAACTCTTTCATATATTAAATAATATTTAAACTACATAGATTTTTATGGTAAAGAAGTATATGTTATATCCTGACATTAGATGATAAAATGATGTTTTTTTTAATCCAGCCATTATTTAGAATATATTTATTAATTATTATTTTACTTTATCCAGAACAATTTAAATAATTCTGAAATTTTTATTTTTATTTCATAAAATTTATTTTATTTGGAAAGGATTATTCAGAGAGAAATGTAATGAAACTTTTTTATTGTTGAAAAATAAATATTTTATAGATGTTTTTAACAAAAATTTGTTTAAATGTTATTTAATAAAAAAAATGTTTGAATGCAAGGTCACCAAGATATTACATATTTGTTGTTAAGAATGTTTAATAGCATATTTTAAATTTTAAATGCTGCAACTAAACATTTGTAAGTACAATTCCAATTCTGTTAAAGCTCAATGCAATCAAAAATTTGAAAATACTAATTGAGCTGTAACAAAGGGAGTTCTTTACTTTCTTCTGTTTTTAAAATGACTTTGCTTTAAATTTATTTTTAATTAATATTTTCTGTTGATAGTGAATAACTCTTGTTAATTAATAACCATAGAATCTTAGCTTTATTTAAGTTACATGTGCTTAATGTTTTCAGAGCATGTAATCAACTGCGGGATATTTGAAGATATTTTTTTTTAATTTTATATTTATTTTGTCACTATGCTAATTTAAAATTTTATAATGTCATTCCTTGCAATTATTCCCCTTCCTTTTCATAAGAGTTATGAAAGATGCTTTTTGCTTAAAGATGTAACAGAATAATTTTCATATAAATTTGCACATTTTAATAGTATATTTGTGTATTTGATATTCTTGGTAAACATTTGTGTTTCATTAATTACTTTTTTCAGCTTACTGCTTTACAAGAACATGGGACAAAGCTTTTAGAACAGAACCACTTTGATAGTGATACCATCAGAACAAGGATGGTTGAAGTTACAAATAGGTAAACTGCTTATACATCCATGCATTTTAAAGTATCTTAAGTTGACAGTTTTTGCTAGATTTATTGTATTTTTTCTTATCTTAGTGCAGGTTATTGCAACAGATATCTTTTCCCGCATATAACTTTCTTAAACCATTTATATGTAGTTTAAAGTTACAAAACAGCCTACAATAACATATTTTCTTTAATAGTTATACTGCTTTATCAGGGCACTTTTCTGTGTTTCATTCTTTTTCAAGTTCGTACATTAACAGATTTTGCTACATCTGCTGTCACTGAAAGATTGGTGGAAGCTCATTCCGCTCGTGTAAGATATATAAAAAGAGCAGGAGTATAATAAACATTAATTTGAATTTGTGATCTTTCATAACAAGATTTTATTAACAAATTATACATATGCTATTATTTTGCTTGAACTTGTTTGTTATTGATGTATAGTGAATTATCTGTTAACAAGTAAAAGAAATCTCATACATTCTCATTTCACTGCTATTAGTCACTGTGTATCAGTTGCATACTTATTTGGATATTTGTTGTAAATCCTAAATAAGATACTTTATGTAAATTGTTTTTAAATGAAAAACAGCAAACGTATGTGGGCATGTAAAATCCTATTATTTATTGTATTGAATATAGTCTGTGAATATTTTTAATGCTTTACTAATTTTATTACAGGAGAACCAAAGTTAGAGACCTTAGTAATGTGAGAAGGCAAAAGTTAGCTGACAGTTTTCTTCATGCTCAGTTTAAGAGAGATGCTACTGAGGTAAGCAGTTTGTTTAGCACCTAAAAAGTAAAGGGTAAATAAATAAGTAATGTTTTTAATATTTCTAAATACCCAATTAATATACAAACATTAGGAAACACTATCTAAACAGTAATTGTAAAATATTTTTATACCAAACAATAAAATTATTACTAGTTAAATTAGTTATTGCTCAATATAAAAAAATTTGTTTTTTTCATTATTTTTGGTGTTTTAATATGATTTTCTTATTTTTTTATATTTTCGGGAGAGTTGGGAAACTATAAGCAAAGATTTTTTATTCAGATTCCTCAGTGTATCTTTAGTTATATATGTAAAGATATTGAACAGTGTAGGAGGCTATGATCTGTTGTGTAATGGGAAATCCATATATAATTTTTTTTTTTTTTTTTTATCTTTACTTTCCCATGATTTGACTTCTAGTGTATTTTGATTAGAGGCTTTAACCAATTATATAAGCCAGTCAGTTTAAAATACATATAAATTTGTATACTATATGTATTATATATTTTAATAATGAAGTAAGCTATGAAAGAGTGTTTTTAAGGGAATAAAAAAAGGGAATATGCATTTGCATATTGTGCTTAATTTATTAATACATCAAATTTATATTGTCTGTGTTATGTAATTAATTTTATTTTGTAAATGTTTGTGTCTTTTTAATCGCAGTTTAGCATTAATTTTGTGAGATATTTTTTATTCTGATAAATACTGCACCCAGTATCTATTTTTATACTACAAAATTTTTATGTTTATCATGTTGATGGCTTAATTAATAAAAAGAAATTGCAATATATTTGAGGAATTTTTTTTTATGGTATATCAAAATAAAGCTTCTTAAGTTCTTTATATTATATAAAAAATGTGATGTGTACACCACATGACTTCCTTGTACGGAATATTAAATTACATGCATTTTTTTTTGAATTTGTTTAAATTGATTGGATTGAATTAAATCTACTTCGGCGACAGCGATAAACCACATGAATAAATGCACTCTTTAAAATCACTATATTTTACTATGACACTCTGAATGCACAAAATTATATCATTTGAAGAATTATCTTATTGTTGTACAGTTTCTATTCAAATACCTAAATAAAGAGAACGATGTATGAAAGAAATTAAGAAAACAAAACAAAAAGAAACAGCTTTTCACAGACGATTTAGTATTCTCATTCAATTAACTCAGTTCTCACTTCGCGACAAGGCAAAAAAATACACAAAAACTCAAAATATCTGTATTAAAAATTACGAAGTAAATCTTAAACACTTATTTCCTCGAAAAAATTCCAGAAAGGATTAAGCATGATTTAATTTGCAATAATAAATGAAGGCGTTATTTTGTTGTTGCGAAGCTTAGTATCTCTAGATTGGCAACAAATCTGCAATTCTGCTGTTTCAAATGTAAACAAATATGTCCGCCATGTTATTTAAAACTTAACCGCACTTAAACAGCTTTTAAATTGTTGATAATTGTACAAATATTGCCTCCAGAATTACGAAAGGCATAAAAACCTTAACCGGAAGATAAGAACAATATAATTCAATCAGTTTTAAAGCAAAAAATGTACAATTTACAAACATAAAAGAGTAAAGAAACTGAGATGACTGTGCCGAGTAACAGAGTGGATAAATATGTAAATATAGTATTTATATACGTTTGGTGTGGCCGATTGCAACCAAAATACGAGGTGCACATCTGCATGTTATAGCAGTCCTATATACAAAATTTCAACGTTCTGAGGCTACTCGTTTTCGAGTTATGCGAGATACGTACGTTCGTACAGACGCCACAAAAATTTCTCTTCAGAATTCATTTTAAAGCAGTTTTATAATTTTTTTGGAGGAAACGAGTCTTTTATTCTGCCCTTACGTACATATATCATGCAAAAACATCGTTAAATTGCATTCGATAGCGGTCAAAATGGATATGTTCATTGAAATATGCTGGCTGAAACTTTTCGTGATTACAATATTTCCTTTTTACTTCGTACAAGGAAGTAAAAATATTAAAAGTCTGTCAACATATTTTGATGCATCTTTTCTTTTTAACCATGAGGTGTGTTTTCAGCAGATATTTATTACATTAGGTACCATATGATTTATCAGTCTTACAGCCTAAGAAGTGTTAGCATTGCACAAGTTTAAATTTATCTTTCACACAGCTTAACCAAAAAAAAATTTTTTTTTTCCCAGTCTTGCTTATTTGACATTATATAAGAACTTAAAATTTAACCTTCAAATTAAATACTTAACAAGTAGTTAAAATGAAGCGAATGCCCTTAATAATTGAAATCTTTTATCTAATTTAAAAACAGTAAATCTAACTGATAATTAGGAACATTTATAACATTACTATAATAAATAAAAGATTTTACATTAGTAACATCTTTTAACCATATGTTAATTGTTAATAGCTCAGTACACAATTTTCCCTCCCCGTTTATAAATAAATGTAACATCTTTTACCCATATGTACCTCAGTACAGAATCTCCCCTCTCCCTTTACAAATGAATTTCTCCTAACATGCCTGTTTTTTGCATCAGATAAATATTTAATAGCATTTAGTCTTCTTAAATAATATGCAGTGAACAAGCCTTTCTTTTAGCAAAATGTACTTTAAAAAAGAGAGTGGGGTGTTTTTTTTTTAATATGATTATAGTATAAAATGTTATAAAACGACTGTTTTAATCAAAATTTGAAATGGTTGCCTAAACTGTATCCTATTTAAATAGGCAGAAGCATGGATTGAAGATAAAAAGAAGTACTTAGATGCTGAGCAAGATATGAGTCAAATTGCTAGCTTAGAAGATAAAATGAGGAAACTGCAGAAGCATCAAGCATTTCAAGCTGAATTATCTGCACATGAAAGTAATATTCAGAATATAAAGCAGGTATTACCTTTATATTTGAGCAGTTTTTTTATTTTATTTTATAAGAATGAATAATATTATTACATATGCAATGAAATTATGAGAGTGTTGGAAAAATAGTTTAAAAATCGAAGTGTTTGTTATTGATAATAATGAATTCTAGTTTCAGATAAAATATTGAATTGTATTTACAGAAAGGAGAACTTTTATTGTCAAAAAATCATGAGAATTCTACCAAGATACGACTGCAGTTGGAAAAGTTACTTAAACAATGGAATGAACTCTTATCATCTTCAACTAACTTGGGTCGTGGTCTTGAGGAAGCTCAGGACATATTAGAGTTTAATAATCAAGCTGAGAAAATAGAAGCTTGGATAAGAGATAAGGTTGGTTTCTTCAAGGTTTATCCTTTACTTAGAATATAAATAAATACTAATGTAATTTTTCATTTGTAATAAGTATTTTTGATATAAATATTATCTCAGGATACTACTATTGAATTATAATTATTAAATATTAGTACTTCAGTGAACTTCAAAATTAAAATATAATAAAAATTTTGTTGTTTGAATTTATGTATTGTATATAGCAATAATTCACCATAAAGAAGACTAAAAATATGCCATTTATTATTAGCCATGCATAATTTAATTTCATTTAACTTATGCTTTTAAGGATCCATTTTCTTGCTCAAATGTTATTTTACACTTTTGTGTCTCTTCTCATTTTTAATGTACTTTATTATTATTAAATACTTACCAGTGAAGTGGTCGTTATAAATTTCCTCAAATCAAATTTCTTATAGCTGAACTGAGTTGTTTCATGGAATTTCTGCATATGTAATATAAACACGAATCAATTTCTGTAAGAAATTCTAATAAAGACATCATTTAAAAAGACACTTTAATAAAGACATTATTTTCTGAAAGCATGCAGTTTTCAAGTGTTTTGCCGTAACTTTTAAATATCCCCCCCCCCCATCTGTTGCTTGATTTTCATGTAAGATTAGGCATGTTTAACTGGAAAGCTGTATTAAAATGTTAAAATTTTGTGCCAGAAGGAATAAAGTTATTTAAAACATTTTTTTCAAAAATGAATTTTAATTAAAAATGAAAAATGCTATATAAAAATATAAAAATATAACTGATGTCGTAATCACTTTGTCAGTGTGAAAAAAACAAGGGAGTTTTCTTTAACAGTTACATGTTTCTTTTATTTCTGAGTAGAACACTCTCCTTTAATGTACTGCATTTCAAAAGCCCTTTTTTTTTCTATGAATTATGTATTAAATGTTATAGATTTGTTAACTTCTTTTTTGTAGTTAGATTAATCACTCATAAAATGGTTGTAAAAGACAAACATTTATTTAAAGATAAATCTTAATAACCTACACGTAACGTATTCGTAAACGTACATAACATAACAAACCCACTTCTGCATCCGTACCATTAAACATTCCAGGCATACATCATCTGAATATCTTTTAAAAATTATAAATAGAACAACATCCAGAAATTAGCTGTTGCCATTTCTCAATAGATATTTTGTCTAATAATAACAAATAATTTACAATCGTGCTTACAGATTTAATAAAAATCAATAATTATTAATTCATTTTTCATTATTTCTGTATTTTTAATCCTAGTTTATAGTTTAAATGTCCTTAAATAAATGTAGTTTAAGAAATTTTAATGAACTCTTACTTTATAACTTTCACTATTAGCTGTATTTAAACAAATTTCTGAAGAATGCATGTATTTTCAAGTATTATTAGTTATTATCATTCTATGCTTAAATAAGTCAAAATTTAAAGCTCAAATATTCATTGTATCAAAATTGTTTTTGATTTTCAATATAAAATTATTAATGCTAATTAATAAATATTTTTAATAATTTTTATTTAACAGGAAATGATGGTCCAGGCTGGCGATACTGGGAAAGATTTTGAACATTGCCAAGCTCTTCAAAGAAAACTTGATGATGTTGATTCTGTAAGTAACAATTTTAAATAGTATGCCATACTTCATTGTTCCCAGATTTGGTGTATAAATTTAATATAACAATTCATAAACCTCCAAAATCATGTTGTTTTCCCATCTTTATACAAGGCATATATTCATGAAAATAGTTTTGACTGTTATCCTGTCTTTTAATATAATAGTCACAACTTAAAAGCTTAAAATACATTATAAAATATGTGATTTTTGGAATATTTTAAAATTGTCATTCATTATTCAAAGAATACATATGCTTTATGGCGTACATATGATTTATTAGGAAAAATGAAGTCTCATTTTTCTACTTTGAGCCTTAATAATTTCAAGTATATGTTTTGAATGTAGCATATGTGAAAACGTTTTAAAGAAATATAGTCCATTTTATGTTCATAACTGAAAGAGAATGAAGGAATCAGTATTTAAACACATATGTGGTTGCATACAAATTCAAAATCTATTCAGCTTGGGATAGAGGTTATGTGGATTTTAGAGTGTTACAAATACCAAATCATAAATAAATAAATCATTAAACTCAGAACAGGAAAAAGAACTTAAATTTTAAAAAAGTACCTAAAGAATGCAAATAATTTACTTTTGACACTTTATAAAGCAAACCAACAAAGAAACATATAAACATTATTTTTTACATTTTTCAAATAGTTGTTTTGCACCCATTAATTTAAGAACTTAAGAATGTTCCAGTTATTTTTGCAAATTATATGCAGACAGTATCTCCTGATCGTTTATATAGCTATGTTGTTTCAAAATTTTTAACTTCTAAAGCTAAATCTTCATCAAATGATATTTTTTAATTAAAAAAAAAATTAGCATTGGGATCAAAATTTTCATGCTGTAGATTTAAAACTTTTTAATGATTTCATCATTAAGCATTTAATAATGGTGTTCAAATAATGCTTCATTTAAATTTGTATTTCAGTTCACAGTATTGTCTTTATGAAAATGTTCATTTTTAATTATTTCTTTTGCTTAAGCAAGCAGCTCTTCAGCTTTAGCCTTTATCAAATCCTAAATACAAAACATTAGTACTGTTGCACTCTTGGTTCTGCAAAAGCTTAATTGGCTATAAATTAGGACATGCATTTATCATAGTTATATTTGTAAAGAGAAATTTTATGTTCAAAAGAATTTTGTGTCTAAGAAGCTGTACAGATTTTAAGAATTGGTGGATTTGAGTGTTTTGTTAAACTTTAAAAGTTTCCAACATTTTTTCCTTATTTTATATTAGCATTTTCAAATGTAAACTCTAAACGATAAGAGTTCAATAATTTGGAATTTTTATTGAAAGATTTTATTTATTTATGCATGTATGTATTTATATATTTTTGATTTTAAAGAAAAAAATTACTCTGACTGAATGAAAGATAGTTAGATTTTTAGTCAACAATTAGTAAAATTTATCAATAGTTTCACTCAAAGAATTATGAAATTTTTGTATGTTTCTCTGTCATATGTAATTTGAATTTATACTATAGATTATATTCTAGTTTCTTTTATAATACAAAAGACTATTAGAAAATTCAGGTAATATTTCTGCTAGTATGTGAAAGGAAAAATAAATTACTGCAGGAGCATTTGTTGCTATGAATAAATCTGTAATTTAAAAATTCAAGTTTTTCCTTACTGTATCATTTATTAATGAAAATCCAATTCACTGAATATCTCTATCTGCTTAAAATGTTGTTCAAATGAATTATTTTATAGATAATTGCATTTATTTTGTGTGTATCTCTGCCTAAGATATTTGCATAACACCCATTTAGAGATAATGACAGTTATACGCATATAGACTGAAGTAGAGTGCATTGAAACAATCTGGTTCAAAATATATGGCAAATTAGCCAAAGACTGAATTTTTTATGAAATGATACATATTCCTGATTTGAAACTGAATATTAAATCTGAGGCTGGTAATATTGTTGAAAGAGATCCTAATAAAAATTTTAAGTCTGTTTTCACATTTCAAGCTTCAGGACCTTTCATGATTGTTGTGCAGCAAATCTGTTATCTCAGCCTTAGAGAAAATGAATGTGTCATAAATTGATAGCATCACATTAAAGAGCATCACATCTTCAACTGTCTTTATGAAAGAAACATTTTAATTAAATCTATAACTTAAAAGTAGTATATTACAAGAAAGATGTGAAAATAAAGAGAATTTACAAATTATGCCTTTTTTTACAAAACGTATTGAACCAAAGGTATTAATTATGCTACCAAAGAATATTCAGACTCAAATATGTAAACATTCACATGCAGGTCTGCAGAGCTATGGTTCTGGGTTGGGAATATAGGCACACAAGTAGCTTGCAGCAATTTGTGTGCCTACTCCTCCACGACATTTGATGAGTCTCTGGCAAGAGTTGGTTAAATTTTATAAGGTATCAGGTAAAATGAGTAGCCACGAACTTATGAATGACCAAATGAGATGGAGAATTAGTGGTCGATTGGAGGCAGGCCAGTCATAACTTGGGTGGCTACAGAGTTCAATGTAATATCCATTGTCATTTGCAATTTTTTGAAACAATTGGAACACAATGGATCCATATCAAGAAGATTTGAACAAGATCAACCAAGATTTGCAAGGATGAATAAGGATTGTTATTTACCATTTTCAGCACCTCGACCCCAAACTGCTACAATTTCACAGCTCTATGCTATATTGTCATTTGCAATTTTTGGAAACAGTTGGAACACAATGGATCCATATCAAGACGATTTGAACAAGATCAACCAAGATTTGCAACGATGAATAAGGATTGTTATTTACCATTTTCAGCACCGCGACCCAAAACTGCTACAACTTCACAGCCCCTGCATGAGCACTGGAACTTGTGTTTCATGGTCTACAGTTGTTTGAAGGTCTCATGAGAAAGGCTGTATGCCAGAAGACCTGCTCTTTGCGTCCAAAAAATTGCAGCACACAAGAGAGCATTTGCCATGGTGCAAACAAATGCATGGTGCAGGACTAGAGGAGGTACTATGCATTTTACAGATGAGTTGATATTCAGTGTGGACACTGATTCTTGACGTTGACGTATCTGTATCTAGAGAGAGCTTGAAATGTAGTATCATCCCTCCCTCATCAGGGAAAAGGATCATTATGGTGATGGAGGTGTAAGGTTTAGAAAGGCTTTATGTTGGACAGCCACACACCCCTGTATGTGTTTGACAAATATCTTGATTGCTATGAGTTATAAAGAAGAAAACTTGGAGCATTATGTTCAACTTTTCAGAGCCATAGTTCTTTCTGGGTTACTGTCAATGGACCACAGTGCTGTCCACATAGGGATGAGGTGGTCGACAATTATCTGGAAAGAGAAGATATTAGCCATATGGATTTGCCAGCCAGATCTCTTGACATTAACCCTATTGAGCATATCAGGGATGCTCTTAGGAGAGCAGTTTTATCTTGCCATCCCCCTCCGAGAATCATCCCCTCTGAGTTGAAAACTATCTTGCTGCAGGAGGGAGAGTAATTGCCACAGAGACTCCTCAGCTGCCTCCTGTCCAGTATGCCCTCATGCTGCATGACTTGTCTGGCTGTGAAGGGGTACCATACCTCATATTAGACTTATTTTCAGTTTGATATCACAATGCGGATTCTGTACTAAGAGCTTTACTGATAATCATGCGTACATAAAATGACTTTTGAATGGCACATCTCTTTCTCTGTTAAAAGTCCATATTCGTACCAAATTTAATTAAAATATGTCCATTAGTTTTTCAGAAATTCAATGTAATTTGGAAATTTTCTTAATTTTGCCCACAAGTGTATTATAAGAAATTATATTCAGTATAATAACATCAATAACAATCTGACTTAATAACTGAGATGTTTTATTGTGTTTAATAAAATATGTACACCAATATTTTGTATTAAAAGGGCATTTAAGTATAATTCTTCTTTTAATCTTTATTTCTTATAACATGTAGTTTTGATAAACATTTTAAACTGCCTTTCAGGATATGAGAGTTGATGAACTGCGTATGAAAAACATTAATTCTTTAGCTAATAAACTTATACGTCAAGGAAGATCAGATACGCAGTCAGTGCAGCAGAGACAAGAAGAGCTGAATAAAAAGTAAGAAATCCTGAATTATTTCTTTCCTCATTATGAATTTAAAATATTTTGCTTTCTAAACCTATCTATTGCCACCTGTTTCTTCTCTGTCTCTCAGAAAATGCATATAAGTAGAAAGAGCCTTAAAATGCATTTTATTTATATCAAAGATGAAGCATGGTGTTTCATAGTTTTGGCTAATAATACATATGGAACTTTTACTTGCATTTTATTTGTTTTCAGTAAAACTTTCTGTCTTATTCCCCTTCCAAGTCAATACAAGGAAAAAGAAAGGACTTCTTCCTCAAATGTTTTTTAAATATTAGTTTAAAAAAGTGGATTTTTTTCTTTAAAATTGTATAAAGATTAAATCATGTTTAGTCTCTTAAAATTAAACAATAGGTAGAAAATTGACTGAGACAATTGTGTTCGAGAACCTTAAACTAAACCATGTAATTGTATTAATATCCATCGTAAACATTTTTTTGATTTAATTTTTTCATGCAAAATTTTAGGTGGAAAGCTTTGCAAGGTGCCTTAGAGTTATATCGTGAGAAACTTGCTAATGCTTCTGATGTACATGCTTTCAATAGAGATGTTGATGACACAAATGATCGAATTAATGAAAAGGTGGGAATTTTATTTGTAGTTGAACATATAATTTTTTGGTAACTTTTGCTGTTAATTACTTTTCACAGTTGCCGTCAGGTTTGCTCAAATATTAAACGTTTAGGTGTTGTTTTCTATTATATATTCAGTATAAAAAAATAAATAGATTTTATTGTGTTAGTAACTGTAAGCTATAATAGATCATTATAATCAACCTCTAAATCTTCTTTGCTTACAGTATCTCTGTGATTCATAACTCTAATATATTTCTATTTTGTATGCCAAATTTTCGTAATTTTTATTTCTTTCATAATCATTAGCAATTGGTATCTAAATGTAAATAAATCTTTTTCCCATGTTTCTTATTCATCATTCTGCATTTATTTTAATTTGTATTAAAATTTTATATATGTATGCCTCTTCTTCATTTTAATGCATTTCTGATTCTTTTGTAGTCTTTAGCATTACATGTTGAAGAAGAAACTAAAGATTTGCAAACAGTTGAAGCATGTCAAAGAAAATTAGAGGCTACTGAACGAGATATGACAGCAATTGAAGCAAAACTAAAAGTAGGTCTATGCTGTTTGGAGATTTCAGAAGTGAAGATCATAATTTCTATGCATAAATCACATTTTATTTTTTGCTGGTTGTTGAAGTTTAAATGAATTTTCAATATCTCAAATAATTCTTAATTCAAACCATTAAAGAAAAATAATTACTTATTGATTTTTGCAAAAGGAACATGAAGTTGATGCTCGTCGTCTGATCCAAAAAAATCCAGAAGCAGCTCCTCAGATGAGACAGAAAATTTCTGAAGTACAAGAAAATTGGAGAAAACTAACAAATTTATGTTTATCCAGGTAAAGTGTTTTTTTTTTTTTTTTTTTTTTTTTTTTTTTGTGGAAGGTGTGTGTGCACATGCGCATATTTGAGAGTGCTAAGTTTGATCTGTAACTCAAAATTAATGATACTGCAGTATTATTAATTACTATCATTAAATTTTAATTATTAGATGAAAATTTTTAAATGATTAATTAGTTATGCATTATAATTTGAAATTTTAAAATGAAGATGTATGATATTTTAATATTAAAAAGCTTAGAAAAATCAGGAAAATTTAAATTCTATTAAATATGTGTAGTTCAAATTTAAAAAATTCTTTTTAGAAAATGAAATGCAATATAAAATTATTATCTGCTTCTAAGTATATTTATTTTAAAGGTTTGTAATTACATGTATAGGTTATTTATTTATTTTTTCATCTTTCAGGAAACAGTCTTTATCATCAGCATATACACTTCATAAATTTCTTTCAGATTTTGATGAGTTGGTAAGATACTTTCCTACTCCTACTTTATTAATAAAAGTAACAGAAGTGCTGATGATATTAGTGCAGGTGTTTAAGATGTTAGAATTCAGTATGTTTATTTCTCACAGCCTTCCTTACTTAGACTCCTTAAGGGCTCATTCTTTTTTAGCATTGGTGTAACAATCCTGATGTACTGTAACCTTTCAAGGGATTATCCTGTTGGTGAGACAGAGGGTCATGTTCCTGGAGCTTCAGCGATCTTTACTCCTTTCCTTTTTCAACTTTCATCTGTTCCTTTACCATTACTTTTTCCCTTGTAGTTTTACTTTTTGGAGGTTTGGGGCTCAAAGTGAGAAGCTGTTACATCCCTTTGATTCTAGTTTCTCATGGAGAGAAAACCACTTACGCATATGCTGTGTGTTGTGACCCATAAGGCTGGAAGGAAGGTCCTGATATTTGAAGGGGTGAGGTACTCTCTTCAACACACTGCTTTGGTCTCTGCTTCAGAATGAAACAGGAGGCACTTAGCTATCTCCGCTAGTATCTGTTGGCTGGTTACTCCTCTTTTGGGTCAGTGAATTGGGGAATAAGCTTTCACGAGTTCCTGCTTTGGGAAAGCTGACTGTGGAGCTTCAGACTGCGTATAGATTCCATTAAACTTGGTTCAAGAATCTGCATCTTGTTGGATTCCATGGTGGGTGCAGCTTCCAGATCCGAACTTCTTTTATCTCTAAAATATAAAATCTTCAATTTTACAAAGTTCCAAAGAAAATGTTTCAATCCCAAAGAAAATTAAGTAAATGTACTGATTCATTAATCTTAAAAAAATTTTAACTGTTTTTTGGCTAATCTTTGAATTCCATGGTTTGTAGCGTTTTCAGTGGCACATTGAGAAATCTCTATGTTTTGTAATAGTAATGCTAAAAGAAACAGTGCATTGAAGTCGTCTTGCACCGCTATTCCACGTGTTTTTTTTTTTTTTTTTTTTTTTTTTTTTTGAGAGAGGGTGGATTAATTAAAAAATTTTCAACTTGAATTTTCACCATATAAACAAAATTATTTTGATGAAAGAGTACTTTAAAAATGTTAGCCCTGTAGTTACATTATCTTTTTGAAAAAGTCTGTAGCATGGAGACATACTATTGCAGCATGAATTGCACTGTGTATTGTTTATTGATTGTAGTCCAAACCAGGGGTTTTTAATCAACAATTTTATAGTTTCATGGAAAGAATTTGGTCAATCTTTTATTTTAAGTATTTAGTTTTATGAATATAAAACTACTTTTATTCAAGTTTTGCTATTTATAAACATTTTCTATACATTTTCTAGTTTAATTTAAGAAACACATTAAAAAGTAATCTAAATTTAAATAAATATATATGTAAGAACCACTGGTCTAAACTATTGAAATCTTTACTGGCTGTTTTCAAAATGAGTGTTACCATCTAATATCAGTTGGCAAATTCTGAATTATTTTAAAATTTAAAAATTTCAGTATCAGTTACACTTGTGTGAGGCATGTAAGTTTTATAACATGTTTATTGTTGAAAATAGTTTATAAAATTGCAATTTGCAAAATTTTAATTGCTTAGATTTATGTTTTTTCATGATATATAATATTTTAACTATAATTTTGGAAATTTTGTGGAGAAAGTTGAATTATCACTCAATGATAGTTATTTATTTATTAGTTTCATTTTATTTAAATGTTATACGTAATAAGTAAATTATGAAATCAAATTAAATTTTTTAATTTATTAGCATTTAGTATTATTTTAGAAGGCATAACTTTTATTATCAATTTCTTAGTAACTTTCTTTTAAAAAACACTAAGTTCTATCTAAGTAAACATTTATGAGATGAAAATTGATTACTGTTAAATTGATGTATGTCAATTTTTATACGCTATATGCATTTTAATAAAAAAAAATTTAAAAGTGGCATTATTTTCTGAAATAAGAGTATGGTTGAATACATTACATTTTATTTTATGAAAGGTAATGATAACACTATTTATTTATTTATTTAAAGTTTGAGTTTATTTATTTAGGAATCATGGGTAAATGATATTAGTAACAGAATGACATCTGGTGAATTGGCTACAAACAATTCTGAAGCTCAGAACATGTTACAACTTCATCAAGAAAGAAAAGTAAGAAATGGGTATTTTCTATTAAAATAAAATAATAAAATAATAATAAAATAAAAAAAAAGATTTCACTTTTGTAGCTTTTCATATTGTTCTGAAAATAATAAAATATAAATCTAGTATAAAATTAAGCTGTTTGCATTATCTGTTAATTGAAATATATTATATTGCAAGATATAACATATCTACTAATTTTTGCCTAAAATTTCATAAAGAGAATTTTGTGAAATAAGAGATTATTATTTTAGTGTAAAATGAAGGCTTTATTTTTAAAAAACTGTATTTTTGTGTGATTGTATATCTCACTTATTAAACTGTTTCAATACATAACATAATAATTGTGAAATTGTTTTATTAAGTTTGTTATTTCCTAATTTGTTTCTGTAATTTCCTAATTTGTTTCAGTAATTATTTTAAAGGACAAAAATATTTACCTCCTTAAAATTTTTCTTTTAGCTGGAAAATTTTAATTGGTTTTGTAATGAGAAAAAATAAGGTTAACAAACAATAAGTATGGTGACAAAACAAATGGGGACCTCGTTTGGAGCCCAGATAAATAGCTTATGAGGCTTGTGTTATAAAGGCAAAGAAGAAAAGTGCCCAATCTTAAGTTTGAACTTAATTCATCATGTACATCTGCTGATGTTGCCAAAGGACAATTGTATCTATCTACATACATTTTAGTTATTTTCCTTAATTCACTGCATCCAGGAGTGGGGGAGATATGCTACAAAACTGAATACATTTTGTTTATGAAAGAAAATATCTAAATGGTTAATCACATAGTCATGATTAATGCCCTTATTTATTAAATGGTAGAAATGGGGGAGAAGGCTGCATATTTATAAAAAAATCATCATTTTCAAATTTGTAGCATAAACAATTTTGCTAATACATCATCATTCCCTGACATCAAATGACATTTCTATTTAGATGATGTTGCAAATTTAATATAATTACAAAAAATAATGTTTCTGAGTTTCAGCTACCTAATATAAAAAGAAGAATTATGCATTAAAAAGTATGTAAATTCACTTTATAATGCTTTAAATTTATGTTTTGTATTGTTATTAAATAAAAACCTGATTTTGCATTTAAAAAGGATAAAAACCTGCAACATATCCCTTTTCCTTGATCTAACTGATTAAATATTAAATGGGGATGTTGCTTTCAGATATGATATCAATTATTCTGCCTTTCAAAATTCTAAGTTCTGCTTACAAGTCAAAAAGTTTCATCTTTCTTTCAGTCTGTGTTATAGAGCAACATATGCTGTATGATTATCTGAATCATTGATTAGGTAAAAACAAGAAATGACTACATACTTTTAAATAATGTATGGTTCACATATATTGCACACATTTTTTAGTGATTAAAAAAATTATGGAGCTCAGAATTGTATTTCTTAAATTTTTAATTAACCCTCTAAGTGGCAAGGCCATATATATATGGCTTTGCCACTTAGAGGCTGTGTATATATGGCCTAGAATATTTTTTGTGATATCTGTAAGAACGTATATATACATGCATATTAAAACATGTCAAAGAAATTAAAGTAATATATCAAAAGAAAACAAATCCAGGTATGAAATACCAGGAAAGTTTTTACATTAAAATCAAAAAATAATTTGTTCTCATAGTAGTTTTGGGGAATTTGTGCTTTCTTAGTGAAAACCCTGGCCACTCAGTAGGTTAAAATACAAAGTGTCTGCATGCATGAAATAAAGCAGCATTGTTTCTTAATTTAGGCTGAAATAAATGGAAGGCAGGAAGCTTTCAAAGGTCTAAAAGACTTTGGTCATCGATTACTTCAGCAAAACCATTCAGCAAAAGATCTAATTGAATCAAAACTGCAACGTTTAGAAGAATTAAGAAGAAATCTCACTCAGGTTTGGGAAGAAAGGAGGCATATGCTAACTCAGTGTCGAGATCTGCAAGTATGTTTATCTTTTTGAAAAACATGTTTTGACTTTGTTTTTATTGATTATATGTTAAAAGCCATAATCTAACTTTTCATCATTCGAGGTTAAATGTGCATGTATTGGGATATTTGATTAAATATGAGTAAGAAAATATTTTATTCAGATTGTCTCTTTTTAGTTGCTTTTCTGTGGAACAGAATTGAAATAATAGAGAATTTTATGCGGAATAGAGGAGGGATCGGTAACCTTTATAATTAGGAGGGCATATTTCAGAAGTGCAGGAGCTAAGCTGCCATTAAGAGATACCTACAATAATAATAATAATAATAAATATATTTATATCAGAATTAAGTTAATTTATGTTGATTGTAATAGTTATAATGTTTTAACCGTTTGATTTGTTATTGCAAAGATGTTTATGAAAAAATGTTGCTGTAGTATGTTGTTCATAAATGATGCTACTAAGCACAAAACTGCAAAATGTTTTACAACTGAAATAAGTTGTTGAAATAAAATTATTTTCGTACTACTAACCACTGCAAAAGCAATGCCGCATGTATCGTTTCATTATTCTTTAATTTGATGAGAAGAATGTGTACTTGTTCAGTTTCTGTTAAAAGTTTAATTGTACAATTCATACAAATGTTAAAAATGGCAAAAATAAAATGCAAATTTTTGCTATAAATATTCATTACAATTACAAGTGTTTGTCCAAATATGTAAAATTTAGAATTTAGATATTTGAACAGTAGGCACTTTAAAATTGCTTCAAAATCATCTTGGTGCCTACTGTGTTGCCAACATGTAGGCTGAATATTCAAAATCTTATCTGAGGAAAAAAATTTCATGTTTAATATTAAATTATGTGGGTAGATCTTTAATTGTCTTATATTTAATCTGATCCTTTCCATGCCCCTACATGCAAGATGGTTTATTTTTCAATCGACAGTTGTATTCTCTGAGCAGTTTTTTTTTTTTTTTTTCCTTATGAAGTTTTAAAAAGTCTTTTGCACAGAGCAATTAAATTGTATTTCTTTTATTTATAACTTGCAATTAACATTTTTTCTGATGTTCAGTATTTCAGTATTTGTTAATTAATAAAAGTACTGTTTTCTGTGTATATTCTGTGTCTATTCTCTCTGCTAATGAATATGCAGTTCTTCTTAAATGTATGAGTAGCAGATGACTCTGCTGAAAATGGTTAAAAATTTCTATGTATTTCATATCTTGATTCTGTATTATCATTAATCTAACCTTAAACATTCTAAAATTTTTATTTAATTCTAAATCACTTTGCAATGCTTATTTTATTATTATATTTTCTTTTTTTACTTTGGAGTACATTTAAATTATACGTCAAATATTTCATATTTTATGTTTCATTAATACTTCATATTCTATGTTAAGAGTAGACCATTAGTGGCCGAGAGATAAAATCAGCGAATACTGGTATTTTGATCTAGGTTTGATTCCAGGTGAATGTGCTGGCTGCTTGACCATTTTCATGTTTTTTCCATGTGTAATGTTGATACAAGCCAGTTTCTTAAAAAGATCCTTTACAAAGGCATTCTTCACATGCTTTGCTTTCATCAAATAAACTAAACTAAACCAAATCAGAATTATTTTTAAGTACTGTAATACCTCATAAAATTGTTATGGAGTTTTTTTTTTTTTTTTTTTTTTTATTTTTATTATAAACTATTGCTATCCTGCTATTGTGACTTTCGTTTATAAGTTTCTTTGTAAAGAAACAATTTAATTCAATTAACTATTTTTATCTTAGATTTTTAAAGAACAGATAGAAGCTGCTGAATCTTGGTTATCTGCAAAAGAAGCTTTCTTAAATAATGAAGATTTAGGTGTAAGTAAAACTTATTATATTTCTTGAGTGAGTTTTTTTCCATTATTTATATCTAAAATTGAAATTTATTTCAAATAAATAAATTAATTAATGCTTAATAGTCTGATAATGATTGGGTAAAACCATTTAAATGGCAGGGCAAAAACAAAAGGTATGCAGAGGTGAACCATTAAATTTTGTTTTTCCTTGTCCTTCTTGGATGAACTATGCATTTGCATAGCAGGTCAAAGACAAAAGTTGTGCAGAGATGAGCCATTTTTATTTTTTTTCCTCTGTAATTGAGTTGTATTTGTCGGTTTGAGGATAAAATATTATAGACTATTTACTATGAAAACAAAATATTTTATTACTTAAGGATATTCAAGTTGAGTTACAAAGTTTGTTTTACTCTGTAATACTTTTCATCTACTTAACTGTATTATAAATTAAATGTATTTATTATTCTGTTTTAATAATTTCTGTAGGACTCTATGTCAAGTGTTGAAGCTCTAGTCAAAAAACATGACAATTTTGAGAAGACGATGATTGCCCAGAGTAACAAAATAGATGAATTAGAAACTTTTGCTACAGAATTAATTGCTGCAAAACATTATGATAGTACAGCCATTCAAAGCAAGTGCCAAGATGTTTGTAACAGGCGAGATAAATTAAAAGAAACTGCTTTAATTCGAAGAAAGAAATTGCAGGAATCAAAGGAGCTACAAAAGTTTTTACGTAATATTTATGAGGTTAGTTTTGTTAAATAATTATTATAGTTGCTGTTATTAAAGATGTTATGGCCCATTTTCAAGTTTTGCATACATATGCTGTCCAGAATAATTTAAAAAAAGAAAAAAAGAAAGAAAATTCAAGATAAATTAATAAGATACAATTTTTAAGATAAGTCTGAGTCATGCATTGCATAAAGATGACTATATAAATATATTTCTACAATTTAAAATATAAAAAAAAATCAATTGAAATTTTTTAGAGAAAGATTTTTTAGATATAAATTTAGCAAATCAATAAAAATAATTTGGCTTCCACTTCATGTCAAGTCCGTTACCTTGACATTATTTCACCCACAATAAGTTCGTAAACCTGCCTAAAAGGGGGCAGTACATATTCAAAGTAATCAAGCTTAGCTTGACTAGTTTATCTATGTCACTTAATACATACTGCCCCTTTTAGGCAGATTTACAAACTAACTGTGGGTAAAATAATCTCAAAGTAACAGACTTGACTTGAAATGGAAGACAAATTATTTTTATCGATTTGCTAAAGAAAAAGAACTTCTTTAATTAATTTTTATCATGAATATAACACACTAATAATTCATATTTAAAACAAACTTCTTTATTAAAAAAATTAAGTTACAAAACAAAGACACTGAATAGCATAAAACTTGAAAGGGACAAGCATTTTTGCCTACGATCAAATTTTTTAAGATTTATGTCTGAAAAATTTCATTTTTATTTTGTATTTTAAATTGTAGGAATATATATATATATAGTCATGTTTATGCAATGCATTGCTAAAATTAAACTTTAAATATAATTTATCTTGAATTTTCTTTCTTTTCTTCTGAGACAGCATATGTAAACAAAATTTGAAAATGAGCCGTGTACGTTAATTTCTGTTATGTTATTTGATTAACACTTTTTTGAACCATTTTTTAGTTCAATTTAGACTTTTGAAATTATATTCCTGTCCAATAATTTTACTGTTCTTTAGGTTGTGGGATGGATAAATGAAAAAATACAAGTAGCATCAGATGAATCTTATCGAGATCCAACAAATCTCTTGAGTAAAATTCAGAAACAGGCTGCATTTGAAGCTGAATTAGCTGCAAATAAAGCCAGGGTAGATGCTGTTATGGCTGAAGGGGAAAAACTAATAGGAAGTGGGCACTTTGCTTCATATGAAATTCAGAATCTTTTACAAGAATTGGAAATGCATTGGAGACAACTGTTGGACCAGACTGCTTTAAAAAATAAACGCCTGCAAGATGCTTATCAGGTATCACATTAAATTAGTTGCTACATAGAGAAATTTTTAAAACATTATAACATAATTAATGAAATTAAATTTTGTTTTTTCTTAATTTGATGAATATGTTTTATTGAACATGTAATGTTAATCTTTCATACATATTTTAGATTCTATATAATCAGTATTTTTACTGTTATACATTGTTCTTTATGTGCTTTAATTGTTTATTCTGTTTCTGCTATATGCATGGGTTTAATCAGACTTCTTTGTACTTTAATTGCATATCAAATAGTACTTGAAATAAAAATTATATTTTTATTCAGACTTCTTGCTATGTTTTGATACTCTTAAATATCTGTATTATATGTAATCTGTCCTTTAAAGTTATTAATTATTCACTCCTCTGAATTTTATTCTACATTACAAATCCACTTTTTACTCTTAATTTATATTAAAAGTAAGCTTTTAATTTTCTCTGTTCTTTCTTGTTGTAAATGATAAATATTCTTTTAGTAGAAATATCACAAATGGGCAAAAAATATTAAAGCATGTACATAATTTTTATGAAATTATATGTTATTCTTTACGTATTATAACTTATATATATATAACATAATAACTTATATATGTAACATATTATACTAAGTATTTTTTAATCAATTTAAGTTGAATGTAAACTGAATTTTTAAAAAAAAATTTTGAATTGTTTCTAAATTAAATTTTAAATTTCAAACAGGCTTTGCAATTTAATCGCATGTTAGATGACTTAGACACATGGATAGATGAGATTGAAATACAATTGCAGTCAGAGGATCATGGAAAAGATCTAACAGCTGTTCAAAACCTGTTGAAAAAACATCAAGTATGGGCACTGAATGCCTTACTTATATTTCATTATAGTAACAAAGGATTTATACATAATATGCAGTGAATTTATGCATATTGTATGCTTCATGGTTGTAAGAAGTATTAAAATGTATTTCTTTTCCAGCATCTTGAAACAGATATTAATAACCATGCTGAAAATATTGAGCAAGTAAAAGACCTAAATACCAGTTTTCAAAACAGTAATCATTTTTTGAAAGAAGAAATTGAAGAAAAAGCTGTTGCTGTTGTGAACCGGTAAGAAAATCATTTTATTGGAATTATGTATGCCACTTTTAATACCATCTTGAATTTTCTTGAAGGAAACTCGGAATATTTATTAAATATATAAGTTTTAAGTATATAGTTTTGACATTGGTATCAAAGTGGACAAAGGAATTGAAGTGCAGATAAACAAAAGAATTAAATTCATATTTGTCTATATAAAAGTAAATTATTTATATCCGAAAAAGAATAAGTTGTTTCTGCTTTCTGTGATCTTTAAATTGTAAAGGAAATAGAGATACCTATTAGCAATATGACATTCTCTGTTAAGATCTTAAAATAAATTTCTACCCTAAAAGTAGTTCTACAAATTAAATCCCTGCATAAAACTTCCGTAAAAATTTAAATCTCAGAATGAGAGCCATTTTTAAATGGAGGTCCTAAATACAGTGAGATAAAAAAATAAAAATCCACTTCATATCTGCATGAAATTAGCGTACTAACTTTATATATATATACGAGGGTTGGAGCTTTAATAGTGGCAACACAGCTGAAAAAACGCTACGCAACAAAACCAAAGAATATCATGTATACCACACGTAAACTACATACTTACCTTACCTCTCAGCAAAAAGACTCGTCCTGCCTACGTCACGTGCATGCGGAATGACGCGAAGAATGGATCCTTGTATAAGCTGCCTGTCTAAAGTAAGTGCTGTCAGGATGTTTTCAAAATAAGAACAGCGATGTTGGATAAAAATTGAATCTGCCAGAGGTCGTACAGCACGACGTGTCATCAAGGGCTTCAAGAGGCTTGCGGGGAATCTGCATTGCCTTACAGAACCGTATCAAGATGGGTGAAAGCATTCAACGAAGAACGCCGAAACATGGCAGACATGCTGCGGCCAGGTCGTCCGAGTGTCAGTGATGCAGACGTGCAAGATGTTGCCACACTAATGTACAGTGATCGCCACCAAACGATTCGTCAGCTGGCCAGACAAACAGGATTAGCGCATACGACTGTGCTGCACATTCTGAAGAAATGCCTGTCCATGAGAAAAATTGCTTCACGATGGGTTCCATATCAATTGACGGAAATGCAGAAATGGCTACGATACGATGCTGCCTGAACCCACCTGGAGCGCTATGAGCACGAAGGAGATGCTTTTTTACGCCGTATCATTACGCTGGATGAGACTTGGGCCCGATCGTACCAGCCAGAACTGAAATGCCATTCAAACGAACGGCGTCATCACGGGTCACCACGACATTCGAAATTTCATCAGAACCCCAGCAATGTGAAAGTTATGGTGATTCTCGTGTATGACTGCGATTGTGTCATCCTAACGTATACCGTTCCCCCACAGCAGACCGTCACTGCGCAGTATTACTGCTCATTTTTGGAGCACAATCTCCGACCAGCTTTGAGAAAAAAACAGCAACACTTTCTGCGGAATGCTCCTCTCACTTTGCATGACAATGCTCGGCCACATGCAGCGCAAGCTGTGACTGATTTGTTTCAAGCGATGTGGAGCTGGGAAGTGCTTTACCATCCACCATACTCCCCTGATCTAAGCCCTTGTAACTATGACTTAATTCCTAAGATGAAGGAACCACTTCGTGGCACTCGCTTCCAAACTGTTCCCGAGATTCTTGTGGCAGTAGACCGGTACATTCAAACTATCAACAAAACAGGCGCTGCTACAGGTATTCTGCGATTTCCACATCGTTGGAAACGGGTTGTACACAATGCTGGTGACTATATTGAAGGACTGTGAAACATGGTGACATGAATCACTTTTGTATTCCTTGTAAATAAATAGTTGCCACTATTAAAGTTCCAACCCTCGTATATACAGTGAACTTGATATACATCATTAATCTGTTCCAGATCCTTGGACGTGTGCCAAACAAACTTTTCGACTAAGATATGAAATATAAATACAGTCAAAAGTCGTTAATCCGGACTCGTCGGGACTTCGGCGATTCCGGATTATAGATCATAAGTTTAAATCTCGTAATATGGCATGCAGAAATTTTAAAATTAAAAATATGAAACCGTAATTTATGAAATAAAGAACAATTATGATCTAAAGGGTATCAAAATTTACAACAAAAAAAAACTTATTATTTATTTGTTTAATTTATTTAAACATTTCTTTCAATGTAAGTTGTTTAAGTTGCTTCGTTTTATGTGATCATACTTTCTCTTTAATTCTATACACAGACATAATTTCTTGTTCAGTTACAAAGTTCCGCTGTTCAAGTCCCGTTAATTGCTGTGCCGAGAATACCGCCAAACTTGTCAATCGAAATTTTTTCATTTTCACTAACCTCTCTGTCACATTCTTCATGTCTTTATCCATTTTTTGCAGCAATTCCACTTTTTGTTTGTTGGACATCGAAACATACTTTCGTTTTGTAGATCCTTTGGAAGTTCCAGCATCGGAAATTCTATTTGACATAATCAAAAGTTCAAGTTTACTTTTATAAAATTGCTCTTACAGTCTGCAAAAAATAATAAGCGGGATCCAATTCGAACATTAAGGAACAACGCAATCATTAACATTAACTGAAATAGATAATTAGATAATTTTAGCTTACACCGTTCGTTATACATTAAATGGGCAGGCGAAAACATATTCTGCACTTGCGCACATGCATATGTGCAGTAGCCAAGGTCTTACGCGCACGCATAAAACGCCTGTGCGCATGTGCCAACGCGGCGCATGCGCAGAAAGTTTTTAGCCTTGAGGTCCGGATTATGGGTGTCCGAATTAATGACTTTTGACTGTAGTTAATCATTTGTTATGAAATTCCTATGTTATTGTTATACCACTGTACTAAAATACAAGTGCAGTGGGTAAAATATATAGTGCACGTAAATGAAGCACTCAACATGATACTGTATATAAATGTTTGTTTGCTATCCAGATCAAAAGTAAATTTTCAATATGTTCTATCATCTCTGATCTTTGTTTGGCAAACAACATTAGCGATTTTTTTCAGTCATAGACACTGTCATGCTCAGCACATGGTATGCATTAGCCAGGTACGAGATAAGCATGCCATTTTCATACTTTTCAGCAAACCTTTTTCTTCCCAGCATGGCGATGATTATAATTTTCTTTGTTACTTTACTATTGTTCTCAATAACTTTCCAAAAATTCATAGTTAATGAATTTACAAAACATTTTATCAGGTTAAAAAAAAATCACTTGAAATTCTAACTTATAGCGTAAGTTGTTTACTGAATAGTAGTAACTGTTGGCTTTAGTTTTCCACATGCAAATTTTGATTGGAGGACAATTGGCGGTAAACTAACGTGGCTGCCGCCGATTGGCCGATGACATCAAGATCGGCGGGTTGGCCGAGTATAATATATATGTACGCCGGTATCTGCGAAGGTTCTTGTTTCTTGTTCTCTTGTGTGATTATCAGTTAGCATTATGCTAGTTTGCTTTCAATCAAATGATTTTAAATGTAAAGGCTACAGTGTTAGCTCTTTTATTTTATTTACGGAATAAAGCATGAATTTTATTTAGTCTTAGCTTTATTTAAGGGAAGCAAAATATGCTTTGCCTTTATCACCACTGACAACTGGGTTATGGGCCCAGCGCCAACAGCTAATCAGTCATCCAGTTCAACTTAGCATTGAAGGAATGTAGGTGAAGAGGGCCGTTATCCACGAAAAGAAGCTGACCTGTCCTAGAAGTTTGTTCAAGTCGTTGTGCTCACACTTAATTGAAGATGTCATTACTACCTGAAGGTTTTGAGTTGTTAAACCATGACAACTGGGATCGATGGAAAGTCGACATGAAAATGCTGTTACTGGATAGAAATTGTTGGAGCTTCATAGAGGACAAAGAAGAAGAATTAGATAAAAGTGCAACAAGGCGTGAAAAGCAGGAGTTCACACTGAGAGAGAGAACAGAGCCTTCACTACATTATATTACGGAATTAAAACTTGAGTTCAGGCCGCTGATACAAGAATGTTCAAGTGGTAAGGAAGCATGGGAAGTTCTACAGAAGCAATTGGAACGCAAAAACAAGAGCAAGGATAATTCAGTTACTGGATGAATTCTTTAGTATTAGATATACGCCAAATGAAGAAATAGGATTATTCATCGCAAGGATAAGAATGACTGCAAAGAAGTTGGCTGAAGCTGGTCACAACTTGGCAGATCTTTTTAAAGGATTTCAGGCAATAAGGAGATTACCCCAGGAATACTCCGGCATTGTACAGTTGATCTATAGGTGGAAGGACGAAGATTTTACGCTGGAAAGAATTGCTGAAGAACTGGTAAGGGAAGAAAGCCGACTTCGCCAGGTAAATGCCGATTTAGAAGACAGCAAGGTAAGCGTGTTTAATACTATTAGTTCAAATGCAGGGAAAGATAAAGTTGAAAATAAAACTAAATCTAAGAAAAAAATGGGGAATATGAGAATAGGACCTTGTTTCAGATGTCATAAATTTGGGCACTTAATTGCTCAATGTAAAGAAAATGTAAGTAAAAATCAGAAGTTTAAAATAGACGATAAAAATGGACAGTTTAAAGATAAAGAATTAATGTTAGTAGAAAATTATGTAACAACTACAGATAAAGGAGGTAACGCAGATAAATTTAATTGGGTCGTAGATACTGCAGCTACAACTCATTTCTGTAATAATAGAAATTTAATGACAAATTTCGAAGAAAAGAAATAAACGATATACGTATGTCTTTAGCTGTAGGAAATTGTGAAAGTAAAGTACTAGGAAAGGGTACTGTCAAATTTGCAGTAAAAGTAGGCAATCGAATAAATTGGATTGAGTTAGATAATGTGTTATATAATCCAAATCTAAGAAGAAATTTATTATCGGGAGCAAGGTTAGAAAAGGCTGGTGCTCATTTTGTGATTTCAAAAGGGAAGATGTGGATATACTTTAATAATTGGGATAGATTATGCTACGCTAAACGATATGACGGACTTTATCACGTAAAACCATTTAGATATGCAACAGGTAAAAGGGAAGCTGGTTACGGTACAGAAATTGGAAAGTTAAATAAAGTAGACGATGCAATGCTATGGCATCGGAGATTTAGCCACGTAAATTTTGATTATATTAAGAAAACTAGTAAGAATCAAAGCATGAAAGGGTTACCAGAAATTGAAAAACCAATGGAGAGGTGTGAACCGTGTATTATTGCTAAATCTAGTAGAATAACTTTTAAAACTGTTCCGAAGAGATCGGATAAACCATTGCAGTTGGTTTATTTAGACGTTTGTGGCCCACTACCAGTTCCATCTAAGGGTGGGAGTAAAAATATTTCCTTGCTATTGTAGGATGACTATAGTAGATTAGTAACAGTGTATTGTATGAAAAAATAAAAATGAATCGTTCTACAACTTTAAGAATTATCATAGGCAAATGGAAAGACTGACGAATAGAAAATTAATAAGTATACGCACCGATAATGGTGGGGAATTCTGTAACAGGCAATTCGAAGGGTACTTAGCCGAAAATGGAATTAGTGTTGAACGCACAAACGCGTACACCCCAGAAGAGAACGGTGTGTGTGTGTGAACGTTTTAACCGAACGGCATTAGACGCAGTTAAAGCTATGCTTAATGATGGTAAAATGGGAAAAGAAAAGAATGGTGGGCAGAAGCTCTTGGCTGTTTCGTACATACATGGAACAGAGTATGTCATAAAAGCAACCGAACCCCTTATGAAATGTTCCTAAAGAGAAAACCCAGTGTTGTTTATTTTAAAATATTTGGTTGTAAAGCCTATGTTGGCGTGCCAAAACAGATTAGAAATAAATTACAAATGAGGTGCAAAGAAGGAATCATGGTAGGATATGCGAAGGAAACTAGGGGTTATAGGATATGGCTGCCAGAAGAACGCAGATTAATAGAAACCTGTAATGTGAAGTTCAATGAAAAACTGTATGCAGCAAATGGCATCCTGGAACAGAAATCAAAAACCTAAATTTAAAAGACTAGAGGAATCTGAGCTATTAGCAGAATCAGATGAAGAACAGGAAATTTCTAGAGAAGAAATAAAGTTGTCAGATGACAAATCTACTCCGAAAGAAGTATCAGACTTAAACTGGCAAAGAAAAGCAGTTAAAAGGCCAGATGGAACACGTACAGACATATATTATTATGTAGAGGGAACAGACACCCGTTTTAGATCCTATAATGATATTGAAAAGTATTGTGAGGCAAGAAATATTAAATTTGAAAAAGATAAGTTTGATTTTAGTGGAAAAAAACGAATACTCGGGGAAAGTTAATTTTGTAGAACAGGAGACTAGCTCCGTGTCTGAAGAGGCAAATTCCGTAGAAATTGTTATCCCACAAAATTTTAAAGAAGCACGAAAATCAGTAAATGCCGAAGAATGGGATAAGGCAATGAAAGAAGAAATTGACACAATGAAGAAAAGAAAGGTTTGGGAATTAGTCGAAAAGCCAGAAAATAAAACTATAATAGGAAGGAAACAAATGGGTCTATACGCTAAAAAGAAATGAAAAGAATCAAGTGGTTAGATACAAAGCACGCTTAGTAGCACAGGGATTCAGGCAGAAAAGGGGTGAAGATTTTGATGACGTTTACAGTCCTGTAGTAAATTTTTCAATCATAAGAATATTTTTCACTATACTGGTATGTTTATATGGATGGACTAATTGTCAGTTAGATGTAAAGAACGCATATTTATATGCAAACCTAAATGAGAAAATATATATGACCCAACCAGAGGGATTTATCGAAGAGAAAAATAAAGTGTGTTTATTACACAAGGCCATTTACGGTCTACATCAAAGCGGCCGTGAATGGTTTTGTGAATTTGAAAGTACTTTAGAAAATCTACATTTTAAGAAAATACAATGGTGTAATTGTGTTTATAAGGGTTCAAATGTAATTCTCTTGTTATATGTAGATGATATTGTGATTTTTAGTAAAGATCAATATAGTATAGATAAAGTAATTTCACAGCTGAGTAAGTTTTTTGATCTTAAAGTATTAGGCAAAACTAAAACGTTACTTGGAATTGAATTCTTAGAGAATGAGAATGGGGTTTTTATACATCAGCAAAAATATATCGAAGAAATTTTTGAAAAATTTAAACATTTCCAGATACCAATAACTTCACTTCCCATAGCTAAGGGCACTATTCTTACAAAATTAGATTGTCCATCTACAAGTGCAGAAATTGCGGAAATGCATACATTACCCTTTAGAAATCTGTTAGGATGTTTAGTTTTTTGTAGCTAACAGGACAAGGCCTGATATTACATATGCAGTGAATATCTTATCACAATTTCAGGAGAATCCTGGAATTAGGCATTGGGAAGCATTGTTGAAATTGCTTGGTTATCTCAATAGTACTAAATTATATAAGTTAAACTTATCGAAGATTAAACATCTAAATTTATATTGTTATTCAGATGCTGATTATGCAAGTAATAGAGATGACCGCGTGTCCATGGGAGGATTTATATTATATTTAGATGAAGTACCGGTAATCTGGAAAACTGTTAAACAAAAAAATGTGTAAGTTTATCAACCATGGAAGCGGAGTATATCGCCTTATCTGAAGCAGCGAAGGAATTAATGTGGACGAAAAATGTCTTACAAGATGAAATTTTAAAGTTTAATTTAAGAGAGTGTAAACTATTTTGTGATAACAAGTCTGCCATTGATTTTTCTAGATCGCCAATAGAAAATCGCCGAACTAAGCACATAGACGTAAAATATCACTTTGTTAGAAGACTAGTAAATGATGGAGTGTTTGACCTTGAATTTATCACCAGTAAATTAAATACTGCCGACTTATTTACAAAAGCAGCGACTGCTGTTAATTTAAGAAAGTTTTGTTTAGATGTTTTCAGTGTTTAAAGACAATAAATGTTTTCGTACAATGGAATTGAACTATGAACTTCTGTGCAAGTTTTGTTTTTATCTTTGCATGAGGAAAAGAGGGCCGTTTGTTGGCTTTAGTTTTCCGCATGCAAATTTTGATCGGAGGACAATCGGCGGTAAGCTAACGTGGTTGCCGCCGATTGGCCGATGACGTCAAGATCGGCGGGTTGGCCGAGTATAATATATATGTACGCCGGTATCGGCGAAAGTTCTTGTTTCTTGTTCTCTTGTGTGATTATCAGTTAGCATTATGCTAGTTTGCTTTCAATCAAATGATTTTAAATATAAAGGCTACAGTGTTAGCTCTTTTATTTTATTTACGGAATAAACGGATTTTATTTACGGATTTATTTAGTTTAGTCTTAGCTTTATTTAAGGGAAGCAAAATATGCTTTGCCTTTATCACCACTGCCAACAGTAACAAGCATACTAATTAATCAAACTCAGGTTGTATTGTACAGTCAAAAGTCGTTAATCCGGACTCGTCGGGACTTCGACGATTCCGGATTATCGATTTTTCCGGATTATAGATCATCAGTTTAAATCTCATAAGATGACATGCAGAAATTCTAAAATTAAAAATATGAAACCGTAATTTATGAAATAAAGAACAATTATGATCTAAAGGGTATCAAAATTTACAAAAAATAAAAGCTTAATATTTATTTGTTTACTTTATTAAACATTTCTTTCAATGTAAGTTGTTTAAGTTGCTTCGTTTTATGTGATCATACTTTCTCTTTAATTCTATAAACAGACATAATTTCTTGTTCAGTTACAAAGTTCTGCTGTTCAAGTCCCGTAATTGCTGTGCTGAAAATGCCGACTAACTTGTCAATCGAAATTATTTTGTTTTCACTAACCTCTCTGTCACCTTCTTCATGTCTTTATCCATTTTTTGCAGCAATTCCACTTTTTGTTTGATGGACATCGAAACATACTTTCGTTTTGTAGATCCTTTGGAAGCTCCAGCATCAGAAATTCTATTTGACATAATCGAAAGTTCAAGTTTACTTTTATAAAATTGCTCTTACAGTCTGCAAAAAATAATAATACGGATCCAATTCGAAGATTTAAGGAACAATGCAATCATCAACATTAACTGAAATAGATAATTATATAATTTTAGGTTATACCGTCCGTTATACATAAAACGCGCACGCGAAAACATATTCTGTGCTTGCGCACACGCATATGCGCAGTCGTAAAGGTCTTACGTGCACGTGTAAACGCCTATGCGCGTGTGTCAACACGGCGCATGTGCAGAAAGTTTTTAGCTTTGAGTCTGGATTATGGGTGTCCGAATTAACGACTTTTGACTGTATACTGTGGTCTCACAATATTAATAATTATTTTTTCAACACTTGTTTTCCATTTTACATATGCATGATGCTAATTCATTCGTATGTAAAGCGGAAATTTTGCATTTACAATTACAATTTGTTTTACTGAAAAGTTTCCATTTCCTATTCCCCATTCCCAATAATTTCATTGAAATTTAGTTTTTATGTAAATATTTAGTTTTCAATACTTATTTCTTACTGCATAATATTTAATAAAGGTTTAAAATTTTTCTGAATGTAAATTATAATGGATTTTAGAATGGTTTATTTAAGTTTAACACATCTGTATTAAAATAAAAACAACCTCTCTATATATGACTGGAAGTAAATTGTCAAAAACTAACTATTGTTCATTTGACCAGTTATCCAAATAATTTTTAAATATTATTAATTAAAAGTACTTTTGCCTGACAGAAAATAAATGCATTAATCTGTAATTTTAAAATACATTCAACTATTTTTGTATTTTTAGATATCAGTCACTCCATGATCCTGTTCAGATTCGACGGGAAAATTTGGAAGATTCTCTTCTTCTTCATCAGTTTAACAGGGATGTAGAAGATGAGTTGTCATGGATTAGTGAAAAAGAGCCATTAGCAGCTTCAACTGATCTAGGGAATAATTTAGTAACAGTACAAAATCTCCAAAAGAAACACCAGGTAAATTTTGAAATTGATTTTGCAGTGCAGTTTCTATTTTTATTTAAAAAAAAATTTTTTTTTTAATGTACAAAGTCTGAATTGATATTGTCTATTCATTATCAATTTAGACTTGAATCTTTTGATTCCTTTCTGTCTAAAATTTATTTTGCCAAAACAGAAAAGAAATACAGATGTGTATTTGAAATCAGTGTAGATAATTTTAATGATTAATTTGAGAAAGAATCTTACATTTTCCACTGTTTGTTACATATGAAAACCTTCATTATCCCATTTCTTTAAATTTGTGAAGAGCTAAGAAAAGCTGTTATAAATATATATAAAAAAAGTATTCAGTTTTGCTTAAAGTTATAAACGTTAATACATCTTTTAATCATATATTACTATTAGAGATATATGCATTTTTTGAATTTGAATAAATAAAATGTGCATTCCCCATTTTATTTTAATACAGCAAGGGACATTGTCTAAAAGATTGATAAAAAAGGCAGTTTTGGTTGTTGTTTTTGTTAAGAGTGTGTGTGTATATACGTATATATAAACATGAATGAATTTTTAGAATGTAGGAAAGCCTCTGCTATTGTAATATTAGCAATCTTGGATTCATTTTATAATACAGTGATAATAAAATTAAGTTCTAGTACATCAACTAAAAAGGTTTTCACAATTCTGAATCATATATTACCTGATTATGATATTTATTAATTCTGAATGGTAATTGTACAAAATGTATGATTATTTATAAATAATGATGATGTATATAAAGGAATGGAGTGTACAAAGACTGATGGCACACACTATTTTTTAAAGTAAATGCAGTGAATATTTCCAGGAAAATTTTGCTACAGCATCTACAAGTTTCAGCATGATGCAGGATATGAAACGCACATATATACAGTTTAAATAATGATATCATTTGAAAGCATGAAAAGAATAGAAGAGTGTTATTCCATTAAGTTAATGTATAATATTTTCTCAAGTATATGGAAAAAAGCTCTCCTCCTTTCTGTTTTCTGTGGAAGAATAACAATTAAAAGAAGATATAAATGTCTTTGATATGTTGTCCTTGATGTTTTTCCTGAATTTTTGAATTAAACAGAAGTTTAATCATAGATCTAAGCATAGAAGGTTGATCTTTAAAGCTGAAATTCAATATGCTGCAACATTAGTGAATTTGAAGTAGTTAGAAAGTACTGTGATTCAAAGTAATGTGTAGATTTATGCATCATGTATAGTGCAGTAGTGTGTGATAGGCAATATTCTGCAAGTTATCTGCTTTACTTCATACTCCCTCAACAAAGTAGCTAGTCCACTTGAGGATGGTGCTTGTCAGCCTGTTTGAGCCTTGCCAGTGGTTCTAGTTTCATTTCACATCTAGAGATATGACTGTGGGAGCTATCTTTGTTGGAAGGGGCAGTGAAAGGGACACTTTTAAAAATTTATTATGGACAAACTGTGAGCAGTAGGACCTGAGAAAAGTATATGATTTCAAAAGTAAGGGTGTAAATGTTATTTACATGTAATTCATTTTGCAAACACTCTGTTTGGCAGCCATGTGTGACTATAAATGTAAGTGTGATGATCAAACTCTTGCCAAACGTGGACCAGCATGTCCTTCGAGATTGTGGCCATTACTTCTGCAATTCTCAATTTGAGTTCTAGAATATCGCGTGGAAGAGGAATGTTGTATACAAGGTCCTTCGCATAACCCCACAGAACAAAGTTACAAGGGCTGACTGATATCAAGGGATCTAGGAGACCATTTTAGCACACATTGATCTATTACCCCAACATGACCAGTCCAACGATTGGGCTCTGTATTTAGATATGCTCTAACAAAATAGCAAAAATGTGGATAGCCCCATCTAACTGAAAGACAAAGTTATCAGAATCATTCTTCAACTACTGCATTAACCACTTTGGCAGCACTGCAAGGAAGGATTATCCAGTTACAGTAGATTCTTCAAAAAAGAAAGGCTCGTAAAATTTCCAATGAGACATAGCACAAAAGACATTGACATTGGGAGCTCGTGTTCTGCTGTTTCATGTGAGTTTTGTGTTCCCCAAATTTTGCAGTTGTGTCTGTTCATTTTTCCATTTGTGTGAAATTTTGCCTCAACATAAAGAATTAACGTATTAACAAAATCATAATCTTTCAACTGCATTGCAGAGCAAAAGTCGAATCGCTTGTCTTTGTCTTGGGGGTATAACTTTTCAACTAACCGCAGTCTATACAGTCTCGTATGTAATTTTTTACATATGACATTACATACAGTCATTGTTGGCATTTTCAGCTTACCTACAGCAATGCATATATATTTTCTAGTACTCCTTGTGAACACTTCTCTCACTTATTCAGTGTTCTTTACACTAATACTTGGCCAACCTCTTTTCTGCTTCACACACAAACATCCAGTTTCAGTGAACTTTCCATGCCTTCCTGGTTTCCTGTACTTCATCCTAAATTTTTGTTGGACACTTGTTTCACTCTTTATTTTGTCAAATTCTAGCACGCAAAAGGCCTTCTCGGCTCCAGAAAGTGCCATCTTGCTTCTGACACCACATAATGACAATAAATGGAACTATTCAATATACCTGCAATAATAAAAAAATATACTTCCTTACTCTTTGACATTATGTGCTTTCTTACTTTTCTACTTCTGATAGTTTGTCTACAACAAATTTTTAAAAGTGTTTCCATACTTAATGTGCACCCTGTACAAAAAAATCAGACATGCGGTTAAAAGCATTCTATTTTGATTGTTGAGCTGCTAAGTTGAATGAGAGTAGAAGGGATGCATGCATTGCTGTTCATTCGGCTTGAAATGGAGTTGTCATTTTCAGAGTTCTCGAATTTCACAACAGTTTGAAGTAGATATATATATATAAAAAGTCCCAATGCTGCTATAAGCATGCTGATGTACATCATTTGAAATAGATGTGTGTGGCAATTAACTGCTACCCATATAGAAACACAATAATACTGTACAGTATTGATGCTATTTCTCTTTTGTTATCTAAGACAGGTTTAGGGTCTGACTACCATTTATTATGATTGCTACTAACATTACACCAAATCATAGTCGTTAATGCTTGCAATGTTCTCATGCTAGATTTACTTGAAGTTGATTAATGACACAGTATGACACAGTAATGTTCTTCATGCTTTTGTCTTATTAATAATTATTGCTATGTGAAAATGTGGAGGCAGTCTAGCATTTGGTTTATCTTTCTACCACTACTCTATATCAAATCAGAGTTGTGGTTTTGCTTCACGTTAGCATCAGCTTGTGATGAGCCGTAATAACTATAATGGATGCAATGACAATATGGTGTTATTATTATAAAGTGCTGCATCCCATTGCACTATCATTTTCAGCCATAGAAAATGCTGTTATCCTGCATAATAATGCATATTCACGTACAACTAATATAATCAGTATATTAGTTGTACTTTTTTAAAGTATCCAAATGATTCCTTGGACATCACAGTGCCAAGATCTTGTCAGGTGAGAATCTGTGAGACATGATTGTCATTAAATGGGTATTCTCCTATAGCTTTACAAGGAAGCTGAATTAGAAACTTCGGCTGGTAATGTATTATATGTCTATGATGAACTTAATTAGACTAGTCTTTGAAATAACCATATTGTCATATGTCATATGTATATATATATGTATATACAAAATTTCAAGACAGATTTTGAGGATTTAATAATTTATCACATTGAGTTTATTATGTCATTCAAAATAATGCCATATTACTTACTTAACTTGTTTTTTTTTTTTTTTTTTTTTTTTTTTTTTGTGTGTTTGGTGTGTGTGTATTATTTATTGCCATTGAACACATGTAAATATTTGAATTTAAATGATTTTTCAGAACATTCATCTTTTTCCATCTTTTATCAATCTGAAACATTACTTTCAATGATTTTTCACTTTTTTCTGCTGAACCACGTATGCTCTTTTGTTCATTGTATTTTTATGTGGTATACTTGCATATATGATGATTACAGTTTTGAAAATGGGTCACTAAAAAATTTCCTCTTTTGCAGTTATTGTTTTCAAAACATTTTGGAACTCAAAAATAATGTATGAAAAATTGTATGATTAATTATTATAAAATAATAATGAAAGTACTATACAACTAAGTTGTGACTGCCCTTTTTTTTAAATTTTGGATTCCTTATCATTATTCATAAAAACTACTTGGTTATATCAAGATATGTATAAATACAAAAATAGTATGCAAATGACTTTCTTTTACTTTGATAGTAATATTATATTAGTTCATATGAAGGAATGTGTCATTTATGATTGAAAATGAGAAAAAGCTTATTTATAGCTTTTTGAAATTATGAATTGCAGTAATTTTCCTACTGCTTTTTTCACCTTTAGTATTTATTATATAATCCAAATTATTTTATTATATCACATTTCATATAAACTTATTTTACAATATAGTAACATATTTAATTTTATATTCTTTATGCATTGATATTTAGGCATTAGAAGCAGAAATTCATGCCCATGAGCCACTTATAGCTTCAGTCATAAGCAAAGGAAAACAAATGATACGAATTGGTCATTTTGCAGCTGCTGATGTGGAAGCTAAACTGAATCAATTGCAGTCATCATTACAACAGCTGAAAGATCTTTCAAGCATTCGCAAATTGCGCTTACTTGATGCTGTTGAATCTCAAACTGTAAGTAACATATCTTTATTATTATATCACAAATTAATCTGTTTTTGCAGCAAAAATAAAATTATAAATCATTATACTGAATATTTAAAATCTGTCATTGATTTATAAATAAATCCACTATAACAGGATTGTCTGTACTTTATATTTGTAATATGCAAATTATTAAACCATGTTTACTGTTTGGGTTATTTTCTAAAATTTTCCTTCACTGATAGTGCTACAAATTAGAAGAAATGAATTAATGCCAAATTAGTAGAATTTGTTATTCAAATAATTTGTCATTTATTTATTTATTTATTTATATTTGTTATGATCGATTCCCCTCCTATCTTTCAAAATGGTTAACTTTTGTCATATTTCCTTTCAATAAAGTTTGTAGGAGGTGTGATATATATCATAATGAACTAATCAATAAAAAGGTGTAATAACTTTATTGTTACCTTGAACAGTTAATTACTGAGTGTCACATTTTAATTGTTCTAAGATTTTTCATTTATGTTTAGTTTCTAAAGTCCTGTGTTTTAATTTATGGGAAATTTGTAACAATGTGCTTATTGCAAGAATACTACATTAAAATATTTTATCTTATAGTTCTATTCTGAATGTTTTATCTTATAGTTCTATTCTGAATATTTTATCTTATAGTTCTATTCTGAATATTTTATCTTATAGTTCTATTCTGAGGCTGCTGAAGCTGAATCTTGGATTCAAGAACGCAAGCCACCTCTAATAAGCCCAGACCTTGGAAAAGATGAAGATTCTGTTCAGGTTGTAGACTTAGCATAAATTTAGTAAAAGGCATAATAGTTTTGAACTCACTTCCTTTTTCTTTTAGGATTACAAAAATATTTATATTGTTCAAGAGAATACTATAATTTTTAGAACATATTAAATAAAATAAAATCATAAATATTTATTGCCTATGATTACCATGCTGAGTTTATTTATTTGTTTACTTATATACCTCTAACCCCCCCCCAAAAATGAGTGTAAATTTACAGTTTCATTATTATTCAAATAATTCTTATAAAAAATTTTATTGCATGTATGTAAATAAAACATTTTTCCTGAGCTAAGTCTTATGTAATGTAATGTTGAAATTAACAAATAAGTACAAAATTTTTCTGCTTCTACCTGGTTATGAAAATTTACTTTATTTCAAATGTAGATGTAGCAAAAATGTGAAATAAAAATCATTACAAAATACTACGTTAACTAAATAATGCAATTTTTATAGAATGCATTTGTTAGTTCAAATGTGTTATTTTTTTAATATGAAATTATAATGTAGTATATATGAATGGTAATTTACTATTTATAATTTATAATATGAATCATAAGTAATTGCTTGTTTGGTACCATTTGTGTTAAATATTAAGGTTTTATTTAATTTCTGTTAGAATTATCTTTTCTCGATTAATTTTTAACTTCCTAATAATAATTAAAATTGGTAAATAATCTTTAAAAGAGTTTTAAATATGTTAGAGTTTGCTATTGTTTAATCCTAGTTTTAATATTTTGAAAAATAAAATTAATATTATATCAATTTTCTTACTCTGTATAGCTCTTAATTCTTCGGTTTTTCATCACATCTCCTGGCAGATCACCAAGTCTCCCGTCTTAATCTTTACCAATAAAAGAGATTTTCAGCAATAAGGCAAATTTATTGAATTAAAGCTAAATTGTTCAAATTTAATTGAGCTTGAAATATGAAAAGAACCTTCCCTCTTTTCATATTTCAAGCTGGACAGCTATACCATTAAAATTATTTTGAGCAGCTTATAGAATTTGAACCTTTAAAGAGCAAAGTTAAATGTAATCATTTTGGTTCAAAGCTGATTCTGGATTACAATATTAAAACCTAAGCATTTCATTTCCACACAAAAGAAAGAGCAAGGAAAATTTTTAAAGTTGTATATTAATAATAATGTCTATTTCTATTTTCAGTCTTTAATGAAGAAACTTGATGGGCTTGAGAGAGATATTCATAATTTTAATAACAACATTATAAAGCTAGCAAAATTGAGCCAGGGACTCATAGAAAGAGGACATTTTGACAGTGAAAATATACAGAAAAAACAGGTAAAATATTTGATTTTTTTATTATTATTATTATTACTTAGTATTTTTATTTTATAGAATTTTTTCCTCCCAAAAAATTTTCAGTTTTCTCTCTTAAAAGCATAGAAATGCTATTTCAATTATAATGTTTAACATAGTTATCTAACATATGGCATTCATTTTATAAATTCCTTAGTAATTAATTATTAACATTTTTTCTCTTTAGTATTTAAATTGTGTGCTTGAGGCAAATTATAATGCCACAAAATGTTTTTGTCTCCATTGTAGAAAGAGGTTGAATCAAGCTATCTTGAGCTGAAAAATCTAGCTGAAGAGAGAGGTTATCGACTACAAGAGAGTAAAAGATTCTTTAATTTCATGAGAGACGCAGATGAAGTTGCTGCATGGATACAAGATCAAATGATTATAGCAAGTTCTGAAGATTATGGCAAAGATGTAGAGCATGTAGAAGTGAGTGTTATATTTTTTTTCATTTATACCTTTGCTTTTAAATAAAAGTAGGCAAAATTTGATTTGTTATTGATTGTCATATAATTCATAAAAATGTTCAATTATAAAAATGTATAATGTGTATGTTGTTTTAGATACTTATTCAAAAGTTTGAAGGATTTCTGAATACTCTTCATTCAAATGAAGACAGAGTGGCTAATTTAGAAAATTCTGCTACAACACTTCTGAAGGAAAACCATCCAGAATCACAAAAGATAATGGCCAGAAATGCTGAAATTGCTCATATGTGGGAAGAGCTTAAAGAATGTGCTCAGTCAAGACAAGAAGTTAGTTACTTAGCTTATTTGCTAATTATGTATTTGGAAAAGATTGATGTTGAGAATGTTTAAAACGCTAAATTACATTTTCATAAATTTCTAGTTAATTATAATTAAACTATAAACTTTTTGTCATTTATTTCCTTACATAATTTATTGTTTTATCATTTGTAAAAAGTAAGTTTTCATTGAAAAGGGGGACAGTTAAAATATGAAATTAAAAATTTCATTTTTGGTTTTAGTAATTATGAACTATTTTCAAATTGAAATTTTTTCAACATTTTTCATTAATATTGAAACAAAATTAAGCTATTTTGTAATATTGAGAACATAATGTTTATATAGAAAAAAAATAGATTTCCTTAATTTTAATATTTTCTTTTAAATGTCTGCATAAATAAATCTTTGAACTGAAATTGGTATTTTATGGTTAGCAGTATGCCATATGGCATCAAAGATAACTATTGGCATAAAACAAAACCTAACTCGAGCTGGGAAGTGCAAAAAACAAACAAATACAGAAGTTTATAAATAAGGTCTTTAGTATTATTTGTCTTCACATTCTGGTTTACCTTTCCCATAATTCTGGCTGTATGAAATTAAAGAAAAGAAAGGAAGGTGCAATGTAAAATAGTATATGCCTGTAGAATTTTATGGTGCATATATGCAAGATGGATAAAACATTTTACTAAACAGAAGTAATATAATGTAACAAATGAAGGCTTTAATAACTTAATTAAGCTATGATTGGGAAAACTGTAATCTGTTTTGGTGTAATGATAATATTACCTTTTGCTTTTCAAATAGTGTAACATTCATTTTAACATGAAACATCCTATATATATAACAAACATTCTCTATTCGTAAAAAGCAAATTTAAAGTTAATTAAATTTTAAATGAAATTGAATTACAAATGATTAATTATTGTTGCTATATTATATATAATAATTACAAAACAATTATTTTGAAAACAAAACACAAATATGCCTAGTATTTTCGTGCTTTAACCTCTCAGCGTTACGGCCGGAAACTTCCGTACAGAGGTTGCCTTCCACATTCATTATATTACATGAAAATTTCTGCTAGCTTTTAATGTATCTGATTTCAGTTTGGATGTATATTGGAAGAAAAGGAATCAAGGTACTTAATTAAAATCAAGAAAATATCACTTATTCATGACATTTTGAGGAACTTTGAAATTTCAGGGCTAAACCCGTAATGCTCAGAGGGTTAAGCTGCTGAAAAATTATCATTAAAGACATAAAGTAAGAAATTCAGGACTAATATTTCACAAAGACCAGAAATTGAAATTCATAATTAATAAATTTCAAATAATCATATAAATGCAACAAAGATCTTTAAATTGTTAAAACCAAAACATTTCAAACAAGCAAAACCACACTTCAAAAAATTTTTGAAATTTAATGAAAAATGAACAAAAACAGAAGAGGGATTCAATCAACCTCAATGTCACTTCATCAGGGGATAGGAACATTGAAATTAATTGAAATCTCTCTTCTACAAAAATTCTTGCTTTTCTGTATCCAGAATTAGCCAATGAACCATTTCAATGTGTATTTTAATTATAATTATAATAGTTCACCCGAAAATTCTGTCCCTTTCCCTAAGCAAAGGAAAATGCAATCAAAGTGTGGCACGCAATGAACTTGAAGTTGATCTGTCAGCACTATCCTCATCTTCAGGGCAGATGTTTTTATTTTATTCTGCTTATAATTTCCTACTAAATGTAGTGTTTCATCTCGATGTACTTCGATATGATTTAAATCAATTTCCTCGTCATTATAAATATCACGAATACACATCGAATAGTTTTCTGGTTGCAATTTTCTAATTTCGACTATGCGTAATGTATGCTTTATGCATGCACGCGTTGAAAGAAATGTTTAATAAAGTAAACAAATAAATATTAAGCCTTTTAATTTTGATATTCTTTAGATCATAATTGCTCTTTATTTCATAACTTATGGTTCATATTTTAATTGTATAATTTCTGCATGCCATCTTACCAGATTTAAATTGATGATCTATAATCTGGAAAAACTCCTAATCTGGAATCGCCGAAGTCCTGACGAGTCCGGATTAAAGACTTTGTACTGTATAACTTTTTTAGATATAATAGAATTCCAATTAATTAGTAGAAAAATTAAAATCTTTTCTTTCATCAAAAAGTTTAATTTCCCTTAGTTTATGAATACTTAGATCAAGATAAACTTTTTTTATTGGTTTTGTTTAGTTTTAGACAATTTGGGTAGATGTTGCTGTTTTCGATGAGATTAAAAGAGTTGAAAGTAATAATGTCATCAATGTACCTATAAGTCTGTTCAAATTTACTGAAATCGTTATCATAAAGGCTTTTAAGGAATTTAAATTTTTTAGAAAATACAGTGGATGGACAAAAATATGGAAACTCCTTGTGAAATGCATGTTTGAAAAGAAAGATTGATTTTAATGAAATATGTAGGTGGCGCTGGCGTTTTTGACTACTGACGCCACCTATACAACTTCGTAAATGTGCTAAACAGTTCAGTTGTTGTCGGAGTACTGTTATGTGAGGTTTCATTGCATTATATCAGAGTAACAGACTTCGAACGTGGGCAAATTGTTGGAGCACATATGGTAGGTGCTTCCGTAAGCAAGGTAGCCGAGGTGGTTTAGTGTTTCAAGAGGTACTGTATCGAAGATTTATTCCGCATATTTGAAAAAAGGGGAAAAACATCATCTGCTAATCACAGCGCGGACGAAAGTGTGTCCTGAGTGATCGTGACAGACGATCATTAAGGGCAATTGTGACGAAAAATAAGAAGACCACAGCTGCAAAAGTTACTGCTGAAATGAATGTTGTGTTACCGAACCCTTTGAGTACCAAAACATTAGAAGGGAAGCTTCATAAACAGGGAATTGCTGGCCGTGCTGCAATTGAGAAGCCACTCATCAGTGATGCTAATGCCCGTAAAAGGAAAAGGTGGTGTTTTAAGTCATAAAGCCTGGACTATAGAGCAGTGGAAGCGAGTAATATGGGTCTGATGAGTCTTCTTTCACATTGTTTTCCACTTCTGGCCGAGTTTACATCTGAGAACGCCATCTCAAGCCTATAATACAGACGCTTGTTGCCAAGAGTGAAACATGGCGGGGGTTCTATTATGGTTTGGGCAGCCCATATCGTGGTTCTCTGCTAGCCCCATGATAACTGTGGTCAGGGCACATGACTGCCAAGATTATTGAACATTTTGGCCGATCAAGTTCATCCCATGGTACAAACTTTGTTCCCCGATGGATGGATGGTGTCTTCCAAGACAACAAAGCCCCTGTTTACACAGCTCAAAGTTCAGGACTGGTTTCTGAGCACGAGGAGAGTTGTCCCATCTCCCCTGGCCACCACAGTCACCAGACCTGAATATTTGAACCTTTGTGGTCTACATTGGAACGGAAAGTGCGTTCTCATTATCCACCGCCAACATCGTTTATCAGAATTTGCCACCGTTTTGCAGGAAGAAGGAATGGTATAATATTCCCTTGGCAAACATACAGGAACTGTATTTATCCATTCCGAGAAGATTGCAAGCTGTTTTGGATGCCAACGGGTTTCCTACACCATATTAAGCAAAGAAACATGTTTCTTAAAGGTGTTTCCATATTTTTGTCCAACCCCTGTAGAAATAGGTTACAAATATGAGTGGAATATGAACTTCCCATAGGAATTTCTTGTGTTTGCAGGTAAAGAAAGTTTGAATGTTTAATATAGTTATTGTATAGTGAAAAATGCAGAAGTTCTTTCAATTTTTGTAAATCTAGTATATTAAGTATTTCAGGAAAAAATTCTGTCATTTCTATAATACTTTCATAGATTTCTTGAAGTGGCAGGGTCATGTAGAGATTTTCAAAATTATAGCAGTTAATATTGTAAATTTTAAGATTTTAAACTTTTTAATGATTCTCAAGTTGTTGTAAATAATCCAGCAGAAGTTTTGCAGTTTTTAGCAGTCGAATGCAGACTGTTCTAGTATATAACAGTGTGTATTCAATTTTGTATACATTAAACTTGTGATTAGTTAATCGACATCATGGTTAATCTGAGGACCAGAAAAAAAGAGTAACCCATGTTAAAATTAATAGAAAATTTCCGCTAATGGTTTACCATCATTTTCAAGTAACTTAGTGTGGAGAATAAATTTATTTAATTATATAAATCACTGATGTACTGTATATTTAAAACAAAATGGATATAGTGTAAATAACAAATATGCACCCAAATGGTAACTACACACATAACAATTATTCTAGCAGCTGTACACATGACAAAGATTTAGATCCCAATATCACCATTTTATTGCATTCCAAGTTTCAATGACTTTTATGAAAAAATTATGATTATTTTTTTATCTGAATCTCATTTATAAAACTTGTGCTTGTGGGATTTTCCTGTTAGAGAAGAAAAAGTGTTGACATTTCTGTGGGAATACAGTATTTCCTGCAAAATAACTGAAGAAACAATGGTTCAAATCTTTTCTCAAAATGATTCCTGTGAAATTTCCTCCATAATGAAAATAAAATCCTGTTGTAATTATATTTACTGATTATTTAATGGAATAAATTTATAGTTGAAACATAAAATATATATGCATGTAATACATAATTTTTACAATAAAAGTTATTGTTCTTTTTCTTGCATAAAACTCACCAAACTGCATCAAGGTGGTTGTGATAATGCATAGGTAGAAAATAATACTTACAAGAGAATTTGAACAATGTATTTAATTTGAAACTCGTATAAAAAATTGTTTAGAATTTTTTTATACAATAGTATTGAATAGATGAGTTATAATTCATAGTATTGAATAGATCAATTATAATTCATAGTATTAAATAGATGAATTATAATTCATAGTATTGAATAAATGAATGATAGTAATTTTTGTATCATCCTTTTTTAAACAAACTTTTTGTTTTGTAACTGGACCAAGTTAATCTGCCCACAATTAATCAAGTGTTAGGTTAACATTTAGTTTTCTTAAATTTCCTCTCAAATTCAAATTGAAGCACTGTAGAGCATCAACTTCAAAATATTCTTCCTATAGGTAAATGTACTTTGTTCACAGTTGTATTTAATGTAATTCCATCATTGTGAGCATTTGGCACTAGAAATTGAAAAAAGTGAATGCTATGAACCTTCAAACAGCATAATAGTTGTTGCTCCACTAATAATAAAATTCAGTTTCATTTTATGGTTTCATGAGATAAGCTTAATAATATTTGTCTTAAAAACAGTTATTGTGACTTATAAATGTGTCATGTGGCAATTGTCAAATTGCATAATCCATATTGATTGATTCGTTGTTGATAAATAAGTAAATAAAAATAATAAATCCTATCCTTAACCAAAAAAGGAAAAGAAAAGCAACTGGGATATGTTGAAAGCAAAATTTATGGTCTATGTTCATTCTTCCCACTCTTCTGTGATGATACCATTGGATTACTCCTTTAATTAGAAATATTTGACATTTTAGCACACAGATTGTTTTCTTGTTAACTGAAAAATACCTTGAAAGTATTATGTACAATATTAATCAGATATATTTCAAAAATCATATATTATTAATTATAAATTTTTTTACTAATTTCCTTTAAGTCTTCATAAATAGTTCTTAAAAATTAAAACTGAAAGCATTATGTAAAGAAAATAAACCTCTAAGATGCTGTTTATAGAATTAGCTGATATAAAAATTTTAATTATTATTTGTTAAAATTATAAAACCATGCTTTTATAGGCTTTAGCTGGTGCAAAGCAGGTACATACATTTGACAGAAGTGCTGATGAAACAATCAGCTGGATACATGAAAAAGATACTGTGTTGTCCAGTGAAGATTTTGGGCATGATTTAGAGACGATTCAGGCTCTTGTCAGACGGCATGAAGGTTTTGAGGTATGGTCCTAACCCTTAGTTTTCTTAGATCATGATTATTAATTATAAATTTTAGAAGTAAAACGGTATTTATTTCTTCCACAGCTTGTTTGACACTTTTCATAATTATCTTTGAAATTTTAATACCCATAGGATTTGAATATTCACTTTACCCTCATTAATCATTTATATATAGCAATGAAATATTAAATGTAGTTTTTTTGGGGGGGGCATAAAATAAAAGTGCCACTTGATTCAGGAATATTTTATCACAAATAATATCTTCAATCAAATATCAAGCTGTTTAAAAAATTGAAAAGTGAATATTATTATTCATAATATGTAAATGTTTCAAGCTTTATAATAGAATAGGAAATATTGATTTATACATCTAAAGAAACGATAAATGCCCTATTTGCATTAAAAAATGAGCTGATATTGTAGTATTGTTTCTTTCATAATTTTATTTAATTTCCTTTCTTCAGAGAGATCTTGCTGCAGTAAAGGAGCAAGTAGTTGCTTTAGTGGAGGAAGCACGAAGATTAGCTTCTCAGTTTCCTGATGCCAAAGATCACATTGATGCAAAGCATGAAGATGTTGCTGAAGCTTGGAATCAGCTCTTGGAAAAATCTGCAGAGCGGAAAGATAAACTCCAACAAGCTGAAAAGTTACAAGCATATTTTGATGACTATCGAGAGCTCATGTGAGTAATTTTATAATACTAATGCTGTATTATTTTTGAAGGGTTATACCTTAAAAATTCCAGATCCTGAAGATGTATTTGGTTTCTAATATTTGTATCTTGTATATTAAGATACAAATATTAGAAACAAAACTTGTATTCACTTGCATATTAAGAACATTATAATAAACATAATTTCAGTTTGGTAAATAAATTGGTATCACAAGTATGATTATTTAAACACAATAAAGGTGATTATTTTAATTGGACACATATCTTTCTCTTCATGATTATTTAACCCCCCCTCTTCTCTGAATCTATGAAGCTCATTGTCCTTCCATTTTTTTATGTTATCTTTATGCTAATACATTACATACAGAATATGAGAATCATGGTACTTCATAGGATGAGTAGATTTATTTCATGCATATAATATGTGCAATGTACCCATAAATGTGGGAGATTAAAAGCTCTGTGTATTTTAATTTATATATTGTATATAATGAGAATGTATATTTTAATTGGACAGATATCTTTCTCTTCATGATTATTTAACCCCCCCCCATTCTCTGAATCTATGAAGCTCATTGTCCTTCCATTTTTTTATGTTATCTTTATGCTAATACATTACATACAGAATATGAGAATCATGGTACTTCATAGGATGAGTAGATTTATTTCATGCATATAATATGTGCAATGTACCCATAAATGTGGGAGATTAAAAGCTCTGTGTATTTTAATTTATATATTGTATATAATGAGATTAGTAGAATTTTCATATTTTATAGTAAATAATTTTGTTTTTAATTTTAGGGCTTGGTTAAGTGAAATGATGGCCCTCATAACTTCACATGAATTAGCTCGAGATGTCAGTGGTGCAGAAGCTCTCTTAGCACGTCACAAGGAATACAAATCTGAAGTAGATACGAGATTAGAGAATTTTAATAAATTCTATGAAACAGGCGAGACTATCATAGCATCTGGTCATTTTATGGCTGAAGAAATAAAAGATAGAATTCATAGACTCAAAGCTGCGTTTGCACAGCTCCAAACAACGTGGGAAAAGAGGCAAATTATTTATGAGCAAAACTTAGATTCCCAGGTTAGTTTTTAAATCTTATATGGCATTGCTTGAGGTAAAAGAAAAATGTCTTATATTTCTTATATTAGTTTTAGAATTCAAATATTTGCACATTATTTATTGAAGAATTTTAGGGCATAATAATGACTAGGCGCTAAATGATGTAACTTGAATGTTCAGTTTTGAAATGCTGTGCCAAAAATTATTAGTAAAAAAATGGGTTGGATATGTAATGTATTATTTTTAAATTAATACTTATTGTGTTAGGTACTGTATACAGATTGTTTTCAAATTTAATAATTTGTAATTCTATCCCTAAAATGTAGTGCTTTTATAAATCATTAAAAAATAATTTTCTTTAATTTTGTATGTGGGAATAGAAATATGTAAAGTTATAAGAATTTAGTGAAATAAAATAAAAGGTTCAGTTTAACTTCTCTCTTTTTTTTTTTTTTTTTTTTTTTTTTTTAATGTTATGTATAGAATTTTTTATTCACTACTTTAAACGTATTCTTATTCAACGTACCAAAAAGTATGCAGTATGACTACGACATGTTGTAAGACATAGGTTTTATGAAATTAATATTTTATTACTTAATTAATTAACATGTCAGCTCTTGGAACAAATGACCATTTATATAAAATTAGTAGCAAAATTATAACATCAACAGCCCAAATATCTTATTAGTAAAATGTTTTCAAATAATATAAATTTTGATTCTTGTCTCTCCCAACGTTAAAAAAAAAAATGTGCATCATTATTATAATCCTGTTGATTGCAAAATAACAATTAAATTTAAATGATAATATATTGATAAGATGATAGACATACATAGTGCCCTGTTTTGTTTAATCGAAAAATTCATGTTTGTGTCTAATCTGTATTAGACCTTCAGATACGCATTAAGTCAATTTAATACTATTCTTAGTCTGTTAATAAAAGAGAGATCTGCAAGATTATTTTTAAATACATTATTTGAGTTTCTTAAAATTACATTAGTTCAATTTTCCTACTTTTATGGTCATTTTATCAATATTGATCTTACAACTTTCATGAGATTTTCATGCATGATTAAAAGTTTTTAGAAAGGAAAGAGATTAGCGTGGCTAAGAAAATTATCTTGGAGGGGAGGAGGCAGTAACAGTTTCCTGTGACTTTTAAAGAAGATTTTTGCATATATTTTTTCAAAAAAAAAAAAATATATACATAAGAAAGGAAATGGATGAGAATGTAAAAATTCTTCAGTTATGAACAATAAAAGGGCACATCACATACACACATATTTATGTGTATATTACTGTTCATATTTTATAAATGTCTTCACAGCGATAAAATTCACAAGTGAAGTTAAAAGCATAATAATCTTCAGTGTTCATTACCAGACAAGATATTTTTAATGAGAGTAATTCATAATGTTTTAAAATAATTTAAGAAGTGTTTTTGACTGCTCCCTCCACTTTTGTCAAAAGTACATGTATAATGGTGGATCAAAAGTGCAGTGAAAACTGAAAATGCAGGATTCAGATTATCAATAGATTTTTCTCATTTTAGAAATCTGCAACGCATTATTATGGGTGTATTTCCTGGAAGTTATGGTTGTGTATCATTATGTCAATGTAAATGAGATCTTCAGTAGAAAATATCTGATATTACATGGATGCATGCCAGTTTGAATGTGTTTTCAGTTAGTTGCTGTGTTTATCTATATTATCAAAAACAATCAGTTAAGTTCTGAATAGCTTTAAGAAAAGAATTAAACGAATATTTTTATTACGTGTTTTGTATCATTATGTCAGTGCAAAATGATCTTCAATAGAAAAGATCTGATATTATGTGGATGCATGCCAGTTTAAATGTGTTTTCCGTTAGTTGCTGTATTATCTGTATTATCTAAAATGATCAATTAAGTTCTGAAATAGCTTTACGAATAGAATTAAACTAACTTTTTCACGTGTGTTTTGTGTAATAATTACATCGATTCTGTATCTAATAAATATTTGACATTCTTTTTTCCAATTAAGCAAAGCATTCCTTTGTGATAAGTTTCTTTTTTATTTTATCATCAGATTTTCAAAAGGGATGCTGAAACACTTGAAGCATGGCTTCAAAGTCGTGAACCAATTTTATTTGATAAGCAGTATGGTGATTCAATTTCTGCTGTTGAAGAACTAATAAGAAAGCATGAAGATTTCGAAAAAACTATTGAAGCTCAAGAAGAAAAATTCCTTGCTTTGAAGAGAATTACAAAGGTAAAAGCATTCCTTATTTTAAGAATATCTTCTGCTTTCTTTTCGTTTCTCTCTTAAAGTTTTAATTATACTTTAAGGTTTGAGCACTGAGGGCTCAAAACCAAAGCCTATTCACCTGTGGCAGAGTGTACTAGTAAGCACTCAAAAGAAAATGCAGCTGCTAAACTAATTGAAATTTTCATGTGAGTTCTGCTTGAAGTGTGCTCCTTTTTAGGGGGGGTTAGAATTTCAACATTAGGCATTCCCTTCCAGTAATCTTATTCCATAGAGAAAAATACATGAAAAGAATATGTACTTCTTAAGATCAAACTTTGTTCACAAAATTTGTTGCATGATAAATTAAGTATTTAGTTGTATTAGATTTTGTAGCTTAAATACAGGTGTAGTTTCTGCTGTCTAAAATATTTTATTGTGTAAAAAATATTCAAATACAGCTCCCTGACCCACATTTCAGGAACATTAGTTGAATTTTCTAAAACAGACAAATAAATTAAGAAAAAGACTTTTTAATAAAAGTATTGTTATTATAATTATGTATCTTTTTAATAATCTCTCTTTCTTCTCACAAGAAAATTCACTGTGATATTTAATTTATATTAACATAATTAAGTAGTTTTTTCCTTTTGGTTTATCCTGCCTTAATTTTTTTAATTTAACTTTCCAACCTTGTGTACAGGTACATCGATAATGATCAATTAACCACTTGCGCCACGCAAGACATGCCACGCACGTCGAGATGCTTTCATCTGAAACCACGAGCGACGTGAACACCACGTCGATAGGCATTTATCGCAAAAATGAAAACAACATAGTGTACACGTCGCCTAACAACGAGATAGTTTATTTCTCGAGCTACAGCTCTGGATTGCACTCGCAGGCGCAGAGCGGTGTAAATGAGACACTTTACCGCTTGTTATATTGTAGCGCACAGCACCGCAACCGTGAAGTTTAATCATAGCGCTAGTGGTTAACATGAATTTATATTTTAAGCGTTTTTGCTGCAGTATTTCAATTGGACTTTGTTTATGCTAAACCTTTAAGTTATTTTAACAGATATGTAATACTTCCAGCACCGTACGACAAGTGTTCAAGAAGAAGCTGTGCAGTTTTGTAAAATGCCTGTAAAATAATAAGATCATCACTGTTACATGTAAAAGAAAACTACATCTGATTTTAACCAAAGAATATACTGATTGATATTTATTATCTTAATGAGAATTTGTCTGTAACACTTTTCATATACACTGAGTTGTCAAAATATTAGATATTCCCTTTTTCTAACATATTCTGCTAGTGATTTAACAGCAATGAATTGCTTATATAAGACATACTCTTGAGAACAAATAGGGTATCACTACAATTAGTGTAAAAATAAGTAAGACCAAGAGTGAATGTGAGCTCAAGAGCACCAAAATGGACCTTTGCTGATTAGAAAAAAGTTGCTTTATCCAATGTATCTCATTTCCTGCTTCATCATATGATGATAAGATCAAAATATTGACCAAATATAATAAATTCAGGAGCCTTTCTTGCCTAATAATAACTTTTCAGGCTTGTGATGGTAATGTTGTGGTTTGGAAAATATGTTTCTGAAGTGCAGAAAGTTTCTTGATGTGTCTGGAAGCAATTCTGAACATCACAGCTTACCTCAATACCATTGCATAATTCATTTTTGTTTATGATATTCCTTCGTTGATGCTGTTGATCAGTAGTGGCAGGAGCATTGTACCTTCTTATCATGAACTCATAGTCTCAAAATTGTTTTAAAAATGTAATCTAAAATTGAAATTATTTCCATGACCTCTTCAGTTCATTGACTTCCACATTATTGAGTATTTAGAGTTAAATTTAGAAGTATTAGAAATGCCATCTTTTAGATTTAAAAAACTTACAGCTGCCAATATATCAACATGGGCTAATGTTGAGTTCATGCTCAGAATATCAGTTGTTGTCAAAGCTAATATTGAATCAGGAAGTTATTAGCAGGTGTCAGAAATATTTTGGCCACTCTGTATATGTAAGTGGAAAATATTTTTACAAAAAATTCCATGATAAAATATCTGTTATATAATAATATCCTATTCCATGATAAATATCTGGAACATTAAATTTTACTATGCCTTATTATTCCAAAGTACTCATGAAGCTTTTATTCTTATTTTTAACACAATAATAATTATTTATTATATTGTACTATCAAGTGCTTTTGTTGTTTAAAGGAAAAAAAAAAATTAAATGTTATTATAGGAAAATCTTGAAAAAAAAATGAATAAATTAAAAAGTAGTTCATTATTTCAGTTAAAATTACTTTTTCCCTAAATGAATGCATTATTATTTCACATGAATCTTTATATTTTAATCTAGTTGTTAATAATAACAACTTTCATTTGTTTTCTGTTGCATTTATTATTTTATTCATTAATCTTTTAGAACAGTGAATATTCTTTGCTATCCTTTTTCCAGATTTAAACTTATTGCTAAGAACTGCTCACTATTCATCTTTTATTTTTATCCCTGTCTGGAAATTCATTAAGTCTTTTGCAGAACTAAATGCATTTTTTAGAATTCTTATGATTTTATTATTCTTTCTCTCTTTTTTTTTCTGTCCTTATTTACTGGGATAAAATAATTTTTTCATATTGATGTATTATGATACTTAAATTTCCTTAATTTTGTAGTTGGAAGAAGCATTTGCAAGGCAAAAAGAAGAAGAAGAACGTAATAGAAAAGCAGAAGTACAAAGAAAAGAACAGGAGAGGTTGGATGCTATAAAACGAAAGGAACAGAAACGTATTCTGGAAGTGAGTATTGGTCATATATTAAATTTTGTTGTTTATTTTATCCTTTATTATGAATCCTTTGATATCAATGTAAATATTTTTAACAGGAAAGAAGAAGGGAAGATGAAAGAAGGCGTACACAAGAGATAGTTTTGAAGAAGCCCGGTGAAGAGTATGAAATTGATGGCAATGAGATATCACCATTATCATCCCCAAAAAATATTCCTGAAATTCGCCATCCTCCTGGTCTTTTCCGAGCATCCAGTCAGAAGAGTTTAGATGGAGATAAACTATCTGTTAAACGGGGTGAAAGTATGAGAGTTGAAGGCTTAAGTCCATGGAAACCAGAATCTCCAGCTCACATGAAACGATCTGAAAGTATGAGGTTAGATGAAAGACAAAAGAAGCCAAAGAGAACTCCAAGCTTCACTACCCGAAGGCGCACCCAAAGTTTCCGGCGCCAGAGAACTCCTGCAGATTTACCTCCTGTTGAAATTGAAGGTTTTCTTGATCGTAAGCAAGAATTGCAAAGTGGTGGCAAAAGAGCTACTATTAGGTCCTGGAAAACTTACTATACTGTTGTTTGTGGGCAGCTTCTTTGTTTTTTCAAAGATAAAGAAGCTTTTGTGGATAACAATGCTGCTGCACCACCTGTGAGTCTTCTGCAAGCAAAATGCTCAAAGGCAGCTGATTACACAAAGAAGAAACACGTTTTTAGATTACAGTTAGTTGATGGGGCTGAATTTCTGTTTATGGCTCATAATGAGAAAATTATGTATGATTGGATGAATAAAATAGCATTTCATGCTGCTTTACCGCCAAGCATGCAGTTAATGCGATATGAAACTCGTAAAAGTAACAGTTCCGATAGTGTAAATTCTAGCCAAAAAGCATCAGTTGTGAGTGAAGATAGTACAGCTGGAGCACATGTCAATGATAATCATGAAACTACTTCAGCAACATCTAGCCAAGGGTCAACACCTGAACTTAGACGTGCTATAATGTCACACACTTCAAACCAAGTAGTTACTGATAGATCTTCTCTATCAAGATCACATCCACCTCCGTATGAGGAAGCTTTATTACGAGAAAAGCAGAAACCCCCAATTCCACCGCGAAACCTCCCCTCTCGACCTCTCTCAGATCCACCAAGTAGGCTAAATAGTCAGGAATCTTCAGTGTCTGTTAAAAGTCGTATTGAAATGTTCCAAAGTCAACAGCATGCTGCACCACCAGCCGTAGCTCCTAGGTCATCATTTCCTGGTGGTAAGTGAGAATTTTTTTTTTTTCCTAATCATAATAACCAGTTTGCAGTTTTATGGTTTTTTATTGCTGCAATATCTCGATCTTTTTTTTAGGGGGGACATTTGATTTTCATAACATGCTCATTGGCTTTTTTTTTTTTTTTTTTCCATGAGCATTTTGTATGAAAAGACAAGTATAACTTTTTTATTAATAATGGTAGATAGTCAAGATTATCACTGCTATAGTTTTAAAATAGAAATATGCTTCTCATAATGTTTTCAAACTAAGTTTGCTTTTAATATTTTTTTCTTCAACTTATTTTTATGGGCAAAACCAGATACTGTTATTCAATGCCAAATGGTTTGAGCTGAGTTAAATTTTTATCATCAGAATGAAGATACATTCTCCACTTTATATGCATGGTAATAAATATTCCAGAAGTAATTGAAATGTGAGAGCTTCTCTCTTTTGGAAATGAAAGTAATAACTCTGTTTTAAAAGAATAAAATTTCACTGGCAGCACATCTTTGGTTAGTATAGTGTATGAATAATTATGATAATAATGGTAATAATAATATTTGTGATCACTATCTGTGTTAAGTAGACATATGTAATAATGTAGATTTTTTTAAAAACTTTTATATAGATATAATGTTATTGTCAGTTGTGATGATATATGAGAGATCCAAGTTTGACTAATTATATGAAAATTCATATCAACTATAATGTTCTCATAGTTGTTTATCTATTCATACATTCCCATGTATATGAAACTCATTGCTGCAAATTTCACTGATATCATATTCTGAGTGGGGGGAATTTTTATCATTGTGCATTAACCTACTTTAAATTTATTTTTTCCGATGAAATAATTATCTGTAGAATATGCCACCTAACTATTTTGTTTATAGTAACTCAATATTATTTTATATATCTGACATTAGATTATCATTTTATTGAGTATGCTGTAAATATAATGACACTATCATCATGTATTTCATTTCTAATGAAAATAACCAAGCATGGTAAAATGGAATCATGTATGCTGCTATCTATAATTAAATATGATAGTCGAAATATTTGTTGTTATGTATGACATATTAACTTCTTGCATGAAAATATATATTTAATCTTTAGAGAATTGTTGTTTTGTATTAATAAATACATTTTGTAGTTTTAATCCTGAGAGAAATTATACTTGAAAGTGTTTTAAACATTTAAAATGTAGTACAAAGTCCGAAATACAGACCCCCCCCCTTTTTTTTTTTTTTTTTTTTTGAATGCTTTGAATGCTTTGTTTTCATCACCCCATGACTATTAATACACATAAATATAACTGAATACCAAAGAACATTAAACAGTATTATATTATACTGACATTAATTATGCTCGGCAATGATTACAGTCTTCATGTAAATTTGATGCTGTTGATTGGGAGAAATTCAACAGAAATTTCTTTCCATCTGCAAAAAATAGATTGTAAATTATAGGATAAAAGGTTATATTTAGTGCCATTTGAATTGAGAATAACTGATTTGTTATTGAGATAAACTCAGGACTGGTACCAGAGCTGATGTGGCATAATTTAGAGGAGGTTAAAATTTTTAGAATTTCAACAGAATTTTGGACCCACAGAGATTTGCACCAGGCTGCAAAATGTCTAGTGCTGGCCCTGGATAAGCCTTGCAGGACTCGGTTGAGCCTTGAGCATTTGCAGGAAATTGGTGTAAGTTTAATAACTAATACAATTCAGACTTAACTTCATCAGCATGCGGTAAAAGCAAGACAAAATTAAGTGGCAAAATTAGACTAAAACATGGCTTTAATCACCAATTTCATAATACTTTGCAAATAGCATATATCAGACACTAGCTGAGCTTTATGATGATTGCTTCAAATTTGAAGGTGTTCAGATATTGCAAATAAAAAACAAAATTTTACAGTTAAGGGAGTTTTTTAAGAAATGAAGAGACATAGTTATAAATGAAGATGCTATAACAGAAGTTGTTCATTGCAACAACACTGCCTAAATCATCAATCAGTTAATGGAGAGCGAAATCTGTAGTATGGTTCTAAATTCTGAAAATATCATTACTAATAGAAGAAAGAGATGAAGAGGTTATTAAGGATGGACAAATTTTGATTGAGAATTTAGTGGGAATTAACTGTGCAGCAGTTACAGGAACAACAGAAGTTCGTAACTGAAAAGAAATTATATCTATTTATAGAATTAAAGTGTTAGAGAGGGGGAAAAACAAAATAAACAACTTTCACTGAAAGAAATGTTTAATAGCAAATATTAAAAGCAAACGAATATTGACACTTTTTGGTAAATTTTGAATCAAAGTCACAAATGCTTCATTTATTTCATAAATCACTTCGTCATGTTTTTAATTTTATAATTTCTATATGTCATCTTACTAAATTTAACCTCATGACCTAATATGTAGAAAAATCCCCAATATCGAATACCTGAAATCTGAAGGAGGGTGGATCTTAGATTCTGTACTGTATGTGTAATTTGCTTAAAAATAGTTTTCCTTATAAACATAATATTCTTTGCAGTTCATCATCATAATGGTACGGCTATATCCACCAATCGCAATTCTATTCATACAACTAGAGAGTTCCATCGTAGTATAGAAGAAAATTCAAGCTCTTACAGTGACAATGGTTGGTATTTATATACTTTTTATGTAGAATTCACTTGTATTGAAATGTAAATGATTTATTTATGTTGATGATGTTTGCAACAAGAAAATAAGCATGTATTAAAATTCTTTATGGATCATTGTGAAAGAGTTTGCAGTTTCTTTGCAGTCAGCTTGACAGCTAACAATTAGAAAAAGAATTTTAAAATGGATGTCATAAATTTCATTCAGTCTTTATAAATGAATTGTCACATTGAAGGAATATAGTTAAAATTTGTTCTCTTTTTGAAACAATTTTGGGGAAGGCCTCTAACACAATCCTGCATACATCCTGCCACCGGTTTTAATCATAATCTATTAGTTCATTAATGGCCATTGGCTGGAATGCTTGCAGGCCTAAGTAAATTTTCATGTGGAGTTGCAGTTCCCCTTTTAATTCCAAGTTGTGCTACAGGCACTTTGGTTGAGTTTCAGGGTGAACGCATCCCTGACGAACTAAATTCAACATGTTTCCCCTCGGATTGATGGACGACCAAAGCAGGGGACATCCAAAACTCTCTCCAGCTGAAAAGCTTCTCTTTCCTATGTGCTCATATTCTGACAACTTGGTTGCTACTTATCAATCACCTGTGCCATATTTTCGTTGCTTTGCTTTAATTCATGGACACATGCATTTGTTACTAAATGCTGCTCCAAACTGAAGTCGCTGGTATCTGCCATTGTTTACCACCAAGCATAGGAGGGCAAGACAATGAACTGGTCATTGCACAGACTTTATTCTTCTCCCCGGGCAGCTGTGCAGAAATCGCATTGAAGTACATGTGAGGAGCATTGCTGCCATATCAGTGATCAGAATGAGAGGTTCCAATCTTATGATTTACTATCTTACATTGTTACATGCATTTGTTCAGGTGTAAAGGGACTTGCTGGTCACGTTGTATTTTAAAGATCATGCATATAATTCATATATTGCTTTTAAATGCCTTGTTATTTCTGAAATAACTGTCTTTGTCAAATAACATTAATGGGCATTTCTTGAAAGATTATACAGAATCAAATGCAATATCCAAATTCTTTTGTTTGGCAGTTAACTCTATAGTGGATTTGCACTGTTCCAGTGTCAAAAATCACAGTGAGAATATGCAAAATGATTTCATGGGCTTCTCAAATTCTAAGCTTAATAGCTTGTTAGGAATTTGATTTAGTAGAAGTATCAGTACTACTAACAAGATTATACAGCTATCTCATTGGCAGCATGAGGCTCTGCTGTGAAGCTGATGTAGCTATGTTAATAAATAAACAAAACATCTGGGAAATCTTTTTGTTCTAGTAATAAAACAATTTTCAGGATTTTTTTTAATTCTAAATATTCGTATAATTTTCAAACAGAAATAATTTAATCTTTACTCTCTGTGGCAGATATTTTAAAATTCAGAAAAAAAAATTTCAATGCCTGTAAAATTTATGTAGATCATATATTTGTATAACTACATTATTACTGTAATTGTATAAACCATGATAAGAATTATCAATATTGTGTTATTTTAAAAAAACACTCTTGATTGATACATAAATATCAATTTCTTCTTGCATATATTGCTTCTAGCAGGTGACAGCAGGGCCGCACACCCGGACGGCTTACAATGACTACTCGGGTGCTGTCCGGACCCTGCAACTATCTGTAGCTGAAACTTTAAATAGACATAAATATAGTAGTTTACAAATAGACCTGATCGTGTAATCGCACAATGCGTCAATGTACATAATGCAATACACTAAGATACTGTAACCTCAAAGATAGACACAATACACCAATACACATAATTGTGACACACTAATATGCTATACACCAGTATTCTATACACTAATATACTATACACCAGTATAATATACAATAATTCACTAATATACTATACACTAAAAGATAGACACAATACACCAGTGCGCATAAATGTGACACACTAGTGTACATTGACACTAATACATAAGTACCATGTACACAAAAATATACATAGGTAAGATAATACAATTATTCTATTATACTACTGTAACATACACGTGGATACAATACACTGAGATAGGTAGAAACTTACGCTAAGTTACAATATATAAAAAAGTTAAGTATTGATACACATAGATACTGCGTAAATTCTATATATTTTAAAATACACTTTTGTGTAAATATTAATAATACACAGTACTACTACAGGTGTTACTCTGTATGTTCTTAGATCTTGAAACATGACAACATGATGCTAGAATATATTTATAAACACAATAAACCAATGACACGATGCGTCAATATACATAAATGTTTCACACTAATACAAAATACACTAAAACATAGGCACAATACACCAATGCACATTAATGCGACACACTAATATACTTTACACTGATATACATTGACACTGATACGTAAGTACCATGTACACAAAAATACACGTGAATTAGATTATACAACTATTCAATTATACTACTGTAACATATACGTGTATACAATACACTGATAATACGTGAATACAGTACACGTAAATAAGATTAAACAATTATACTATACTACTGTTACATACACGTGAATGCAATACACTGAAATATGCAGGCATATACGCATATGAGAACACTAAATACTATGTGGATTCGACATATTATGAAGTGCACATTAATGTGAATATTTAATACATGCCTACTACAGGGGCTGAGCCTCTTAAAAGCTTGACAACATGATATTAGAAATTTACACTTTGGCTGGTAGAGATGTACATAAGAAACAGGCGGACATAAACTGTAAGAGAATTCTAGACTGCACTATACACTTGTCTATGCATTATTCTCTTGGTGCGTGTACGATGGGTACAGTGCATGCTGAGGTACATTGTTAATGCATCTGTGGCACGCTGAACATATATGCTAGCGAGGTACTCACTTTGCCACGTGTGTTACAGAAACTGGCATGTGCGGCACCTATGCAGGGCTGCAGAGCTCCTGCCCCAGTACTTCTAAGTGATCCATGATCTTTTTGATTTTGTCCATAAGTCGTGGTTGTTTCAGCACGAATCTTTTAAAGGTGGCCACATTATTCGATGGGAGTTTAACGTGCCATTGTGTGGTGAGTTGACACTCCGTCAGGTAGTGGTCGGGGGACCCAATTTTTCCGCAGACACATAGGTCTGTGGAGGATATATTTCTCTCTGCGAAGTAGGTCGGAAACGGCCCATGTCCTGTGATGAATCTTGTTAAGAAGGGTGCAAATATGAGTCGTTCTGTGTCCACTTTTTGTATGAATTCGAAAGTTCGCTGACTCTGTGGCGACGTGTTCCATTCCTGCTGTCACTGCGACAGAGCTGACTGCCAAGTCTGCCGCTTGAGAAGTGACTATAGTAAAGGTGGGTGTATTTGCACCGCATCCCGGTCCTGTGCTGCCTCTTTTGCCAGGGTATCTGCACGTTCGTTGCCCTGGGCACCAACGTGCGCTTTTACCCAAGAGATTTCAATTTTTTGGACCGGACTCGTATTTCTTAGTGTCTCCTGAATTTGGGACACGAGTGGGGAGGTGTGGCGTGGGTCGTTGATGGCGTACAGTACCGATAGGCTATCAGTAATAGATTGTAAAATCTTCTGCTGTTGGTAGTTTTTGTGCCCATTCTATTGCTTTCAAGCAAAGCAAGGGCTTCCGCCTGGAAGACCGAATTGTGCGGAGACATATGGCACTTCCAGGTTTGCACTTCAGTGCCATTATGGAAAACTGTATATGCGCTGCCGACTGCATTGTCCATCTTCGACCCATCCGTGTAAATCATGAAGCCCGGGTCCTCTATGAATGGTGGTAATTCAGGGGCGAAGCGAGTTACAACACCTTTCCCGTAATCTGAAGGGTGCGTTTTAAGTTTTGAACTTTTAAACTCTTTAAGGTTAAAAACTTTTAAAGTCTGCAGGGTCATAGCTGAGCTCCCCAAATAGTGCTTTTCTATGCAGTTGGGAAAACATTGTAATTGCGGCTTCCTGCTGTGCTTTTATTGATAACGGGATTAGTCCCACCAGAACTGCTGCGGCTGCTGTCGATGTTGTTCGATATGCCTTTGTAATCGCCAGTATGAAAGGTCTTTGGGAACTTTGAAGAATTTTTTGTTTCCTGCAGGTCATGGGGTTTGCCCAGATTGCCGCCCCGTAGATCATGATCTTTTCTGCTATTGCAGAGTATAGGATCTTTAGGATATGGGGACGCAGTCCCCATTTGGAGCCTGGCATTTTCCTTAGATTTGTGGCTATTTTTAATGCTTTTGTTCTTTGCGATCTTAAATGGGGTACCCAGGAAAAGCCCTCATCTAGTATTAAACATTCCTAGATACATAGGAAGATATGATACTAGGAGCTTCATCTCTTTAACTCTTTTAATCCTGTGACCTGCCATCGTAATTGTCGGGTTTCTTTATAAGGTCTGGCCCGGTTTATGGTAGATAATATATTTAGATTTTGAATGCGAGATGTTAAGCCTCTTAGCCTTGCAAAGGTCATAGAAGATGTCAATGACTTCCTTGCAGTTTTGTTCAAGGATGACGCGGCTTTTCCCACTGACCACGGAAGGTGGCATCATCTGCGAAGGCTGCGACTGTTGTGTGAGCCGGCCATTCTGCTTTTAGAATCGAGTTAAATGTTAAGTTCCACAGGTCTGGACCTGCGCATGATCCCTGTGGGCAGCCTCTTTGCTGTGGCCTGGTAATTATTCCACCATTGTGAACAGCGATGAAGCTGCGGTTACTGAGATAACTTTTAAAAATCTGTAGGATGTTATTTGGGATGTTAGCTGCATGTAAAGCTTCTAGGATTGCCGGCCACCACAGGGAGTCAAATGCACTTTGCAGATCCAGACTGAGGACTGCCACATGCTGTTGTTGTTTGCGCAGTCTAGTAGGTCACAGAAAGTCTAGCAGGTCACAGAATGATGTTGAAAATTAATTACTACTATTTCCATGTATAAACCAAGAATATTTAATAAGTTTTTCACTGCTGGAGTTAATGATGGCATTATATACAAATGCAAAATGATTTGCAAAAATTTCATTGAAGAAATATTATATGTTAAAAAATTGAATAAATATTTTAATTTAATCCTAATATACATTATTCAAAATTATCCATTTTGAAATTGTCTAGCAATTTTTGGAGATCTCTTTCTGTTAAAGGCAAGTCTTGGTGAATGAAATGTCTTCCATTTAATCATTAACATCATTATCACATGTCTTATGCATACTATCTTCTTCAGTTCCATCCATATGATTGCTTAATAAAAATCATAAATTTTAGTGTAAAGTTAGAAAAATATGCAATCCTCCCCCCTTTTTTTAGGGTCATTTTTAGACCAGAAGGGCTATTAATTTCGATTTTACGTTTTGTGTTGAAAACTTTTAATGTTGGTTCACTTTTCAAATTGTTGCCACCATATACCTTGTGTTATATTGAAAGAAATTAAATAATGAAGAATCTGCATAAATGTATGTATGTTTCTTGCATTGTGATAAAAAAACAGTACCTAGACCCATCAGATTTTGAATAACGTAATCTTCCACCGAATATGCGCATCTGGAAGCCCTAATTTGAAATTTGTTTTATTATCGATTTCCTATTTTGTAAAACTTCAACAAATTTTTGATTAACAAACTCGAGGATTTCAAAGCGAGCCATGGCAACGTTGTACAGGGAAAACATTTTTATCTCCAGCGTGTGAGACTGTATCGAAAATCCTAAAGATATGCTCATTTTAAAATTATTTTACGATATTTCTCTTGAACTGAATAAGTGCGAAGAACAAGATATTTAATAAATAAAGGTAACACACAAAATGTTAAAAAAAAATGCCCCTTCGAACGTAATTTAAAATCTAAAACCTTTCTTTTTTTTTTTTTTTTTTTTTTTTTTTTTAAAATCTAGGTATCTTAATATATAGCAGAAATGAAGAACCAAATTTTATTGTAAAAGCGATTGAGAGAGTAGCTTGATTGCTACCTCTCTAGTCTTATGACTGCTTGTTAATAGTTACCATAGCTTAAACAGAGTAAAATTTAATATGCTATTGTGAAAGCACCAAATGACATACATCCTAAAAGTTGGGAGAAACTACTGTCATCAATAGTAAAATTTCATCCTACAATGCTGTCACCCCAGTTTTTCGAGACCCAAAACCATCAAAGTAGTTGAGATAAATTTCAAAATAAAACAGAAGGTGAAATGATTGATGAAAAATTCAATAAGCCCATTTAAGGCAGGTGACCAGTTATTCCCAATTTCCGTAATATACATAGCTTGATTTATAGGACATTTTAAAATTTTTTGCTTATATACACAGTTTTCAGTTTGTTTTAAAAATCTGTACTAAAATTTTATCTCTTGTTATTTATATTCAGAAATATGTAATACTTAAATGAGTTAGTTTATATGAGCATATGTTTTCCCTTATATGTTACTGTATTTTTTTTTTTTTTTTTTTCTTATTTATTTATTTCTTCTTTTGCTGCACAGTACCATTCATTTATATTTTGTGTTTTAAAAATGTGTGTCTTATTTCTTATTATTTATTTTGTGTTATTTCCCATAATTAGATCATTCTAGTTTATCTGTAAATTCTGCACCCCCTCCCCTGCCTCAGAAACCCCCTCCTGCAGCTTTGCGTAGTCATAATGTCCCTGATTCAGATGATGATTGGCATCCTATGTCAGATGGTGAAATGGATAAGCATGGTAAGATTCTATGGCAGGGAACCTTCTACTTTTCTCTGTCAAAATGCAAAGTATTGTATTGTCTTTATATGTAATATTTTAGAAAAATGGAAGCTGTAAATTAGAAGTTTATTATCAACAGAAACAAAAGTATAATTTATCCTCCTAAAAATTAGTATTTAAAGAGTGATCGAATTCCATTTAGAGTCTTTAAACTTTTACTTAATGAATTAATTAGTTTTACTTGCTGCTAAATCAAATTACCTATATTTTTAAAACATATTTTTATTATTTTTAAATAAAAAGTTGTTGCTTAATATTTAAATCACTAATATTTTTTCTTTTGGAGTAATAATTTAATATGGATGTAGAAAGGAGATTAATTTCTTTTTCTTAATAGTACTCAAGAAATTTTATATTTATTTTTCTTTTTAAAGCTGTGTATCGAAGGCAAGAGCTGAAGGGACAAAACTCCGATTTCACACAATACAGACAAGTAAGTTGCATTTTTTTATTGCTTAATAAATAAAGCAAGAATTGTATAGCTGAGGCAAGTATAATCACAGTTTTTAAAACCAGACTGTTTTGTGGTAGCCATCTTATTTTGAACTTTAGAAAACTTAAAAAAGTGCATATAATGTTCTCCCATTTTAAAAATTATATAATAAAATTCATTATTAAGCATTTGATAAAATATTAACACTATAAAATTGGCATCCATATTTTCATTTCTGTATTAAACAAAACTTTGAATATATACTGTTTGTATGGTGCCCTACTAAATGCTACTAAAAGAAATCTTTTTCTCTCTAGGGTATTACTAATAGAATTCATGGTTTTCTTATTAACAGCACAGTTAATATTAAATTACCAATGTATATTAATCGTCTTATAAGAAGCTAAACCATAATTGAATTTAAAGTGTTAAATCAAGAGAACATACAGTAACCGTGACTCAGATTTTAATAATATAACTTCAGAATTTATAAAAAATTTTATAATTTATTACAGAAAAAGTAAATTATGAGGATATTGATTTCAATTATATTAAATGTAACCAAGAAATTCATAAGTTTTATAATTAAAACATATTTATAGTTCTTGAAGTGTTTATATTGAAGTATTTTCTTAATATATGGATGAAAAACTTAAAATTTAAACATGGAAGATTTACTCTTCTTTTATCAGAAAATAAACAAAATACAGAATATTGCACACACTGAAATGCAGTTGCTACAAAATAACATTATGGTGCTTTTAATTTTTAGACCTACGAAACTACTGAAACATCTCATGCGAGACATATGTCATTACCCCATAAGGTACAACCTATACCAGGAACTCAAGTCCGTCCATTTTCAACGTTAGAAGTCCGCTCACGAACCACATCATCAGAAGGATCATCTGAAGGGGAAGTTGTTCCAACTGACCGTAAGATCAAAGAAAAGAAAAAAGGAGGAATGTTTGGCTTTTTGAAAAAGAAATAGTATAAATTCATATTTTGTAAATTTTTAGAGATTATATATATTATTGTATATAGACAGTTGGTTATTTTCTGTGACAGCTGGTTTTGTCTAATTCAAATAATATCTGAAAATAAGTGATATGTTTGTATATAATAGCATTAAACATATTTTTATAAGCAGACTTTTATTTTCTAATCAGCACAGTCGGGAACTATCGAGATTTATGATGAAAGTTAAGTAATTTTTTTAATTAACCTGAAACTGCATATCTGTGTATTAAGTAAAATGAATGTTTATCTTGTATCATAGTTCAAAATTTTTTTTTATTTGGAAGCAAAATTTAAAGATCTGAAGTTTTATTATAAATTAAAATTTTGCTGCACTTAAAAAGATTATTTTCATTTAGTTAATTTTTTCACTCTTTCCATTTCATTTTATGAGATGTTTTATTGTAACCACTTCTGGGACCAAAATGTAAATTTTTCCTTAAGCTTGTAATGAGATAAATATATCCAGTAATAGCAATAATGATGCTGTATTTTTAGTCTAGCATGTTATTTTGTGCAATACACAATTTTTTTTTTTTTATGTAAAGTCTTACTGGAAATAAATATTTTGATGAAAATATTTATGTAGTATTTTCTTAAATGTAACATGAGATTCACTGACAGTCTGATTTACAATTTTCTTCATATTTAAAGTATTTCAAATATGACTCTATATGTTTTGATTTCCATTAAAAACATAGATTGAATCACATTATCACTGGCATAACCACCAAAAATTATTTTAAATAGTATTTATAATATCTTACTGTATGAATACACTGGATTGCCTGGTTCAAATCCAGTGTGTATAAAAAAGGGGGAATATTCTAAATGTATTTCATAGTTGTAATTAGAAATGTATATTTAAATATAGCACCTGAGAATAATGCCATTTAAAAAAAGTTGGATAACCATTTTTTTTTCCTTAGTGTTGCTAAGATCTGTCTACTGTTTATAAGGATGTAAAAAAAAATAAAACTAAGAAAAATGTATTTTCCTCACATTCTGCACATGCGTACTTACAACCTAAAAGACTTAAGTCTGATATTATGTATTTAACTCGCAATATCTTTGTATTTTAGCATCTGAAATGAAATTAATTTTTTTAATACTTATGCATTTATCTTTGGTTATCCATTTGAAATTCCCATACTACCATTTAGAAAGTGAAATTGTATAATTATCTGCAATATTGAAAATTTTCAATTCTAAGGATAAGGGTAATGTAATTTAATGCGGCGATTATCTGCTCAATTCCCATGCAGATTATCTTCCACTAGGACTCTGAATCTTGGACAAACTACTAATATTCAGCAAGTTTTTTTTTTTTAATTGCATGGTTTCTGATAGGGTAATTTCCTTATAGACTGTTTTTGAAAATATTGATACATATATATTACAGTCAAAAGTCGTTAACCGGACTCGTCGGGACTTCGGCGATTCCGGATTATCGATTTTTCCGGATTATAGATCATCAGTTTAAATCTCGTAAGATGGCATGCAGAAATTCTAAAATTAAAAATATGAAACCGTAATTTATGAAATAAAGAACAATTATGATCTAAAGGGTATCAAAATTTGCAAAAAGAAAAAGCTTAATATTTATTTGTTTACTTTATTAAACATTTCTTTCAATGTAAGTTGTTTAAGTTTTGCTTCGTTTCATGTGATAATACTTTCTCTTTAATTCTATTAAAGAGACATAATTTCTTGTTCAGTTACAAAGTTCCGCTGTTCAAGTCCTATAATTGCTGTGTCGAGAACACCGACTAATTTGTCAATCGAAATTTTTTCGTTTTCAATAACCTCTGTCACTTTTCTTCGCTATCGGAAGCGAATTATAACGACTAGGAACTTGTTTTAAATCATATCAAAGACGGAGCATATCGAGATGAAATACTACATTTGGTAAAGAAATTATAAGCCAAATAAAATAAAAACATCTGCCCTGAAGATAAGGATAGTGTTGACAGATCAACTTCCAATTCATTACGTCGCGGCGTTCCCCCCGCCGAGCAGCGTGAAATTGATAAACAGATTTCGGATTTCAAAACATACTTTCGCTTTAGATCCTTTACATATTAACAAATATATCGGAAATTCTATTTGATATAATCGAAAGTTTAAGCTTAGTTTTATAAAATTGCTCTTACAGTCTGCAAAAAATAATAAGCCGGATCCAATTCGAAAATTAAGGAACAACGCAATCATCAACATTAACTGAAATAGATAATTAGATAATTTTAGCTTATACGTCCATTATACATAAAACGCGCACGCGAAAACGTATTCTGCACTTGCGCACACTCATATGCGCAGTCGTAAAAGGTCTTACGCGCACGCGCAAACACCTATGCGCATGTGTCAACGCGGCGCATGCGCAGAAAGTTTTTAGTTTTGAGGTCCGGATTATAGATCATTCCGAATTAACGACTTTTGATTGTATATCCAAATGGAATTCTTTTGTGCTAAATAAGTAAATTAATATTTAATGATGCTATTTTATAAAGCACTATATTATCTAATTAAGTTCACCAGTTCTAATTAATTACCATGTCTTATTATAATCCCTCTTCCATGAACACACAAAAAGTTTTAAATGCAAACACACACATATACTATATATACACTCTTTTGCAAACAAATCGAAGCACCATGAAGGAAGTGGTTGTTTTTTATGAAATTGAATATGCGTATTGCTCATGCAAAGATAATAAAATAATTTAAAAAATCAAGGTCATAGTACCTGTTAACAGCTCACAATCACCCATTGAGTGTTCAAATTAGTAGTTGGTCAAATTGCCCTTGGCGGCAATGCATGCTTGAATTCGTCGAGGCAGTTCCTAATGTAATCCTGCGACACATTCTGCCAGGCATTAATCAGTTGCCGCTTTAGATCTGCGATATTTTGTGTTGCTCGAATCTGACGGCCTACCATGTCCCAGACATGCTTGACTGGTGAAAGGTCAGGTGACCTTGCTGGCCAAGGAAGAGTATCAACCACATGGAGATAGTCCAGAAATATGCAAGCGCTATGTGACCTGGCATTATCTTGTAGAAAAATGGCACCCGGATGACATGTCATGAAAGGTAATGTAACCAGCTGCAGGATGGTATCAACATATCGTTGAGCTGTTAAGATGTATGGAAGTTGACCTGCTGTCGTAAGAAATAGCATCCCACACTATCACACCAGGGGTTATGGCTGTATGCCTTTGTAAAAACAAAGGCTGATTGGGACCGCTGGCCCCCGTCCTCTCCAGCCACATACACGGGGGTCATCTGCTTCAAGACTTTAACGGGATTCATTGCTGAACACTATATGATGTCAGTCTGATGGAAGCCATGATGATCGGCTGTGACACCACTCCAGACGACTCCGCCGATGTTGTGGGGTCTAAGGCAAAGGCCTCTGTGAGCGGAACCCCGGCTCAGACAATCACTGTGAGATGGTGGATGGTACCACGGGAGGTATAGACGTGGCTGTAGTGCATTGAATAGTCGACAATGATACCGTTGGGGCATTTCGGGCCTGGTGAACAATCGTCCTACCTTGCCTCGCATTCGTGCTCCTTGGCCTTTTAGAGCCTACATTTCGTCAGCACTTTCCTTGTAGCAACCATTGCTGCCAACATCTTTGCACAGCAGCGTCTCTACGCTCAAGTGGCGGCCTATTGCTCGGTATAACCACCCAGCTTCACGCAACCCTGCAATGCAACCACGTTTGAAGTCGTTTAGTTGCCTGTAAGGTCTTCGATATCGTCGTAATGGCGTTTTTAGTTGCTTCTTTACGGAATTACAATGGTAGCAACATAAAAAGATAAAATTTCCACCTCTGTTACTGGTTTTATACTTTGCAAATTGTGCACTGAAATGTGCACTATGATTGCAATTCCTGTTCATTTGCCTTGAAACTTTAATCATTTGCACGTTCCATCGAGATGTTTTTGCATACCAAATTTCGTCACAATTGCAAAAGTCCTTCTTGGTGCTTTGATTTTTTTTTTCAAAAGAGTGTATATATATACCATATTGAAGCATTTAATAAAATTACTGAGAATTAAAATTACATATGAATTTCAGCTATTAAAATGTTTTGTAAGCCACCATTTAGCAAATTTTAAGGTTACCATACTTAGTGATTTGATCTGAAAAAAGATTCATGCATAATCTTTGAAGCTATCTTATATATATATTTAAAAAAAAGGGTCAGTGAAATATCTCTTAATTGATAATGTTGAAATACGAAAGAACCATAGGTTTCATGCAGCGATGCTTTTTCAAAAGAATTCCAAATTGACTTAACATTCACTTTATAATGCACAATTCAGATTACTGATCTGATTATATCATTGATATGAAATGTATTAATATTTAATTAGATAGTAATTTACATATTTTACGTCCTTATATAATTTTGTAATTTTCTTAAAACTTTTATACTAAGAAAAGTGTTTGTAGAACGGAAATAAGACCATACAAAAGCAAGCTCCACATCAGCAATCATAACTCATGTTGTTTTCACTGCACAGCGTTTATTTTCTCCATGTTATTTGAAGCAGTAGTTTTAAGTCAGCCCTCATCGGGGTAAATTTAAAAAAGTAAAACACACCGAACAAATAGTGTTTGTGTGTGTGTGAGGGGGATAAACTCAACTTTTTTTCCACGGCTACTGTTCCCATAGTACCAGTCACACTGAGTGACATAAAATAACATTGAAATTACAGTTGTATTCTTGAATTTAGCCCTTTCTCTTGTAAATCATTTTGGGGGCAGGAAACAGACAGTAACCTAACAAGTGCATTGCAAATGACAAAATATCATGGAAATAATCCAAGCATGTACCCAATAAATATTACAGCAGATTAAGTATAATTCAAAAATTTAAAATATTTTTTTTATTTATAAACATAGTACATTTCATGATATGCAATAAAGTCACTGGAATGTAACTACCATTAATGCTTAAACATCACAGCTATAAAAAATAGTTAAAATGAAGAGAAAATACCTTAAAGTATAAAATATGTCTCACTAAATAAACCACCGTCATTAAAAAAGTTATGTTCTGAAAGTTAATAGCAGAGACAACAAAATTTTCAAACTGATTTTCATAACATTCAATAAACTACATTATGAAAACAAAAACTAAAAAAAGGAGCACAATACAACCTATTACAAATAAAAAAGTGAAAGCCCATACTTGGTGCATTCTTTACGTGAAGAAAGCAGAACAGTCTTCAGTTTTTGTTCCAATTCAACATACGTTCTAACCTTATCTTCCAGTACACTTCTCATAAAACTTAAAAGAGAATTCTATTGCAAAATGTTTTATAGTTGGATGATTATTAAATTATAGCACAGCAATAGATAGTTATTTGGCTAGGTAGGTTTGTCTTTGAGGAAACTAACAGAAACACAGTCATAGTTACCTTATATTTAATTTCATAATAGTGTACTTTTTTCCTGTTCTTAGAAAATACATATAAAAAGGATTAACAGAAATAAAAGCCAGTATACTTCATTGTAAAATGATTTATGGAAACGTGAAAAGAAATAAGTGCAAGTAAATATTGACTGAGTTATCTATGCATACCTCTAGTAACACAGCTCTTTATTGTAATAATTATTATTTCTGAAATTCGATTTTTGCTCCTCCCCACAACCCTATACAAGTGACACTGAACTAGTCACTCATATGCAAAGCAATTAATTATATTAATTTTTCTAGTCTTAGAATTTCTCTGCATAATTTTTTATTAAAGATTATGATATTTCTATTGCTGAAAGATAACATATAAAAATATATTAATATTAGAATATAATAAGTTCAGACAATGATATCGGGGTTTAACAAAAGTTTCCTGCCACCAGAAATACTGTCTGTGCAAACAGTTCGCATTGGCCTCTTTAATTATATTTTGATAAACGATTTTTAGCATTTGAAAGAAAGAGACTTGCTTTGGAACACTGTGTTGTGAAATTTGTAAAAAAATATCATCATCATGTACAAGGTGTCTGAAATGAAACTATCACGCTACAAGTTTTAAAATCATCCTTTACTTCCAGTTCCATTGCAAAAAGTCATCTACAGAATGTCACCAAATCATGTATACAGCTTTAGGTACAAAAGTTGTATCATGTGACACTAAAAGTTTGGTACCGAAAGTTCAAAAATAAGGACTATGACGTTCAAGAAGATGAAACTTCTTGAATCACTTGTGATGAAAATTGGATTTACTTTAACAACACAGGCTGAAAGGGGGTGGTTTGCTTCCCGTGAACTCATCGGCAACAAAGTGCAAGTTGATTAATGAAAAGATATGCTTTTTACCTGGTGGGGTTGCCATGGTTTTATCCACAAAGAGTATCTGGATAAAGGTAAAACCCTCGACAGTAAGGTGTACAGAGAGATGCTAGTCCGTGTTGATGCTGCTATCAAGCAAAAACATCGAACTCAGTTTCGGCGCAAAAAGGTAATGTTCCATTAAGATAATGCAAGCCTGCATGTTCCATTAAGATAATGCAAGCCTGAATTCACCAGCTGGACTCTGTATGGATTTGAGTATGGATTTGAATGGGATCTTTTGCCACACCCACCATATAGCCCAGACAGCACTCCTTCAGACTTCTACCTTTTTTCACATCTGCAACTATATCTTCCATTCTGCATAAGACACCCAAAATAAGAATGATCTGTTTTTGGACTCACGGCCACCAAGTTTCTGGGCCAAAAGCTTTGAAAAACTACCAAAACATTGGCAGAATGTCATAGATTTGGGTGGTGATTACTATCCACACTAAAAGTCTGCTTTCATCTCTCCCCCCCCCCTAATTTTACTAAGAACGTTTTTTGGCAGAAAACTTTTGTTACAACCAGATACTAACACATGTTAGTCAAATATCATCAAAGCAAAATAATCAAATCATACAAGAAGATATGAATGCATTGATAACTTTTAGCTACTGAAATAAGACATTCAAGTGAAATGAAGTTATATATAGCACCAATTCCTTGTATTTTAAAAAACAATAAAACATTTTAAATTATGGAATAAAAAACATAGAATATTATATCTCAATAATGTAATTAAGATACATATTTTAAACAGATGGCACATTATTTTATATAAGCAACAAATTTTGAAATTCCTATTTTTGTACACTTCCTACTGTATTTTTAAAATTTCAAAACCTCTAACTGGAAGTAACAACACATATTTTAATAATAATAATAAAAGGAATAAAATTGCACTTTTTAAAACATTAACCTTACCTTCCAGCAGGAAATTGAGGCAATATTCGTTTCTTTAAAAAGTAAATATTCTTGAGGAGAATTCATGCTCTAGTATAAAAGTCAGTGAATTCTAAAATATTTGTTGACCTTAGTTAATAAAAAGTATACAGATACATAAAGCTTTATTCAATGAAATTACTGCAATTGTTTTACTGTATTCTAGACAAATGAAGAATTTGAAATGACTACTTAGAAAAACTAATAAAAACATACATCTAATGATCATCTGTCACAAATAAAAACATTTAAGCTGAGTACAATAATTATACGGTATTATACAACTCCACAGTAATTATACAGATTTGAAAACATTTGCTCATTTTATTAAAAGGAAGTAAAAAGATAATCATATATGTATCACACAAGCATTTTTAACTATTAAATAAAAATGTATGTAATATTTTTGTTGAAGCGCGCTACTTAAAAAAAAAATTACCACAATAAAAAATACTCTTAAAAAATTATTTTTATGAATACTCATATTCAGATGTAGCATTTATAAAAATCTCAAATTTGCAGTAAAGTTTTACACACCACGAGAAAACAGTTCTAAATGGTCAGTTTCTTTTCTTATCAGAAATATTTGCTTTCTTAAATTGATACAAGTTAAATAAGCCTAGTTTAATATCAAATATAAATCATTTATGAACAAAAATCCATTCTACAATTAAAATGATTTTTAGTAAGCACCTTTCAAAAAAATAATTTCAATTAACAAACATACAATTGTGCATTAGTTCAAACACAGTGGAAATCAGTTTATACATATTTGATTCAATTCAGCCTAATATGAATGCAAAAAATAAAGAAAATTGGGCAGAAATATAAAATATAAATTGAAATTTATGCATACGTATTTTAATATTTATATATTTAAATTACATAATGAAGAACATGTAAACTACTGCCGATTCAACAAAAATGACAGATAAAGAAAATAAGATGTTTTGTTGCTTATGTAGTATCCCGTCGACCATATCCCCCTTTTTTATTATTAAACCATAAAAATTGACAAGAGTTGTGCCAATCATTTCTGGGGAATTTTGAAGGAACTGATGCCTCTTTATTTAATTAACAATCCATATTCGACCTGTTTCATTTTCGCACTTTGTCAACATGCTTTTATTAGTTTTTGCTATTTTCAACAATCTATTACTGCTTTGTCACCTAGTCAACTGACTATAGAGTGTTTTTTGATGGAGAATCCACTAACTTACTGTTCTATAGCAGGCTATAAACATAATAAAATAATCCACTACTTACTGTTCTATAGCACACTAGTGCCAAATTTTAATAATTATTTTTTTTTTCTTTCAAAATGCAGCAATAACAATTTACATTCTGGTATCCATAAAACCAAAATGTTGTTTATTAAGAATCAATTAAAGTTATATCAAATGAAAGCACAGATGTTATGAGAGTGTTGTTATATTATGCTTATCTAAAACTAGTGCTAAATCGCACTGCTTTGTGACAATTTCATGGTCAACGGGATAATACATAAGTACTGATATTTCCGTTTATTTGAACTGCAGAAAATTTCTAAGCCACATATTTTTTAAATATTAGAAAATTGTTCTGCTTTAAAGAAATAGAATCTTCATAGTTTGAAACATAAGTTGATTTCTGCATATCACAGCAATATTTGAAATTTAAAGGAACAGTAAGTTTTATTTTCTTCACTATATTTAGAACTTTCAAAACTTTTATAAACAATTGATTACAATATTTCTTGTGTATAAAATTTACCATTTGAACTCCTTAAAGGCTGATATACATCATGCCTTAAAAATAATAAAAAATACAATATTTAAACTGTGTAATCTTTTCAACTAGTCAGTATCATGTAATACTGGACAGTAAGTAATAAAATACCTGAGATAGTTACAACTATTCCTAATTTAAATTTTATTAAAATGAATATCAATCAGGTTAATAAACTTTAAAACAGATGCATTCATTAACTTTTATCAATAAAAAATTAATTGCATATAAAGAGGAAACAGAGAAAATTTACACCGGATTAACTGAAAGTTTAGATACACACAATCCTACATTACATGATGGAAGGATTTTTAGAGAAATCAAGATGTAAATATTCAGCTATAAAAACACGGAGAATTTTGTTTAGATTGTCTATTGTAGAATGGTGCAAGCTTGCTCGGTTATCACTTTCTCGATGCCAAACATGTGGAAATGGGCTAGGTATAAGATGCACAATGGGAACACCTAAAACATAGTTTGCCTTTATTAGCTACTTTTTTTTATTATTACATTTTACAGAACAATAATAAGAAGTTCAAAATTACTTTAAAGGTAAATTTCCTTACAAAAATTATATTTGAATTCTGTTAGAGATAAGCTGCCTTATCAATCAATTTTAACTCAAGCAAAATATAACACTCATCTAGCAAAAAAATATATTTTGTGTAGAAATTTATAGCATTTGAAATATACTGATAGTTTTTAACAACTAAGGAAACAATTACATCCATAATAATAATAATAATAATTAAAAAAAAAAAGAATACATTTTAGTTAATACTTTATTAAATAATTTCATATCTTCATGATTTACATCTTTAAACATGACATTTTAACCCTTTAACTGTCAAGTTATTTTGATGATTTCGGTACACAAATTGTCAAATTTTTTTATTGGAAAAACCAAATGTAGCCAAAATAAACATCTCCCGATATATATTCGGGTATGACAATACGATGATCTCGGGCATGACAGTTGAAAGATTAATTCAGTTAATCAACTTACTGAGGAATTAGCTACATGAATTTTCTTCTAAAACAAAGCAATAACTTAAAATTGGATTAATTTTTAAAATGAAAGTTTCAAAACTTTTATTTTAAAAATTAAATATATATATATATATATATATATATATATATATACACTTTATTATATTAAATATAATATTTTTAAAATAAGAGTTTAAAAACTGTTCACCACATTTAAAGTTATTATTAAATTTAATAAATATATAACAAATCAACTGGGTCATAATCAGCCTATATTCAATGAACAATTTGAAAAACCAAATATGGCATCAATCAGAATATTTTTTTGAGTACAGTTTTGTTAATTCAATTACCAAAGATAAAATTCTGTATGTTTTACGCTATACTGATACAACACCCTAAGTTTACTGAGTTTTTGCAGACATTTCATATAGTTTTGGAACTTAAGGATTGGTCTTCCCCCCCCCCCGTGTCTACAAAATCCTTGCTTTTAACAATGACTGGAATTAGTTATTTTATGTGGCCTTCTTAGTAATGACAGAAACTATAGTTATTTAGTTTTCTGAACATAGAAAATTTTCTCTCAAGCTAATTTTCACTATTCAATAAATAAATGACCTTATATAATGCTAAAGTCATATTTAGTTATTACAATTCAACATTCATTTTCTGTAGGTCTAGTGAAAGGCATGTACAGATTTGAAGTTGCTTAGTGTTATTATGATTAATTAAAATATAGGTCACTGAAAAAGATTTTAAGCATTTTTTATTGGAAAATGTATTTGAAGTAGCTTGGCAATTTATAATGCAAAGTAAACATGAAAATACACTTTTTATCATATAATTAATAAATTTCAGTATGGATTGCATTGCACATATCAAAGTTGTACTCTGTTTCCATCCATGTATATTGGACCATCTGTGGTATGATTGCATTAGAGGCAACAGATGATGGACTTTTGTAACAAGTGGCTACGTTCCATAAATTTGTCAAAAACGGTGTTAAATCATTATAATAATTTTAAATTCTGCATACTACACAGTATAATTTAGGCCTTTTTGGTCCTTATGGTCAAAACTTTCTAATTATTTTGATACAAAAGCTAAGATTCACCGATTTGAGTATACTATAGTGATTTAAAATTAGTATTTTAAAATTAGTGATTTAAAATGTTTTAATCAATCATATATTTTCCAATGGTGCAACATATTTCTGAAATGATTTTAAATAAGCCTTCTTTTTACCTGGCTTATCACTCTGAAATCTTCTGGATATTTTACTAAGCACATAATATGAAAAATTTTAGAGCTTACTTTACTGTTATTTATGTGTATCTATATATATATATATAAGACAGCCTACAAATATTTTTTCCAGGAAGCATATATTTTGATGATTTGCTTAGTGAAAACTTAATAATTAAACTTAACAACTTGAGATATACTTTATATATACAGTCAAACGTCTTTAATCCGGACGTCCATAATCCAGAATGATCTATAATCTGGACATCAAAGTTACAAACTTTTTGTGCATGCGCATAATACGTTTAACGCATGCGTGTTTAATGTATAATGGACGGTATAGGCTAAGCTAAAAATATCTAATTATCTATTTCAGTTAAAGTTGCAGATTGCGTTGTTCCTTAATCTTCGAATTGAACCCGGCTTATTATATTTTTCAGACTGTTAGAGCAATTTTACAAAAGTAAGCTTTAACTTTCGATTATGTCAAAAAGAATTTCCGATTCTGGAGCTGCCAAAGGATCTACAAAGCGAAGGCATGTTTCGATGTCCATCAAACAAAAAGTTGAATTGCTCCAAAAAATGGATAAAGGCATATCCTTTGTTTCTCTAACCATTCTGAAATCTGCTTATAAATTTTACGCTGCTCTGCGGCGGAAGGGGGGAACATCACGGCAAGCAATGAACTGGAAGCACTATCCTTATCTTCAGGGCAGATGTTTTTATTTTATTCGGCTTATAATTCTTTACTAAATGTATTATTTCATCTCGATGTACTCCATCTTTGATATGATTTAAATCAAATTCCTCGTCATTATAAATATCATGACCGTAATTTCGACTATGCGTAATGTATGCTTTACGAATGCGCGCGTTGGAAGAAATGTTTAATAAAGTAAACAAATAAATATTAAACTTTTTTTTTTTATTTTGATACCCTTTAGATGATAATTGCTCTTTATTTCATAAATTATGGTTTCATATTTTTAATTTTATAATTTCTGCCATCTTACCAGATTTCAACTGATGATCTATAATCCGAAAAAACCAATAATCCAGAATCACCGAAGTCCCAACGAGTCTGGATTAAAGACTTTTGACTGTATATGAAATTCAAATACGCTCAGAAGGCCTAAATGGGGAGCTTGCATAATGCTCTACATAATCCTCATAGACAGTTTTGTTTTTCTTACTCAACAATACAGATGTATATTTTGATCTTAATCACATACATAATTAAAACACAAAGCTAATTTTAAATAAATATATAACTAAAAAAATTAACTGAAATTTATTTTTTAAGATAAATATTTTAATGACCAATATTTATTCTTGATGCTAGGGAAAATCTATTTACAAAATAACAACTCATTAAAAAGAAATATGCTATATATTTAATGCTATAAATAAACTTTTAAACCCAGTATTCAATTTTATTATTTCAAACCTTCACTGCATCATTTCATACTTTCTGTTTTTCAAACAGAAATTATGTATTTTGATATTGATGGAATAAAATATTTGCATTGTAATCAAACAAATTAATTTGATCATATATCGTATATGTAAGGAATTTTCACATTCTCCATGCATGCTCTTATGATGTAAGTGGTAGCATGTCTAGCTAGCAATTGAATGATCCATTATTTGTATTCTTACTCTGAAACATCCAATGTCTTTGCAAATACATTAAACTTCAACAATTTAAACAAATGAAAAACCTATTAAATCTATAACAAAAACATAAATGAAATTACCAACTTTTCAAATACAAGAGACTTTGCTAGTGCTTTAACAATTAGAGTTTTATAAGTTTTAATTTTTTTTAAATATTTACCTTTTCTCATAAATGGTATATGATCATCCTCCACAAATGCTAATGTAGATCTACTGTCAAAATACTGAGTTCTACTCTCTGGCGGCTCAGCTTCAACTAGACCAAGACTGTTCAGTCTATGTTCTATGAATTGAAAAAGAAAAAAAAAAAAAAAAAGAAACTATATTAAAGTGTAGAAAATTATTCTATATTATATGAATGCTTAATGTCATTGATATATAATTTTAACTAAAATGCCTGGATTATTAACTGTTAACAGTTTCAAAGACAAACTATTTAAAAGAATTTATTACTGAAAAAAAAAAAAAAAAAAAAAAAAAAAGGCACATTTTATACATTTGATTAGATGGTAAATGAAAACATTATACTTGTAAAATGCAAAAACATATATTCTCCCAAATTTCAATAAAGTAAAACCAGTGAGCAAAATAGTGAAATTATGCAAGTACTTTGTCTTAAACTATGAAATCTGTTACTTTGTCCATACAAACCATGAAAGGGGGCTAAGTTTCAACCACTAGATTTATCCATAAATCATGTGGTTTTAAGGTATCACACTGTTATGCAGATAGATGCACTTTTTGCTTTATGTGTGCTTTGCCTAACCAAATAATCCATTTTAATCCAAAGGAAGATTTTTGTGGAAATGCCATAAAACGTTTCATTTTTACAGTTATCCACCAGATATGAAAAGAGATTTTCATGTTACGTCTGAAAGTTAAAAGTTATATGCCTCAGTTATATCTTTTGAAATTTCAGAAGTATACATATATTAAATATAACTGCCAACTTACTTTAAAATTCTAATGATTTAAAATTAAATTCACATTGGCACTCTTTAATGAAACACTACAATATTTCCACAGAAGCAATCTAATCCATGTATGTAACAACATCTGAAATATTCCTAGATATGTTTAGTTCCAAGCATTTCAGATCAGATAAATACAACATATAATATAATCACCAACGAAACATCCTCCAACCTATACCCATTTTGTAACATTCCACTACATACTATATTGTTGTCCAGCAAGAAAGGAAGCTTATGTCACTGGAAGACATGTCCCTGATGTTAGTAAGTTATAATACAAAATATTTAGCAAGATTCTGTCTAGTTATAAAATCACTTTTACAGAGAGGCCATATAGCAAAGATAACCACTTTAGTTTTATTTAAACACTGCCAAAGTTAATCATATGCCATCAAGAAGTACAGGCCACATCAATCCTTTTAGGTAAATCATAAGGAATCATCCTTTGCTCTTATATTATGTCCCCAAAGCCAGCAATGTTCTGGTCGGTCAATGAAGTACCTTAATAACTTTAATTTAGAATTAATGATTGTTTTACATTTTTATACAGAAAGAGGAGGATCTGACTAGAGTAAAAGAACATTAATTTGACAAGCTAATCTGCAGATTGATTGCCTGGAATTCCACACTAGCCTGGGATCAACTGACGAGCAATCATTTTCCAATTATTAGCTAGACGACTAATGATTTCTTTCTCAACTGTTGAAGATGAATTATTTGTATTTACTACAATTTGAATGACAGCAAAGGAAAGACTATCTTGCTGATCAAGCTTGTATATTTAAAACATCAAAAAACTGCCAGAAAATTGCACTTATTCCACTTTCTGTATTGGCATCTTCAGATTCATCAGCATATATGTTTTACCATTCAGAAAGCGAATATTTTTCATAAGTAAGGGCCATTGCAAAAGATTTCAATTCTATTTCAAAATGAGATCTACAACAAATGTGTTAATGAAAGACTGTCTATTACTGGGCATATTAAGTTTAGAGTTGATATCATTTGTATACTTTATATATTAAAGCTATTCACAAGTTTGTAACTATTCCAATGATGATTACTTTTTCAACACAGTTTTTTTCTAAAATTAAAAACTGCTTTACATTTACAGTCAAAGTTTTAATAGGAATTTGCAATTTCATTGCTTGCATCAAAGTGGATTTTGTTGCCACTGTAATTTAACAAAAATGCAGTTTTATGTAATACTAAGTTTAGACAGAGTAATGTCAGAGTTCTACTGAAATTAAGCACACATAATCAACCTGAAATGTGGTTTGTTTGCATTACTTGAAACTTTTTGCGATCTTCCCCATCCAGTTTCAGCAAATCATCTTTGCAGTTTCATCCTTTTTAAAGTCATAAATAATTGTCAAACGTAAGGCAAATTTTAAGTACTTGAAAGAGATTAGTCATTACTAAGTTTTTAACTAAAATAATTGTCAAGTGCAAGGTGAATTTTCAGTACTTGACAGAGTCTTTATTCTAAAGACCTTGGAGAAAGCTTTCTGTTACTCATGTTAAAAAGCTGAAAACTAATCTTCTCATGATTTACAATTATTTAATTTCCTCTTATTATTCAACAAGTTTGAACAATGTTTTATTTAGGAAGTCTTCTACGTTTTCTATATTTGATTTTATAGATCAAATCACATTCCTTCCATTTCCAAAAGAAAATTTAATTTTAAGTTTTTCAAATATTATTCATATCTATAGCAAATATGATCGTAAAATCCCCCAATTTACCACACACTAAAGCTTCATTATATATTGCTCACTTTATTAAGCCAGAATCAATATATCACTCATTCATTAAACAAAATGCTTGTTAAATTACTGTCTATAGCAGGGTTTCTTAAACTTTTTGAGACCCCATTTATCACCGAGATTTTTTTCACGACCCCCAGGACCCCATAATATTTTTTAAAAATTTTGTGGGATCCCCATAACTATTGGCAAATCCAACATAAGTATTGTGTGTGAGTGAAACTGTCAATTTTTTCACTTGTACTGTAATATACTATTGCAGTTTTATGTCATTAACTTTAATTTCTACTTTTAAGCCATAGAACAATGTGAAAATTTTAAATAAGTAACAGACAAAATGACAGCGTCACGTGCAAATCAAGGAAAATGAACGTTTATATTATAAAAAGAATGCATCGAAACATTTTCAGTTTTTTTTTCTTTGTCTGTACTGTCCTATCTTTATCTATTTTCAGATACATTGTGTAAAAATATTCGGTAATTGTAAAATTATTATAATACGTTAAAGAAATATCAAAACTGCTAAAATTTTTGGTGACCCCCTACTGTTTAAGAAACCCTGGTCTATAGAATTTCAAATATAAGTTTTTCTCAATTTCAAATGTCATCGTGTCAATATACCTTTTAAGAAAATATTTTCATGCTCAGAAATCACATATATTTAAAAAGTTTCATTCACTGCTTACAAAAATTGCATTAGCAGGTAAAAAATTAATTATTTTCTTGGTGAGGATGAATATGAATGTGCATTTTTGGTACAGTTAAGGAACGTGATTTATATATCAGCAAAAATATATCTCTCTGATATAGCAACAGAACTCCACTCACAATCTCAATAACAACTTGAATACTTTTCAAAAGTAATAAAAATTAAACGAAAATAATTTTTTTTAACTATTCAGTTTGGTAACTATTTCTTGAAATTTTCATATTTATTCAAAACACTTCATCTAAAAAAAAACTTACCAATATCAACAAGTTGAGAATATAAACCATATGTATCAGGAAAATAGCTATAAAATTTTGGATTAGCTGTTCCAATCAAGTCTAATAGCACCATGACATCCTAAAAATAGGTAAAAATTATACACATACATAATTACATACAGTACATGTAAAAGTTCACATACGAGATATACTTCTTTACTGTAATTATATAAGGAACTCAAATTAAAAGTATACCAAAAATTACTTATTGGAAAATTTCAGGCATTCAGTTAAAGGAAAAGAATAGGTAAAAGTAATAATAATAAATGAAATGAAGGGATAATAAGATACTAAATTCTAAAAATCAGCAAATGATTAAGAAATAAAAAAATCTTCAATGATAAAGAGACACACATTGAACTAAAAGTAATTATATAGTATAATGTATTGACGGTTATATGACCGAAAATATATAATGTATTGACTATTATTTACAATCTTAAGATTAAATAACAGTACTTTTATATTTAAAGTGTGAAATTAAAAAACAGATACAAATAATTATCTTTCCTATTGATTATGTACAATTAAAAGAACTTTATTTTTTCTCATTAGAATTTGTAGATTTTTTTTAATAAATATTTTAAATTCTTAAGAGAAAAAAATAAAAGACATGGCAAACATGTAATGTACTGACTGTTATTTACAATTTTAAAATGAAATAAGAATATTTGGTACTATTCCATTTTGAGGACCGTAAAAAATTGCCAAACTATTGTTGATGCCAGTGCTGCCAAAAATAATTGCGGCAGCCCTAACACAAGAAAGGAAGTATTTTGATTTTATAACAGTAAATAACTAAGATTATTGTTTTAATTTAGATGAAAGGTTAATTTCATATAATACTTTTTTATTATTATAATTTATATAAAAAAGGCTAAACATAACTGAATGGAAGCATAAGAGTAAATAACTATTTCAGAACATTATTATAATTTATATAAAAAAAGGCTAAACATAACTGAATGGATTCCTGCATCGCTATTTCGCTACCGCGTTATTGCTGAAGCATAATTTCATCTTGTTGGTTGTTCAAACATAATTTTCTATAATGAATGATGTCTTTTCTTTGAGAAAATTCTATTGCAGACTTTTCGTCATAGGCAATTCCCAAATTGTCAAATCAATAGGATATCAAAAAAAGGATTTAAAAATTAAACTAGTATTTCAATGGCATCTTAAGAAATCTAAAACTATTTAAACTTACGCAATTTGAAATCAGTGCATACGCTACAGTTGTCGCTCTGTTAAATGGGTGCGTTTGCTAGATTTCGCGCTTTTGCATACATTTTCGCTGCAGTTTTTTTACAGCCCTCAAAACGGAATAATACCAAATATTCTTATATTAAAATTTTCAAAAGAAAAAAAAATGAAACAGTATGTTTCTTCTTTCTTCATTATACATTACTTGAGTAGCGAATTTTTTCAGGAATTATTTACTCTCCTAATGATTTGTTTTTTGAACAAATGAAAGTTATAAGCACTTAAAATCTATGCCTTTAGAAGGTCTGGACAATCTTCAATTACTTATTAATAAGTTATACATTTTCTCTTAAAACACAAGCACAGTACAAAAAATAAAAATACAATGATCTAACTTTATGAGAAATATTTTATCTTGGATTATATTTCCAAGTAAATATGTTATTAAATCTTCTGTTCTGAGAAGACAAAATTAATTCATCATACAATTAAATGTCGCAAATGATGCATCTGAAAATTACACCATGAAAGGAAGACAGGCAAGATATATTTTCAATACCTTGTTTTTATCTATTCCATTCATTTCATATAAACAATAGCAGAGTGCATCTTCAAATCTTTTATGAACATATCTAAACAATATCATTAATTTTACTACAAATCTTGAGAGTGTGACTAAGCATGTGTGAAAGAGAGGGGAATTAATAAATCCATACCATCCTATCTAAATATGATGCATAATCTTTTGAAGTACAATGACGACCATCATTCAGGCCATGGGGAAAAGGTGTCATTCTGTTCCACTTTGCTGCCAAATGTCTGGAACCATACAAAGAATCTGTATGACTCCACCGTTGAAAGGCTTCTTCTCCATCAAAAAATATGAACTGCAGTGTCAATTGATTGTTCTAAAATAATAAAAAATTTAATACAATAAACATAACTGATAATTACATTTAAAAGCTCAATTTTGTTTTTACTGACTATAGAATGTTATTTGCACATTAGAAGAATGTATGTTAAGAAGAAAAGAATATGTACTTTGTATCTTTCTCTCTTCTGATCAAACTACATATTCAGCCTATGATGATCCCATGTAATGTGATGAAAATGTGAAGACAGATATATTTTAATTCTTTTGGAGCTGAATATCGCTGTGCATGTCTAACTGGTACTTACGTATTAGCACAATTCATCTTAATAGAAGTTGCCAAATTTTTAATGCATGCCAGGTTCTGGCAACCATACTTTAACAACTCTTGTCAAGTAAAATCACTATTTTACATGCATTCTTTTCATTGTGTATTCCAAGTTCCAATGGTTTTTATAAACAAATTGTGATTTTTTTTTTCCCTTGAACTCAATTTTAAAATACATGCTTGTGGAATTTACTAACAGTAAAAGAAACTGCAATAAAATTTCAACTTGAATACAATACTTTGCCTCAAAATCTCTAAATGAGAGCAATTGCTTCAAATCTGTTGTTAAAAATGTTAACACAGAAAATTAAAAAATGCCCCTTTGCATCTAATTTAGAATCTGAAACCTTTCAGATTTTTGTTGACATTTTTATAATCATTATAAACTTGTTACAGTATAAAGGAGGCTGTAAATTTTTGGAGTAAATATATGATGATATGAATTGTGTTTTAAAATTAAATACTGGTATCTGTCTTACTAAATATAACTGATATAACTGTAATCGATGCATGTACATTCTAGACTCTTAAAAAAAAATACAGAATTGCTAAATTAAGATGCAACAAGTGAATAACAGTTTCAGAAGTTGGCGAATGCAGTAAAAAGAATAAATCCAGGAAAAACACCTAGAATTGATAACTTGCTGAAAGAAATTACACAAGAGGTACACACTGTCGGTCAAGCAGGAAAAATATTTCCAAGGACAGTTTTAGATGGAAAAGATTTATCTTCAGAAGGAAAAAAAAAAAAAAAAAAGAGAGGACAAATAGTTGAGTTCTTTTAGTTTTGATCAAAATAACGGCTTTTGAGGTGTATTGAATACTAAAATCGTTAAATGGCTTTTCTTTCTGAACAAAATGATATATTTCAACTTACATTTACAAAAAATTAAAAAGGGGCCCTTAGGGGGTCCGATAATCGAAAGTGTTTGGGGGGCGTTTCTTGCTACCATAGCGTGAAGTATGCTTGTTATATATTATCTAAAGCATAACATAACATAACTTTAAAAATGCAACATAATTTTTCAGCTGAGTTGCAGAGTTTCATTTTTCAATTTTTATTTTTCACCGAGTTACAGCTCCTTATAACATTATATTAGTTCAATTATAGCATGATACAGTTTACACATGCAATGTTATATTTGTTTCATTTTTTCATAAAATAATAATATTGAATTTAAATAACTTTCAAAAGCTTTTTACCCATATTTTACTTAAGTATATTCAGCTGGGTGGCATAATCCAAGCACATAAAGATGTAAATTTTATTTTTAAAATATAAAATTTGTAGTGAAATTTTAAACATTTTTGATTTCAGAATTACATAACTATATTCAAGCACCCATCTCTATAGATGCACATCAAAGGTAGGCAAAAATAGATGAAATAAACAAAAATTAACAATTGGCAGCTACCTGGAAAAAAATCCCTTAGAGAGGTACTGGTATAAAATTCAAGTATATACTAGCCCTCAAAATTCAAGATTTTGCTCTACTCTTAGTTTTGTGTTTTTAAGTCCATAAGTTACAATTTATGCACCCCAATTTAAATTATTTTATATACCGCCCCTCAAAGGGTTAAATCACATGATAAAATAAAATATACAGTCAAAAGTATTTAATCCGGACTTGTTGGGACTTTGGCGATTCCGGATTATAGATCATCAGTTTAAATCCGGTAAGATGGCATGCAGAAATTATAAAATTAAAAATATGAAAATGGAATTTATGAAATAAAGAGCAATTATGATCTAAAGGGAATCAAAATTTACAAAAAAAAGAATGCTTAATATTTATTTGTTTACTTTATTAAACATTTCTTTCAATGCGCATGCGTAAAGCATACATTGCGCATAGTCGAAATTAGAAAATTGCAACCAGAAAACTACTTGATTTGTATTCGTGATATTTAAAACGACGAGGAATTTGATTTAAATCATATCAAAGATGAAGTACTTCGAGATGAAATACACATTTAGTAAGGAATTATAAGCCGAATAAAATAAAAACATCTGCCCTGAAGATAAGGATAGCGCTGACAGATCACCTTTCAGTTCATTGTGCGCCGCAACGTCCCCCCACCCCACCGCAGAGCAGCATGAAATTGATAAACGTATTTTGGAATGGTTAGACAAACAAAGGAGCCTTTATCCATTTTTTGCAGCAATTCCACTTTTTGTTTGATGGACATCGAAACATGCTTTTTTCCCTTTGTAGATCCTTTGGCAGCTCCAGAATCGGAAATTTTATTTGACATAATCGAAAGTTCCAACTTACTTTTATAAAATTCCTTTAACAGTCTGCAAAAAATAATAAGCTGGATACAATTCGAAGATTAACGAACAACGCAATCTGCAACATTAACTGAAATAGATAATTAGATAATTTTAGCTTAGCTTATACCGCCCGTTATACATTAAACGTGCATGCGCAAAAAGTTTGTAGCTTTGAGGTCCGAATTAACGACTTTTGACCGTACAAGTAATAATATTTTTAATACATATAAAATAAAAAACAGAACTAAAAAACTAAAAAAGACATGCTTTAAAAAATTCATAGAATTAAAAATTTTACTCTAGTTAATTATGCAGAAATATAAGGCTATTACATCTCATTCTAGAATGCACATCAATAGCGATAAAAGCAGATAATGCGCGATTCAAAAACATTTATTCAACAACAAAATATTAAATATATTTTAACAAGGGATAGGTAAATTTATGCAAATTAGCGTGATGAAAAGAATGAGGCTGAGCTTTACATATTGCTATAAAAGAAATTTAATATTTATCTTTTTATGATATAGATGTTGTTCCATACTAACACTGATAGGAATTATTTAGGCATAATATTAGAAAACAAGAGAATTAAGGACCATCTAACATTTTTCTTAATAAATAACTATCACACAGTATTTAATAAAATACATTTAATATTTTATTTTATATAAAATTTTTAAAGACCAAAAATATATATTATAACCTTTTCTTTTTGTTCTTTTAATGCTGAATCAAGCATTTTTGCTGCATGAATCATCATAGCACAAGGTACAGCAGAATCAGTAGCACCTAAAAATGTATACTCTCGGTTATACAATGAATCATAATGGCATGCTATAGTGAGGCGACGACAAGCATAAGGATTCAGAGTGGCTACAATATTGGAAAATGGTTTCTTTCCATGAGGTGTACGATCAGTAAAAGAATCTTCTTCCACAGTCCATCCTAAATTTTTCATTTCTGAATTTATATACTGTAACAAAAAGGTATGATGAGAACTTGAAAAGACTAGATATAGTAAAATATTGCAGAATATACATACATTACTTTTATTAAAGTATAAACTTCAAAAGAATTTATTCAATTGTGTTACTTTTTTGATTAATAAAGCTGCAGTCAAAAGTCGTTAATCCGGACTCGCCGAGACTTCGGCGATTCCAGATTATAGATCATCAGTTTAAATCTGGTAAGATGGCATGCAGAAATTATAAAATTAAAAATATGAAACCGTAATTTATGAAATAAAGAACAATTATGATCTAAAGAATATCAAAATTTACAAAAAAGAAAAAGCTTAATATTTATTTGTTTACTTTATTAAACATTTCTTTCAATGCAAGTTGTTTAAGTTGTTTCGTTTCATGTGATAATACTTTCTCTTTAATTCTATTAAACAGACATAATTTCTTGTTTAGTTACAATGTTCCGCTGTTCAAGTCCTATAATTGCTGTGTCGAGAATACCGACTAATTTAGATATCGAAATTTTTTCGTTTTCAATAACCTCTGTGTCACTTTCTTCACTATCGGAAGCGAATTATAATGACAAGGAACTTGATTTAAATCATATCAAAGACGGAGTACATCGAGATGAAATACTGCATTTAGTAAGGAATTATAAGCCAAATAAAATAAAAACATCTGCCCTGAAGATAAGGATAGTGCTGACAGATCAACTTCCAATTCATTGTGCGCTGCGGCATTTCCCCCGCCCCGCCGCAGAGCAGCGTGAAATTGATAAACAGATTTCGGATTTCGAAACATACTTTCTCTTCGTAGATCCTTTACATATTAGTAAATATATATCGGAAATTCTATTTGACATAATCGAAAGTTTAAGCTTACTTTTATAAAATTGCTCTAACAGTCTGCAAAAAATAATAAGCCGGATCCAATTCGAAGATTAAGGAACAACCCAATCTGCAACATTAACTGAATTAGATAATTTTAGCTTAGCTTATAACGTCTGTTATACATTAAACGCACATGTGTAAACGTATTATGCACATGCGTACACGCATATTCGCAGCCGTAAAGATCTTACGCGCACACGTAAATGCCTATGCGCATGCGTCAATGCAACGCATGCGCAGAAAGTTTGTAGTTTTGAGGTCCGGATTATAGATCATTCCAGATTATGGGTGTCCGAATTAACGACTTTTGACTGTACAAAGTTTCTGAATTACATCAACAACAGAGAAATTCACCTTATGCAAAAATTTTGAATAGGACAGATAAACATTTATGTTTATGTATTTACAGATAAAATTTAATTAGAGACTAATTGAATTAATTACAAAATGGTTTCAGGTTGAAGTTTTTTTTAACTGATAGCATAATTTTACATGAAATCAATAAATCAAATTTATAATATGCAAAATTATAAAAATAACTTTTTATATTCATACATTTCATAAATATGTACCATGGATAAGTTTTTGCATAAATGCTAACAATTCTAAACAATTTTACTCATGCACATATAATTTAATTGCAATTTAAGGGTGAAGAGTGCTCTAGTTTTTCAATAAATAGCTGATAGATGGGAAGCTAAAGAAGACTATACCTTTCGAACTGCTTCATGTCCATCTGTTCCGGGAACCCTACTAATTAAAATATTATCTAAGGTCCTATTAAAATCATCATAATTGCTAGTTGCCACAACTGTACGTAAAGGTCTATCTTGTAATCTTGATAATGTGTGATGCCACTAAAATTAAAATAAACAAAATAATTTTTACTTTTCTGTACACCAAATTATTAAGCATTTAATATATTAAATCCCTTCTTTAAATAATAAAATTGTTGATTTAATGAGAGAGAATAAACATATTATGTATGCGTATAGAATGCTCACTAAATTATCTTGAAATATTTGTCGACAAACAAAACAACAACAAAAAAAAATCATTAGGTCAAACTTAATAAATGGAAATTAAAAAAAAAAATAAATAAAAAATAAAGAAAGAAAGAAAGGAAGGAAAAAATGAAATTACAAAAATACTTTAAAGTATAAATGTAACAAAAGTTAAGTCTTTCAAAATGGAATGTTCAAAACCTTGAACATTCCAGAAAACAAAAATTAATGCAGCATGTCATAACACACAAAAGTTGATCAATTTTTTTTTTTTTTTTTTTTTTTTTTAAACTACTTACTTTTCTTGCTTGATATTAGCTGCTACAGTTTTCTACTAGTGCACTAGGTTTTATGAAGGTCATACATTGACATGTTAAAATCTGTGATTGGACAGACATGGTCTTCAGTATTTGATATCATGTAAATGGGAGTACTTAGTATTTTTTTATGCTAAGGGTGAGGAAAATATCTGTAGAATTATATAGTTGAGAAATGATTTAATTTTGTGGTAAACTTGCAACAAGCTGTAATGAAACATCTGAAATGCTACAGTATGAATGAGGTTAATGAAATATTTAAAAATACTTCAGGAAGTCAATAACTGAAGCACTTCTGAGCAAGTTTGGGCAGGTTACACTCAAAGACAAACAATGCAAAGTGACTATTATGTCTATTTAAAATCATTTACGTCCAGCCATGAAGAAGAAAAGACTGGGTTTTCTCAAAAAATTGTTGATTTTGCGAGAGGATAATGCCCAGCTATATACTGTTGCAACAGCATTGACAAAATTGTCCAAAATCAATCTGTCAGTACTAGAATACCCTACACATAGCCTAGATTTAGTGGCACAATTTTTAGCACTCCTGGGGCAGATTAAGGCTTTCAGAAGCCCTAAGTACTTAAAAGATTTTGGTGGCCAAATATTTTTTAATTTATTTATTTTTTAAATTCCTTCTCTCTCAATTTAGCTGTACTATGTATTCATATTGCATAATGGTTAAATACTGCCCTGGGAGACATTAACCTTGAAGAAACAATTATGTGAGAAGAGATTTTCAGATGAGGGGAACAAAACGCAAGGGGCCCCAGAACAAAAGTTGCCATGCCCAAAGGATGGCACAAAAATATTTATGTTTTTAAACTGTTTATAAAACACTATGAAATGTGAACTTCAATGTGAAGGATTCAAATTCCAAAAGGAATAAATAAATAAATAAATAATTGACCCACAGAATCATGGAATCACAGAAAAATCAGTATAAAAATGTTTAATCAGCCTGAGTACATCTCAGATATTCTTGATAATTTATGCATATCTTCAATACAATATTTTAATTATTAAAAATACATTCAGATTAAAATTTCCATCAAACAATATTTAAAATTGTTTACTTTTTTTAATCCACTTCTATATGATACTTTTAAAAACTGAATAAATTTATTCAAAATTACTGTACTTATATTTCTTGTCGAAACAACTTCTAAGTCAAAGCAGAATGATAGCAGTTATTTTAAATCTGCAAAATTTATTCTCATTAATTAAAATTAATTTAAATAAACATATATTGCTGTCTGAAAATTTCAGGTTATAATATAGCACTATGAAATTTACCATTATAAAGTTTTAAAAGTTTTTTTTTTTCTTTTTAAATATATATTTTTAAGGTTCTCTCCTGTTATCGGGACTGAATTGAGAAATATATGTATGTATGCATGTATGTATGTGCATAAATGTATGTACACATACATATAGGCACATATGTTTGTATATATTTACTAAACTAATGTTGATTATATTACCTCCTAATATAAAGTTAGTAGAATGTATCTGAATGAAGTAATCTAGAAGCATTGAAATTTAATCCCCAAAATAATATTTTTAAAGGAACTTGAACTTAAATCATGAAAAATTGAAATGTAAACTTTTAAAATGAAAATTAATAAAGTAAGTAATTATCATCATTGATCGGAAATTGGTTGACTTTTAAAGGGGAACAAACCGCCCCCTGTTCAATTAACAATAATTAATTAATGTGTAGGTGTTTTGTCTTTTATTCAAGTAAGAAGTCTGATACCAAACTGGCAATTTGAGTTAAAACCAAACTTGTAGAGTTTTAATCCAATTAGTGCGATTAAAGTGAGATGAATTACAGTGAAGTATTATAAAGAATTAATTTTGATACATGCATATATGAACAGATACATCCATACATATAGGCATACATACATTTCTGAATCCAGTCCTGATAACAGAAGAATAAAAAAAATTACCATCCGGATTTTTATACGTAAATTCCAGTTTAACTAATAAAAAAAAAATTTAAAAAATTAAGCTAAGCAATTACAAGGACTCTTCAGAATTAATCCTTTAGAAGTTCAAGGCAAATATATTTAAAATGAGATGTTCAAAATAACAATACCATGTGCTCAGAAAGTCAGCTATGACACTATTCAACCATAAATAAATGCCAAACTGAATCTTGTGGAATTATTTAGTACAGCAAAGGTTTAATTATTCAAAATGTAGGTGTGCATTTTTTCCCTTGGATCATTTGAGCATAACGCTTACAATAAATATTCAAGTAGCAATAGTTTCTATTTCTTCATGACAACAGGTCTGAAAACTGAAAATAAACACCTTAAAAGGTTTCCTTTGAAGTGCTTCATAAATAAAAAATCCTTTTTGGTTAAAAATTAAATGTTGGGTACTTGTTTAAAATTTAAATAAAATGGTTACTTAAAAATGTATTTGTTTAATCGATTTTAAAATTTTCTCATATGGTAATGCATGAATCTGATAACCCTGTTGAAACTGTTTTATAAACACTGATTTTTTTTCAGTTAGGCTTATAATATATAAAAAAAAAAAAAAAAAAAAATTAAATTAATAACTGTGCATGGGTTGCATTGAAGTGTAGTCTTGCATATCTACTATTATTAGCAACTTATAAAAAAATCTTATCCTACTTCAGCAACAATCATGCTTAATAGTATCTTTCTTGAAATAATACAATTAGACAGATTATATTTATTTTTTCATGTAGCTACATTATTTTCTGTATTAAGGTTAATACTAATATTTCAATTTCAGACCAAATGTTTCAAATGTCCCCAACAGTGAATACTCACACATTCATATATTTTAAATAAGCAAATATGTTGGTTAAAACTGAAAAAATGACATCTGTTCCTCAACATCTGAAATTAAAATTCAGAAATATAGGAGAAACCACCTTTCAGTAATACAAAACAGGATTTTCAATAAATCTGCAGCAATCATAGCAGCTAGTTATTCATCAATAAATAATTACAAATCAATAGCCATCTGCTTCAAATTTATATCACATCTATAAAAAAATATTTAGTTGTAGCAGTTTCCCATTTTTCTTTAGCATTAAAATGATCCATCAGTTATATTACATGAATGCTGATTAAAATTTTACATTGTTATAATAACCAAATTTTAGAAAATAAAATTTAGTTCTAAATATATAGACAAATATTTATGCATACTAGAAGTGTAGCTAGAGAGAGGCAAGGGGAAACATCTGTCCCTAGAAATCCAGGGGAAGCCTAACAGATGTTGCAAAATTTTAGAATTAAATATTTTCCATTCTTAGCCAACACAAAGGGGCACAAAATCGTCAACTGTTCCTGGGCACTGAAAACCCTAACTATGACTCTGATGCATATGGAAACAATATATACATTTACATGATTGACAGAATTTTCCATAACACTCTAAAATTTTCATCTTGTAAATATATCAAACATGATATTAATTTTAAAGCAATTTTTTATATCTCTTTCATAATTTTCTCATTCATTTTATAATATGTATATTATAAAAATGATCCTATGAAGTATAATCTTATCATGCATATATTTATAAGTTCTTATTATTATTGAATGGCTGTATGAAAACACTCATAATACAAAATTCTGTCACATATTGGAGGTTGCAATTACAAATTTCAAAACTCCAAGATCTAGGAATTTGAAATTTCATAGTCTTTAAAGGTATCATATGTTTTACATTAAAATAATTCTTTCCACGACTTCTGAAATATATTTTTTAATATAGTCTTTTATTCTACGAGATATTAGACTTAGTAAACATGATAATAAATTATAGCTGCTGCAATGTTGGTTTTTCAACAGGTAATGACAGTGATTGAATAAAAAGGTAGATTAAAAACCACATGAAGAAATTGTAATGATATATAAATAAAAGAAACTAATATATCATTACAATTAAAAGTTAAATGTCAGACTGCATTTTATGTTTAAGAATATTCTTGCTCCTTGAAGATATGGAACTCTGTACTAGTCTTCCTAGAATTTCACAATTTTTTATAAAATCACCGTCAATCTAGGGTTGAATTTTGCTTGGTTTTGAATTTCATACTTTTGCATAAAACATCATTCCAAAACAAACTTACCACGTACCAAATACGAAATTATACAATTGAAAAATTAAAATATAGAAACAGTAGCTAAGCAACAATAAATCTCAGAAAATACAATAATATTTTTAATTCTTATTTATTTTTATTTACAAAAAATTTCGTTTTATAAAACGTAGGGAAAAAGCTTACTTTTGATGCTTCTTGAGACCAACTTACACCTTTCACAGAAAAACCTGATAAAGAATAGCTAATTAAAAAGCGGAAAAGTAAAAGGGCTGGAATTAACAAAAGCTGAGATATACTGAGCATGATTTTTAAAACCTTCGACTGAGTTCAAATGTTACGTTTAAAAACATATGTCAAGGTACTAAAACTAAAGCCTCTTATAAACAGTAACTTCAAGCGTTACCGCCTCGAGCACCAAAAATGCGGAAGACAAGTTACAAAAGCAGACGGCAAAAAAGAAACAACAGCTGACGTGCCAAAACGTCACTTCCGGCTTCAGATTTCGCCAAATTCTGTCGCCAGATGTGAATAAGAATAGTATCTCAACATCAATCGGAAATTTATCCTCGGATTCATCACGGTAATTTTGTACTTGAAGTACGGCTTAATATCTAAAATTAGAAGTGCCGCAGCCCTATGGAAGATCGTGATGAAGGATAGAAAAAATAAAAATAAATTAAAATTAAATAAAAATAATAATTAATAATTAAAATTAAGCATACGTAATGATGAGAAGAGAAAGCTAATAAATTATTAAATTAATTTCAAATAGTTAAATAGAAAAAAAAAAAAGTCGGACCTTGTCTTAGTCTGTAGAAGTCTTGTCTTAGAAAATCTGCAGAAGCTCTGCGGTACGATATCACTAGCGTGAAACGTGCATGGCCAGGGTATCACTTTTTAGTTCTTTGAGGAAAACAAAATTTGCCCGCTCTTATAAATTCATTACATATCCTGGAGAATAAGACTTTGACATATGATTGGGGGCTTTTCTTTCCTTAAAAGTCTCAATCTCCGCGCAAGGCTTGAGTGCGAGGGAAAGACAGGCCTGCTTTCAGAATTGATTTTTAAAGGCATGTTTTACTATTAAAACAAAATGTATGTGCTAAAATTGTGGTTCACTTACATAAAAAAAGTGTCGAAGCTCTTGTATTTAGGGCCCCGATGCTCTCCTGCTTAAATTAGAATATATCTCGAAAACTGAGAAGTACCGGAGCCGGGCTTCGGTTGCGCAATTTAAGCTTTGACATTATAAGGTATTTCTCCCGCCTTCTTAGTATGCCTTCGTAGTGTAGTGGTCAGCACGCTGGGTGCGTATTCCAGAGTTCCGTGGTTCGATTCCCGGCGAGGGTATTGCTCATTTTTCATGCCTCCAGCTTTCAAAAAATATCCAATGTCTCTACCTGAAGCAAATATAGCAGATAAGCAAGGCTCAATTTCTAAAATTAGAAATGCCGGAGCCGTATGGAAGTCTATCAGGAAGGAAGGAAACAATAAATAAATAAAATAACTAAAAATTAAAATAATTATAGGATTCAAATAGAATTAAAAGAAATGTAAAGAGATAGGGATTTCATAAATTATTAAATTAATAATAAATGGTTAAATAAAAAATAAATTATCGGACCTCGTCATATTTTAGGTTCCGACTGGAATTACAAATCCACTCATAAGCTAAGAAGTACCACGGCCGAGCTCCGTTTGAATTTGAACCTGATTATACAGGTGATGTACTCTTTCAAAGTATGCTAGTATAAAACCCTTTTTTTTTTTTTTTTTTTTTTTTTTCAGCCCCCCAAAGGAAAATGATAAAACGATTCGTCACAAAGGAGAACAAAGAGAATTCTGTGTGTGGAAGGAAATTTAAACGGAAAAGTGTAGCTTTGAAAATAAAAAGGAAAGAGTTCTAGATTTTCTGATCTCGATGCTCTGTCGATATAATTCAAGCCATCAAGCACAAATTTTCCCTGGATACGTTCCGATAACAACGTGAGAATAAACGTAAGGCGCCTTTATACAGTAATGGTCTCCAGCGTTAGATCATACCGTTCAAAAAGTGTACAGGAGTTCTGCAGGAGTTGTACTACATGGCACGTGCGGGACTAGGGTGATGCTTTTTAGCCCTTTCAGGAACTAAAAATGGACCCACTCTCATAAATTCATTGCATTTCCTGAATAAGAGCTTTTGGCATATGAGTGGGGCTTTTCTTTCCTGAAAAGGCTCAACCTCTGTCCGAGGAAAGATACTAGGTCTATATTTAGATGTTAGAATACATTTTTAAGTCATATTTATTATTAAAATAAAATTTGCTTGCAGAAATTGTAGTTAACTTACATAAGAGAAGTGCTGGTGCAGCCCGACTAAAATTGTGATTTATCTGGAAAACTGAGAAGTACTGAAGTCTGACTCCGATGGGCTCCGGCGCAATTTAAGCTTTGCAGATAATGTATTTTCAGATAATCGATCATAAACAATAGTGGCATACATCATACATGTATCAATTGCTTTACATTAGTCACTCAATTTTACGTCATTCTTATGCCATGCAAATGATTATGGTTACAGACAGTCATGAAGTGCAACGCCCCTATAAACTCTAATAATTTGAAAACTAAAATGCAATTCATTTCGAGAAATTTAAGAATGAAGCCACCAGATATGTAAGTTATATCTATGTAGACATAAAAATAAATTAAAGTTCATACCTCTCCTTTCAAAAACTTGAAAGATACATATACATTTATTTAGATTTATAGTATTTTTAAACATATTTTATTAATCAAACAACAGAAAGTATACAGAATATTGATAAATACCAAAACTTGTTTAATTTCTTGTTTATTATATTCATAATTTAAAATTAAATACTGAGCAGCTAAATTAAAGGTTGACCGCAATTTCCTTTAAAATTATTAAATCCCCACCTAGTGGGGAATTTCCCTATGTTTGAGAACCCCTGATTTAAACAAAAAAGATTTTCTCAACTATCTCCAAAATAATTACAAAATATTTTGGATTATTTTATATGATACATGCCATCCATTTCATTTTTTATTCTTCTAGTTTTAAATGTTACAAAATATTAATAAGTTTTTTTTATATATCTGAAGTTTAAAATTTCATTTTCTATTGATATTATTGATTGACATTGTTTATCGCAAATAGTTTTTACTTAATTTCAACTTTGTAAAACTCCTTTCCCTGGTTATTATTTATTCGTAGGTAACATAAGTAACTTTAATTAAATACTATATCGTCTCATGGAAGTATTGGGAAATTATCTTTTCATTTATATCTGCGTAGAACTGTAGATATTGATTTATATTCTTCTGATTAAAAAATATGTTCGTATAAAAGAAAATAATATTTTTAACCCAAAGGGACAATATGCCCAGAAGGGCTATTAATTTCGTTTTGGCATTTTGCATTGTTTTGGTTGCATTGCACTGTGTTTTGGCATTTCACTATAAACGGCGTTTTACTTTTCAGATTGTAGCAGCCTAATACTAGACCCCTGCATTATATTTAAAGAAATTGAATAATGAAGAATCTGCAAGAATGTGGGCATAAATAGATAATAAAACAAATTTGGAATTTGTTTTATCTTATTTGTTTTGTCTAAAGTTCATTTTAAAATTATTTTGCGACATTGCTGTTAAACTGAATTTTATGATTTAAGTGCAATGAACGTGATATTTAACAAATAAAGGTAACACACAAACTGTTAAAAAATGCCTCTTTGGACGTAATTTAAATTCTGAAACATTTTATATTTTCCTTTTTTTCTTTTTTGTTGTTGTTGGTGGTGGTGCGTGTGCGTGATACATTGAACATTAATTTTTTTGCCTGTTATCAGATAGAAAAGCAAGCATTTTCTTTTGGTTTTCGCAATTCACCTCGATTATAACTGTCAACTGATTTTAATGAGAATAAGTGGGAAACGCAAGAAACCACAGAAGTTTTCGCACTAATCTATGAAACTTTTTATTCAAACGAAGAACAAATCAATAATTTTAAAAAATGTATTAGCGCTTTTCTTCTTTGGATAGAATAATAAAAGAAGGAATGAATAGAGTTGAGGAGAAATTACAATTCAAGATGCAAATATTATTTTAAGATAAACTATCAGCTTATCAAAGTTTTTGAATAAATGTGATAATTGAAATTTTCTTCGTAACAAATGTGAAGAGATGCGAATATCAAACTTAAACATAAACAATTCAATTACGTAATTCGTTCGATGACAGCGAGTCATCCGATATGTTTTTTTTTCCTATAAAGCAATTATAATTATCCCCATTCCTTATTCCTTTCATTAAGATTTGAGGTCCTGTTATGAATTGACAGCAGTAAGTGGCGCTCCGAACGTTCTATATCCGGATGTTAAGCCTAACAATAGCGAAGGTGCATGCCTAATAATTCTGCATGTAACCATTGTATTATATGTAAATAAATTTATGTGTGTTAATAACGAGCGGAATCACCACTTGCGTCTGGATTTTATCCTCGAAAGGAAATCTAAAAAATGGCAATGTAGATACCTGCTACAGGTTGCATTATCAGCGGAACGTGTTTTGGATATATTTATCTTTTCTGTAGCTTCGATAGGGCATATTCTTCACTCAAGCGATTCTCTTTTCAAACGAGCATAACAATCTTAAAAAGTCATAGAAACAGAATTATTTGCGTTTTATTCCTTATTTTGTTGATTAACATATGACGCTTGATTTGGTATTGTTTAAAATCATTATGGCCATAATGTACACCTACCCCACGACTTACACAGAAGATAGCACAAAATCGTGTAAATCTAAATCTTGGATTCTGCTATGTAAAACGAAAAACACACTAAATGTGCATAATTTAGTTATGTATTTACATAAAACACAAGTAAGACATCTTAAAATAAATAAAGTAATACTTCGTTCATAAAATAACAAACACGTGTAGGTAATAGAAGTACATACTTAATTTATTTTACATTAGGAAAATATAAGATCATTAAAAAATTATTAAAAGTATAATCACTGTCATCACTTTTATGAACTAGTACTCTTTTCTTCTTGATTGGTATGATGTCTCTTTCATGACTTGAGCGTTCTTGATAAGATGACCATCTTATCAAGAACGCTCAAGTCTCCAAGAAAGCTCAAGTCTCCAAGTCTCCAAGAACGCTCAAGTCTTCAATCGTTAACGAATTAAGGAAGATCTCAGATCGACAAGCCTTTGTTGTGAAATCCGTAATTAACAATTGCCTAGGTTTTTTTCCCCCTAAATCTTTGTAAACATCCTCATATTGAATTAAGCACTTACTAAGCTCTCGTTGGAATCGCAGAGCTCGTTCAACATACGTGCCATATTGTAAAAATTGATTACCTAATTTTCTTCCCAATTCAAATCCTACGCTGTTGACTACGCTGATGGTTCAGATCAC